ACCCCCGTTGCTATTGTCTCTCTCTTACGGTAACTCCTTACTATTGTCGGTACCTCCGATAATGAGATATAGCCTCGGAGATTGTGGTGGCTTGGGCACCTTTGTTCAATAGAGATTTTGCCCCTCCACGCTCGTGCAAAGGGAACAGCAATTGGCATCAGCAGTAACTGGCTCTGGAACTTCTTTGTCGTCATGGTCACACGTGAGTCTTATGACACGACCAACGGCTGTCAGAAATCACTAACGCGAAACAGCAACACTCCTCAACAGCCTAGCATGGAAGGGCTACCTGATCTTCATGGCACTCAACTTCTCTTTCATTCCGCTCGTCTACTTTGTAAGCTTCCACGTGGTCCAGATTCCAGCCAACAGATGATTTGATCTAACTTTGATTCTGCTACAGTTCTACCTCGAAACATCGAATCTAACTTTGGAAGAGATCGATTTCTTGTTTACGACAGATGGCGCAGACGGGCTTCACAAGTTTGGCCGCAAGAGCCAGCCAGTCAAGGAGAGTCAGAGACCGAATGAGGAGATTCTTCAAGATGTCGAGCGACGACGAAGCTCAATTGGCGGGACCGAGAAGGGTGAGCAGGTGGAACGTATTGACGATAAAGCTTCGTGATATATTCTCCGATTCTGCGAAGATGGTCAACAACAGCACACTGACAGAAAGCAATGTAAGCGAGACTTTCGCAGATGATGCAGCATCCGATGAAGCATTCGCGTTGGCATGAGACATAAGGGTGACGGAAATGCTTGAGTGAGTTTGACAAGCTTGGCTAAGGACTCGATCATGAGATATTCTCTGACAGATCCTGTCCTACTGACTCGTGACCTTTCCCACGAAACACCACGTGTGACGGATCTTTCGCGAAAGCTACGTGGGCATCTGGTACCTTACAATCCGATGAAGGCGGCACTGCACAATAATACACCTGTATCAGGGGCTATTAAATGCTTGCAGCATTGCGAGCCAGTCATGAAAGCTTGCAGCAAGCGAGCCACATCCGTCAGACCAAACAGAATACCATGAAAAGATGGATCGAGACGAGAGACCTCGAGATCCTAGCGCATGTGTTTCGAAACCCGGTCCCAGACGCTTTGTGGCAGAAACGTGCTTAACTTACCGACGGAATGAAAGTACCTACCCACGAGACAATCAATTCCTCCGAAACGACAGGGTACACAAAGTCGTGTTGACATAAGAACAGATCTACAATCGAGCTCCTGCATCGCAAAAACCGGAAGAAGTCCAATAGCGCAAGCAGCGACACCTGTTCCTCGCCCAATCAACAGCTCCTTCACCGCACGATCATGCACTTCTCAATGCATCTCACCTCTCTCCTTCCTCTCTTCCTCCTTTGCTCGCCCGCTTTCGCTCAGTATGGTCAAAACTCCGCTTGCCCTCCCGGATCCGCCATCGAAGGCCTCACGCAAGCAGGCTACAGAACCGCCTGGACGATCGACAGCAAGAACTGGACACGTCTGAACGAGGTTTTCACACAAGATGTCTATTACGACAGTGCCGCATTAGGACAATACGGCGGCAAAGCAGAAGGCATTGAACAGACACGGGAAGCATTGCAAAAAGCTGGCGAGGGAGCGAAGACTTCACATGTGGTGACGAATTTATATGTGGAGGAGGTGTTGAGTGATGAAAAGGCGAGAGTTATAACTTAGTAAGTTGTCTCCTCTGATACCTCGTTTTTGGCTGAAGGGATTGTGATTGTCAAGAGAGCCAATTTTTGCTAACCGTGACGGCGTGCAGTATAACAGTTACGCACTGGGATCTAAAGGCTTTAGACGACATTAGCAAGACGTTCAGAGTCCAGTACTACTGTGATGATATCTGGGTATGCGAGGACCAAGCGTGGAAGATGCAGCATAGTGTGGTGACGAATCTGGGCGTGGGAGTGGAGGCTCCGTACAATACGCAAGTGGTTCCGGAGAAGGCGGCATGAGGATCTAAGAGATGACGCAACATCAAGCTATAGCATTGAAAGAGCCATCAATTTTCTGTAGCGAGATAGACGAGACAGAATGAAGCTATTGGAAAGAAAAGAGAACAAGAAGTTCGCGTCTAACCCGATTTGGACGGGAATGCGAGTGAATAAATGTGACGTCGGCTTCCGGCCGAAAGCTTGAGTAGGTAGCGGGACAACAATCAGGCAACCATTATACCATTCTCGCGATTGATCAACATGTAGACAACCTGTCGCACGTATGTTCTCTAGCATATATACTGCCCTTCCCATCGGCTAGAGTAAGTCAGAACAGCTCAAATTCACACTTACAAGATACGAAGGGCAGACAGAACCTTTATAGTTGATCATCAGACACCAAAATCCCAATACCAGACAAGAGAGCCCGCATCGACCAAAATGTGTTGCAGCAGACGTCGAAACAGACAACAAGTCCCAGTCGCTGTGGCACTCGCAGGTGCAGCGTACACCAAATACCAACAGCATAAGATCCAGCAGCAGCAGGAACCACAGTACCAGCGAGGCATGTCGCAAGCGATGCCACCATATACCATTGATCAGCCAGCACCGCAACAAGCACCTTTCGATCTCAGCGGAGAAAAGTCATCACTTCTCCACCCAGAAGACAAAGCTTCCATCAATCCACCAAGCTACGAGACCGTGGTCGTAAACCGCGCCATCGTTCCAGACAATGACCCCGCTGCACATATATCTCCATACGCAAGTCCAACCTTAATGAACAGGAGAGATGCGGAAGGAGACGCCAGCAGCAGCATTTCTTTACTCGGCTCTGTCCCAGCAACTCTGCCCCAAGTGGGAAATGGAAGGAGGATCTCGTCGATCGAAATCCCAGAGGGAACAACGTGGTGGCAAGCCTGTCGTACCCGCAAAGCTGAGAGAAACGAGGCCAGGCGGACAGAGAGAGCGGAATGGAAAGCGGAGAAAGCGCAGTGGAGAGCTGCAAAAAGGATGGCGAGGGGAGGGTGTTGATACACTCTTTTAGCTTCCACGCAGAGAGCCTAGGTTAACGCGATCGTATACGTGGGGACGGTGTAAGTAATGGATAGTAACCAGGCGTTGTTGCAGAAACTGGAACACGCGCTCTGTGATATTGTGCTTCTGCGAATGAGGAATTTTTTTTGTTTGTTGTTTGCTGCATCTCGAATGATTTTGGCTTCCGATAGTTGCACGCGTCTGAAATGGAGGAGACAGAACAGTTGATGTGAAACTCCCCGCCACTCCTCAACCAGATCGATCCAGAGACACTAGCCAGCCTGCTGGATGGCGCAGATGCCCACCAAGATCATTCGGGCATGGCAGGCCTATCAGAATACGACACGACCGTCGACCCAGAGACACTAACCGTGGCTATCTCTGAATGCAACAACCTCTGAGTGCAACCGCAGGTCGCTAAGCCAATCAGCAGAGCTTTTCATGGATCGAGAGCCAATCTACTTAGGCGCTTGCACTCAGAGGTCGTTGCATTCAGAGGTAGCCACGGTTATCGAGCCTGATGTGTAGCTCCGGCAGCACTACTAGGTCGAGCAGAGCCAAAGACGATGACACGCAGTTGCACTCGACGTCCGCAACCGGAGAACCAGGCCGCTCTAACAAGACGAGCAGATCGGCCGGGCCTCAATTCCCATCTGCCCCACGCGAAGCGCCTGTGATGATTGATCTTGCTATCCGCTCCAACCCTGGCTCCAACTTCAATCCTGGTCCAGGTTTCCGCCAGGCCCATGAAGGCATCATAGGAGGATCGAACCATGGTCGTCCCATCGACGCTCATTTGCTGCCGATGTTATCAGGCACATCGAAGAATACTGCCATGCAAGGCCCACAAAACACAACTCCCTCTGAAGATCTCGTGGCGAGTTGTTCGTTGTCTGCTAAGCGAGAGCAAAAGGGCGATGGTCCGATCAACAATGTCAGGACGCAGGATCGATCACTTCCATTTCGGCGGACAACAGAAGACTTGTCTCCACCACAAAAACATCTTTTGCGAGTGCTGCGAAGTCACATGTAGGCACTAGGTGCATCAGCAACGCTATAGCGCCCTGTCGTTCCAGTTGCTTGGTTCCGCGATGAGATACTCGCAGTACTGCCGCCTACGGAGAAGACCATTGCCGCTGCCCTATCGTTACTGTATTTCTATGTGTCCAACCTGACACTGTCGGAAATAACACAGTCGGATGCACTACAGCTCCAGTCTGCGATAGCGTCTGCTTCGCCTACTGCCTTCGCCAACAGCGCTCCCGCTCCGCCTACGCCGTCTCCAGAACTCGACGCTCAGTACTTAGCAGATCCTAACACTTCCAGAGCTTTGGAGCTGTCGGTTAAGGACGATTGCTCGGAATTATTCGACAGTGCTGCTAATAGCATGTACCCGAGGATTGTCGGCGTTCTCCGGGAGTATCGAGATATCGTCTACTACTACGAGGATAACAAGAAGTCATCTAAGACTCGCTGCGCTTTATACTCGTAGTACGTGATTGAACTCAGCCAAGGCTCGGGCATTGCATCCGTGTACCTTCGTAATAGGATAGTCTCCGATCTTTGTACTCGTCTTGGACGGGCTCTGCCATAGAAACAAGCAACGGCCATTGTTCCCCTTAAACAGAAGTTTCTCTGTTATCGAGACAGCTACCCTGACTTGTACCGGAGCAACATTCTGCTCTCGAAGAAGGATGACATTGTCAGCTTGGTGGGCGTCCCTCGCTAGATGCTTGGTCGAAACTACACCTGCGTTTATCAAAGGTGCTTCGGCGTGCGATAATGTGGACACTGTGCTACAGTTAGAATGTGCGAGGTGTATGGACGCAAGTGCATCTTTGGAAGTAGCGCAAGGGCACCGGCATTCAAAGATGCTGAATATACCATATAGCTACTGCGCACCCCAATGGCTACTGGTCGCCGTCGTTGTTGTCTCGATTGGGCACAATGCCAGCAACTGCCTCCGTGAGGACGTTATTAGGCAAATTCAGTCTACCTCACGGTCCCGAGCGGCTTATTGTGCCTGTTCATCGACTGATTGAAGATCCCTTTACTCCATTCAACCTCTTATATGAATATCGATTAGGTCCAGGTTTGGTTGGAGATAACGAGGACGATGTGATCTCGTGTTTGTGTTGCAAGACTCTGTGGTAGCAGACAATAATTCTACTTGAGCTGCCAATCCTTGTAGGTCCATTTCTCCGTACGTTGAGTCTGCTTTTGCTTGACCTGGCCCACTTTCTTCCTCGGCTCGAGCTTACCATTGATGATTTTGTTTCGGTAGCTGTCGGTCAGTATTGACCCTTCTGGCTTAAGTCTTCTCAAGCTGTCTTGCAATTCATCCGGGAGCGTGACCTCCAATGGCGCATCTGGCACTTGGATCTGACCAAACCTCCTCTTTCGTACTTGCAATCCATCTTCGTCCTCGTCACTCGCGGACGAATCGTCCACGATTGCCACGGCTCTCTGCTGTCGTGCTCGTTCTTTGGCAGCCACCTCTTTGGCGATCTCTTTGATTTTCCGTTCTTGTGCGTCTCTTAGCTTTTGCTTCTTCTCCCACTTCTCCTTCGCCTCTCGCTCTTTTCGTGCCTTGACCTTATTCCGCTCTGCTGGTGTCTTTCTTGACTTTTGCTTTTGTACGTGGATCTCGGCCTCTCCTTCTGACTGTATCCCGTCCCACTCGCTCTCCCATGCACTCTCGTAATCCGTAGCATACTCGTCCTTCTCAGCAGCCTCCGCCTTCGCAGCTTCCTCTTCTGCTATCCGTTCTCGCTCTGCTTGGGCAGCCTCAGCGGCAAGACGTGCTTTTTCTGCCTCGACTGCTGCTGCGCCTTCCTTCTCTAGTAGAGCGGACCAATCGCCGACGAGTGGGTTGTAGCTCTTTCCAGCAGCGGGTTTGAGTACTGATGCCACCGCTTTGCCAGATACTGTGAGAGGTGTCGGAGCTTGCTTTATGGTAGCAGGCGCAACCTTCGGTTTCTTCTTCTCGAGAAAGGTGTACTGCTCCTCGGGCTGCGGTTGCGGTGCTCCCCACAGATCGTCGCTGGGCTGATCGTCGACCACAATGCCAATTTGCCCTCCATCTGCCACATTTCGCAGCCGTGAGAGTTCCTTGTGTGAAACATATCTGCCATTGGCCTTGATGCGCTTTCCACCCTCGCCGCTACCAGTGTGATCCTCTACCTTACGCTTTCGTCCCGGCTGGAGAGGGTCGACTTTGCTATTGCGTGCTGCGAGGATCTCGTCAACTTTGAGCAGTTTCTTGCTCTTCTGCTTGCGCGCGATCTCGGCATCTCCTGTGGTATCGGTAGCGAAAAGTTGGTCGGCATCTTTCTCTTTGACAGGTCCGCCGTGGATGATTTCGGTGCGGAGGTTGTCGAGGCCGGACGAAACTTCGGTGATGTCGACGTTCTTGCGCCACGCCTTCTTGCCTTTCCTCGACGGCTGGCTGTAGGTCGCCGGTGCGACGGTCTTCTTGTCGTCGGCCATCACTGCGGTATAAGAGGGTGGGATGGTGGTGTGCTGGCTGGATCGTAGCTACCTCAAAATTATTTCGCGACTTTCGCTTGCGCCAAAGAAGTGTACGACTTGTGGGGCGGCGCGGCGGAGGACCCTGCAGCCGACGACCAGGATCAGTCCACGACGTTTCCACAATCACTCGGTAGTGGACTCCTTTCCTTTGCGAACGAGCGACAGGCAGAGACACACTCGACACAAACGAAGCATCTTCAGCAAACTGATCGATATTCCGCAGCATTGCACATATCTGCAGCGACACCATTGCACCGTCGCCCGGCCATCGTCCGAGACATCGCGCTAAATCCGGCCAACCCATCAACACCGGCCAACACACCGAAGGAGCGCGCATTCAAAGTCGACATCTCTGCATACCACATCGATTTCCCAGCTTCAGCACATACTCGGATTCTCTGCGCGAGTATCAGACAACCAGGCAGCCACAATGGCGCAAGCAGTGGGATCCTACACGAATCCGCTCAAGAAGTTCAAGCTGGTCTTCTTGGGCGAGCAGTCTGGTATGCCACCCTCTTTTGCCTCCGCACGCGATGCCACGACCTAATGCGACAAACAGTTGGCAAGACCTCATTGATCACGCGATTCATGTACGACTCCTTTGACAGCACCTACCAAGCCACAATAGGCATCGACTTCCTGTCCAAAACCATGTACCTCGAAGACCGCACCGTCCGCCTGCAACTCTGGGATACCGCAGGTCAAGAACGTTTCCGATCATTGATCCCTTCATACATTCGCGACTCCAGCGTAGCAGTGGTCGTTTACGATATCACAAGCAAAAAGTCCTTTGAGCAGACACGAAAGTGGGTGGACGACGTGCGAGGAGAGCGAGGCAACGATGTGATCATCGTGCTGGTGGGCAACAAGACCGACTTGGGTGAAAGGAGAGAGGTCACAGCGCAACAAGGAGAAGAGGAGAGCAAACGACTGGGCTGCATGTTCGTGGAGACGAGCGCGAAGGTGGGACACAATGTCAAAGGTCTGTTCAAGAAGATTGCCCAAGCGCTGCCTGGAATGGAGGGTGAGGGACAACAGGGTCCTGCGAACAGTAAGTTTCAGCATTGTTCCATGCGGCGAGGAGATCATACTAACCATCCCCCCAGCAATCGATGTGAACGTCAGCCAAGCGAAGCCCGAGAGCGAAGGTGGCTGCAACTGCTGAGCATAAGATGTAGTGGAGCCAGCTGAGGAGAGAGGACGCAATTAGCACATTTGCTATTCTTGTACAGGTCACATTGGTCTAGTAGGCATGATAATGAAAAAGACGGCCGGCTGAGCGCGGCGCTGGAGGAGTACGACTTGAATCTGTGGAAAGGACATCAACCGCCGGCAAGGACTTGTACTTATGCGGGGAATGGCATAGCATGTGATTGAACAACATACGACTTCCCCAACAAATGCTACGAGAATCATGTGCATTCATGGGTTCCCAGGCCCATACATCAACGCATCTCCTGGTCTGAGAACTCATTGAGAAATCGACTATCACGGAGCCATCATAGTCCAATGCTCGGCAGACTCTTTCCTGATGTTGTCTCGATTGAACAGAGAGTAGAGATGTATTCAGACATGTTGGACTACACAGTTTAGATAGTACAATTTGGCAACAGCCTCGAATGCAACAGCTGATGTCCGTGACTGCTACACACCGTTCGCCGAGAATATGCTGTTTGTACACGTTCATTCTTTCGTTTGGGGTATCTCTGGCCGTTCACTCGTTGATCTTGGCAAGGATGCTGTGATTCTGTCAGTCGCCTGGTCGTTTCGCATCTTTCAGTTCGTGATAGACTTACTCGTGGTCCCGGAAGATCGAGTACTCGTCCTCGCCGACCTTGATGGGGCTACCACCGAACTGTATCCATCGTCAGCATCCTATCCATGCCATGTTTTATTTTTACTTTTGCTCCTCTTACCTGTGGAATAAGGACACGGTCGCCCGACTTCACGCCCATTGGTAACCGCTTGCCGTCCTTGTCAAAAGCACCAGGTCCCACAGCCAACACCTTAGCCTCGTTGAGCTCTTTCACTGCCGTCTCAGGAAGGAAGATGCCACCAGCAGTCTTTGTCTCAGCCTTCACGCGCTGCACGAGGACACGGTCGAGGAGGGGCGTCAGAGCCTTGATGTTCCTCACCAGAGTGGCCTGAGAAGCAGAATCGCATTAGCCCTGCGGAGTGCAATTCCATCCATTCGTACATACCATTGTGATAGTGTATTAGCGCCGGAGCAGAGGAAGTGGGAGAAGGTGGTTTCGGGAGTGTTTGGTCAGCGGGAAGGTTGAAATGGCGATGGAGAAGAAACGGTCTGTCGCTCTAGAAGCTGGAAGAAAGTCAGAAGCTCGAGCATCACGGCAACCCTGGTTCGCCGAGACCGCTTTACGCTTATTGCCGACGCTTCTCCAATAAATTGGGCAACAACCAAGTATGGCTTCTTCTGCTTCGGAACTGCATCCAAAATGCATTGCGACGACGGGCAATACTTTCAACAAGTCTACGAGAGAGTCGGGCACCTTTTCCCAAAATGGGCAGCGACTGGCTGAAGCAAGACCGAACTTCTTCCACAAAGCTCTGTTTACACCGGACGGAACTAGCATCATAACACATAATGAAGACAACTGCCTTCGCACGATTGTGCTGCCGACAGACTTGTTGGAAGAAGCAGAGGAACCACGACCACTGACTGAATATGCTGTCTGGAAGGCCAGCAGCAAAATCCAAAGCTACGCTATCTACCCAGGCTTCGATCTCCAGAATCCGGCGACGACATTCGTGCTCGTAGGCGCAGCAGATGTGCCCATCACACTGCGAAACGCGTTGCACTACGACACAGTCCAAGCAAGCTACCCGCTGATCCATTCGGCAACAGAAGAATTTCAGCCGCCACGGAGTTTGGTTTTCACGCGAGATGGTAACCATTTCCTAGTCGGCAGCGACACCCTCCTCGCTGCATTTGACTGCTCTCAATATGGCGAAGGACCCTCGATCTCCCACAAACTACGCCGTGGCCGCAAAGCACCTCGCGGGCTCCAGACTCTCCAACGCAAAGGCTTCGTTTCCGCTCTTAGCATCAGTAACGAAGGCTTCCTCGCCCTCGGCACTAACGAGCGAGAGATCGCCCTTTATTCGAACGAGGGTCTCGGATCCTCCATCTCATCCTTCGAGCTCGAACCAGATCTCGGGTCCGGCGTCTCAGATCTAAAATGGAGTCCTTGTGGTAAGTACTTACTTGTGGCAGAGCGGCAAAGCAATGTCGTGCAAGTGTATGATATTCGGAACACGCAGCAGAAAGTCTCGGATTTGACCGGGAGGTATGCGATCACGCCACAGAAGATGCATATTGAGGTTGTGCCTACTGCAGCGGGGTATGAGGTTTGGGGTGGAGGGACTGATGGGGTTGTGAGGATGTGGTCGACCCCGGGAGAGAAGGAGGAGGACCAGGTGCCGGATGCTGCGTTGAAGTTGCATGAGGCGTCTGTGGCGAGTGCGATTTGGCATCCTACTGGGGCGGTATTGGCTACCGCTTCGGGTGGAAGGTCTGAAGGGCGCTCATTCGAAGATGATGAGGATGAAGAAAGTCGAGGTCGGTCCGACGAGGACAACTCGCTGAAGGTGTGGACCGTATGAGGGTGCATTCGGGCTCAATCGACATCCGGAGACATCCTGCTCGCAGCGCACAAAGGCCAGGCTAGTATTTGAGCTCGTGCTTCGGCGCAAGTGAAGCTTGGTACCGCCGCCCTCACATCACCGCTGCCACTCCTTTCACATGCCTCCCGAGCGAGGGAAGGACGATCGATGAACGATTGTGAGTACTTGCTGTACCACGTGAAGCTCAACGCCAACGGTTTCCGTCACTTGAGGCTACCAGCATTGCGCCATAACTTAATCCTCTGCCCTTCTTTCCATTCTCATTTTCGATACCAGTACCAAATTGCGCTCGCAGTCCAGAACACAAGACTTCGCGCTCGGCACATTGGTATCAACAAAACTCGAATCGCAACCCACTCGGAAATACCGACAGCCGTATGTGCTAACTGGGAACACGGCTTACAGATTCCTAAGGTATTTACTGACGTTCTCAGACTCCGGCCCTCAACATGACCTCCAAGGTGGACGCTAAGGAGGCAACCTCCAATTCAGAAGTTGCGCAGGACCCGGCACCGTCGTATGAAGCTTGTCACAAAGTGTTGGAGACGGTCGAGTTGCTGGAGATGATCCTACTTAGCCTACATGGCTCGCAAGATATGTTTGCGGAAGCGAGTCGTCCAGTTGACGCTCCCGCTTCCTCCTTCACGTGGTACGACAATTGGAAGGCTAGGAGCGTCAGATGTCCCGTCGAATACGAGTACACGCAAGGTCGAAGCCCGCTGCAACATGACAACGTTGCTCCTTAGCCAGAGAGTCAATCGCATGTTCAACGACACCATCCAGGGATCTGTCAAGCTGCAGAAAGCTCTATGGTTCACTGAACTCGAGGGAAGCCGTGACCACCGCACCTGCACCCTCTCAGAGACCAAATCCAGGATCAATCCATTATTCTCGAAGAGAAACTACCCGACGAAAGTTTTTGTTGAAGCACTCCGGGGCTTGGACTGGTATGCACCACGCAAGTCTATTGCTGTAGAGATGAGAAGCAAGGCGAAGAATGGTTGGACCGGACCATCCCAAAGTTGGAGTCGCATGTTGATTGCACAGACCATCGACCAGACTTGTGTTCCAATGGAGCTTGACGCACCTGAGCTCGAGTACAAGTTCTTACGCGGCGGGCCCTATTTCACGATGCTTTGTGCGCCAGATACTGCTGCCGACGTGTTGGAGCTGGCAGAGGATCTGGCGCACGAGGACTACTTGGATCTCTTGAAGGCCAATATGGACAAGGAAGAGCTTAGTAAGGAGGTTCAGAAGCTCAAGGCTCAGCGCGGCTATTTGTATAGAGTCGCAAAAACCCATCTGAAGAGAGTGACGCGTGAGCAAAAGAATCGGGACTACTGAGTTGGAAAACTCCGCTGGGGTCGGTGTCATGCATGATTTTGTACTCATGAACGTGAGGAGTGCTGCCAGCAGGTCACTGAGCTGCTACTCCGAGATTGGATCTCTGTCATGCTCAGGGAGCAAGAGCACCTAGACAGGTAAGCTTCTATGCGTGGCACAAACGCCTCGAGTGTCTGAATTAATGCATAGACTAGTGCCAAATCATCATATCAGGCCTTCTCCTTTTGCGCGTCCCACTTCAAGCAGTTCCACTCTCTTTCTTCAAGCCGCGCACGCCGAAGCAAGTGAAGTCTGCCGCCGAAATGCTTCAGAAGACAGTTTTGCACCTGCAACGCGAAACGAGGCGATCTTGGAATGCATTTACCCCAATGTTTGTGTCACATGAAATTAGGCACCAACAAATTGCCTAACTTGTTAATCGGCAAAGTCCTTGCGACCAGCCGCACGATTCACTTTCGAGTTCCGCCAGCAACACCTCCCTTACAAAACAACTACCACAACGCATCTCACCCGCGTACTCGCACCAGGCCCACCCAGACCATGGCTCGCACCAAGAAGCCAGCAGGTGTACGTGCAATCGTGCACCACAGACCACGCCGCCTTAGCATATGTACTGACATAGCTAGTCTCGCGCCAACGGAACAACTGCAAATGCAAAAGCGAAGAAGACTCCTGTCCGACCTAGGGCTGCGAAAGGACAGCTGGTGTCATTCGAAGCTTGCCATAAGGTACTCGACTGTGTCGAGTTGCTGGAAATGATCCTTCTCAACGTCTACGATCCGCAAGACGCATTTCCGGTACTGAAGTCATTGGCCAAGGACATCACTCAAAAAGACAGAAACGACGAGAGCGACGTTGATCAGCAGAATCTTGGTCTCGAGGCGCGCGATATTCAAGGATCTCGCATTGGCGGTCGAGACGAAGAGCTTGTTTACAACGAGAACGAAGCCCGCCGGAACATGAAAACCCTACTGCTTAGCCAGAGAGTCAACCGCATGTTCAAGGGAACAATCGGTGGATCTACCAAACTGCAGCGAGCTCTGTGGTTCAAGACTATCTTCGACAATCAACCTCTTAGCAGCGACAGGGCTCAATGGGATCGCGCAGTGCTCAGAGTCAAAGGCAGTGGATTGGGGAAGTTGCTCGCAACCAAGCAGGTTAAGAAGATGATTGCGAGTTATGTGGGACCCGCTCTTCACGAAGGGCAGGAAGAAACCTTTTCGCTTTACTGCCTCCTTCGGCCAATACGATCCAGCCGCGAGACGCGAGTTCAAGTTCACCATAACTAAGGCGGCCTTCGAGGGGTTCAACACCGGACCTGCACACTCAGTTCCAGGAACACACGCTTCGGCTGCTAAGAGTCCAAGCTGGCGTCGTATGCTGATACTGCAGTCGAATCCGCCCATACAATACTCTACCAGAATCTCGGGTCCAGACTTCAGAGGCCGCGTGTATCTACAACATGACAGATTTGTGACTGGTGGTGAGTTGCAAATCCGGGTCGCAGAAGTAGCGATCGCGGGGCTCAGGCAGTTCTCCGGGGACAGTGGCTACGGTGAGCTCTTCGTCTCGGTCGATGTCTCAAGCGACATAGACGAGGACTTGTTTTAGAGAGACCTCTGTTCTCCTGTGCGCAGCAAGAGCTGCGCTGCATGCAGTGCACAAGAATACTAAGTCTCCGTTAGCTCCTATGCGTCGGTCAACGGGCTTCTGATTGCAGCAGGCTCCCAGAGTTCAGGTTCACTCCTATGGCACGTTCGATCGAATTTCATGCGTAGAGTCTGGCTCCGGAAGAAGCAGGTTGCGAATTATCGATCCTATCACTCCAGCTCAAGTATTTCCACTTTCTTACCTCGAGCCGCGGGCGCTGAAGCAAGTGAAGCCTGTTGCGGCGGACCTTCAGAAGCCAGCTTCGAGTCCTGCCTGCAGCGCAAAGTGAGGTGATTATAGTACTGGTTCTTACCAAAAGTTTGTGTCACATGAAACTGTGCGCCAATAGCCCGCGTCGCTAGTAATCAACGGCATTGCTCTTGACAGGCGCGCCGACTTATTTTACTTTTCAGCTCCACCTCTAGTACTCGCATCCACTCCTGTCTGCGACACTGGTCGCCCGCGTTCTGGTCAGCACATCGACGTCGCTGACCGCCTTACCATGTCCCGAATACGGCCAAAAGCGCGCGAGGGTGTAAGTGCCACGCGCGACCAAGAGCGCGCGCCCAGTGGACTGATCTCTGTAGGAATGCACCTGCAAGACAAACTTCATGATGCCCCGTGAGAGGACCGCCGCCGCCCGAAAGCCTTCGAAAGGACATGAGCTCTCATATGAAGCTTGCCACAAGGTCCTCAATTGCGCCGAGTTGCTCGAAATGATCTTGCTCCACGTTTACGAGCCACGAGTCGCTTTCTCCGACACGTGGTTTGTGAGCGCGAACGGTAACGAAAAGTGCCCATATTTCGAGCAGCGGTGTTCGGAGCTCAATGAGTCACGTATCAACATGAAGACGCTCCTTCTCAGCCAGAATGTCAACCGCATGTTCAAGGGAACGATCGAAGGGTCTATCAAACTTCAGAATGCCCTGTGGTTTGTGGAGCTTTTCGACACCACTACTCCTAGCACTGGCAAGGCAACCGGTGCACTCAATTTCGTGAGAGCTAATCCGCTGCTGATCGGCTGGGACCGAGGCGCTCTTCAGGTTGAGGGGCTCGGGCCCGTGGTAGGTGGGTCATGCGATATGGGTGTAAAGCTGGTCAAGACGTACCCCTGGAATTTCGACCTTGATTCAAGAACTTCGGAGTCGGAGACGGACTCGTCAGAAGCGCCTAGGCCAGAGTTCGAGGATTCGGAAACGGAAGACGCTGATGCTGAGTATGGAAGTTGGTATCGCATGCTGGTCGCCCAATCAACTGAGCCTACGGCATATGTCGTTAGAACCGCAGGTTTGTTTCATGGTGCCAATTATCTGGACTATGACGAGCCAATGACAGCCCAACAGCTGCGAAAGGACGCTATCGTAGAAGATTCGCTCGGGGCCATGATCCCTCAATGGTACGCTGGAGGGGACGAGGAGGACGAGGCCGGTGAAGACATGGGCGAGTGAGAGGATGGCTGGAAGCTTGGCCTGCTGTTCAATCACATGCAGGAGCAGCAGGCCCGTGGTCTTCGATCAAGAAGTCACTATACTCAGTCGCGCAACTGATGCCGCAGCAGTGGTAGAGGGCCTTGAGAGCTGCCTTGTATATCAGCCTCAAGTGCAATCGAAACTGCGCTGATGCAGAATTACGGCTTCAGGGAAGAGCGACCTGTTCGATGGTTTGGGGTGCGCAGTACGCACCATTGCCATTACCAATACCACAATCAAGCTTGTATCTTCCAAGCAAGGAATCGAATAATCAAGAGCAAAACCCACACCTCTCCTTCCCATTGCACTTCCCAGATCCAGTAATTCCACATCCCTTCCTTCAAGCCTCGTACGCCTCGCACCGCAGATCAACCTACAGTATCTCGACTCGCACAAGCATCACACCACAACCTTGTACAACCGACACGAGATTCAGCAAATACACTTTTCCTGTACCTGCATGCGAGATGTGATGTGACGACTTCTCACACTCCTGCAGAACAATGTCGCAATCGACATCTCGTTCTGGAAAGGAGCACAAGAAAGTCTGTTCTGTTTTCTGTGCTGACTCGACTCGCAGGATTCGTGTCTCCCCCACTTTTCCGAACATCTCTCCGCTTTCGCTTTCGCAGGCTAGCCTCGGGAAGCGCGCCGAGAAACCCTGAAGATGAGGTGTTGCCGAGTGCCTAGGTACAGCAGAGCGGGATACTGGTGATGATGAGAGGAGCTGCTGGTACAATACACTATTGTGCTACTGAGATAGATGCTTTGCGCGTTGCATTGAGTGGTTCATCGGCGACATTACTACAGCTATTCTCAGAAGGAAAGAGCATCATTCACTGCGATTCGGATAAGCTAGTCGCGACTGCTACTGAGATCTAACCGAGCAGCTGGGAATCGCAAGACCAGGCTCGCAAACAACTCACCATCGCATTGCTTCACTGTTCAAAGAATCTACACACATCGACAGATACACCGACATCATGTCCTCCCAACTCTCCAGCCAACCACCAAGCAGCAGCTCCTACCTCCTCACATATCCCGCCCAACATGTCCTCCTCATAACCATCAACCGGCCCAAAGCCATGAACTCCATCCCCTACAGCGCCCACTGGGAAGCCGATGCAATCCTCCAATGGTTCGACGCCGAGCCCTCCCTCCGCGTGGCAGTTATCACAGGCACAGGCAAGGCTTTCTGCGCAGGACAAGATCTCATTGAGCAAAATAAATTGGCACAATTGCGAGCGGCGAAGGCTCGAGGGGAGAAAGTTGAAATTCCGGATCGCAGGTTGTTAACGCATCCGGTTTCGGGGTTTATGGGTGTGAGTAGGAGGGCGGGAAAGAAGCCGGTGATTGCTGCTGTGAATGGTTTTGCGCTGGGTGGAGGGTTTGAGATTTGTTTGGGGTGGTGAGTATTCTGTGCTGCGTGAATGATCACTGAGAGAGGGAATGGTTAGCTGATCTGATATTAGTGATATGATTGTTGCTTCTCCGAAAGCCATCTTTGGTCTTCCGGAGGCTTCGCGAGGATTGTACGCTGGAGCGGGAGGTCTTTCTCGCTTGGTGCGTTTGGCAGGCATGACCGTTGCAAGTGAAGTGGCCATGACGGGGAGAACACTCTCAGCGCAAGAGGCAGCGCAGTACAATATCGCCAACAGGGTATCCAAGACCCATGAGTCGGTTGTGGATGAGGCGCTCGAGCTCGCTTCGAAGATTGCTGGTCTGTCGCCTGATGCGATCATCGTCACTCGTCATGGTCTGCGTGAAAGTTGGGAGGAGGCTAGTGTGGAAAGGGCAAGCCAGAACACAGAGCAAAGGTATGGCCCTGGACTGCGGGACGGTGAGAATTTGGCAATTGGACTGAAAGCTTTTGCCGAGAAAAAGCAGCCGAAATGGGTTCCCAGCAAGTTGTAGCTCGTAACTCGTTTAGCAGTGCAGATTTGTATGTGAATACTTGATCAAGCTCTGTGACGCGCTCGTTTGGAGCCAACTGTCGATGTATAGCCGTGGGGCTCCGATGCGGTTCCGGGAGACTTTCGGTCAATCTTCGCGACACAGCGTTGCAATGGCTTGATCCGTGTACGCGAAGTTGTACGCGGCATCAGCCTGATCGGGAAGAGGAGAAGAGTGGGCGAGCCAAAGGAAGGGCGCTGCGATCTCAAATGCGTGTTTAATAAATTGCAACCGGTCGATAGTAGGAACGGGTGTAGCCCAAGAACGGTCGCAGTTGTGTCTATTTGCTTGGGACTCGGGATCTACAGGCAGCCTATAGTACGGGTCGATAGCGCTGCGGCCTGGCAGGCTAAGACACGACTTACTCGAAACAGGAATCGCACGGGTGGCTTTCTGCGCACAGCTGACCACCATCGCATGTCGCACATCCAGCGAGAGTTCGGTAGAACAAAGTCAGTTAAACTTCGATTGTGCGAATGAGGTCAGGCGCTGTCATTGCGACCACCCGAAGCAGTTAGGAGGTGGTGGGCGCGCATTTGCGACTGGGCCTGAGGGCTGCATAAACGGAAGTCTCTCCGTTCGCCTGGCGGCACACTACCAGGGCAGACGCACAACTGCGGCACTTGATGGAGGAGGATGATATGATGACGGCCGAGGTTTCCTCGTCCCACTCTTCCCTTCTTCTCTGTCTCTACCCAGCCAACAATGCTGCACTCCCGCCGCCCACTGCCCAAGAACACCGCCCGCCAACATGGACAACGTGCTGTTCTACGGAGAACGTGATGAAGCCACGCGCAGGCAGGTCCGCTCTGCCGCCGCCGCCCATAGCCATCGAATAGGCCCGCGCAAGCCCAAGGCCGCCCTCAAACAGCCCAAGGACACGGCCGCGACGACGACGAAGCGACGCTCCACGCAGCAGCAGCAGAAGCCCAGGTCAGACCTCTCCTCGCCGCCGGCCACCTCGATACCACAGGACGCCAAGGTGCAAGACCCGCATCGAGCAAGTGCATCCGTCGGAGCCTCAGCAGGCGTTCTACGACCGCAACAGGCAATCGCCAACAACAGGCACGTGCAGCCAGCAGGCATGGCAGGGCTGAATCTGCATTCGCATGCACAATCTCCTCCGCGAAGCTCCCCAGACCAGCCCTATGTTAGCGGAGTCGTATCACCTTCATCACGACCAACCAGCTCCCCAGACCTCTCCCAGCGACTCCCGCAATATTCCTGGACCGAATACCCACGATATGCTTTGAGTTCGAACCACATGCAATCGCTAGACATGCTGGCCGATGCCGCTTCGACGGCGCGCGAAGCGGGTTCCAGATCGCCCGCCGAGTCCAGCCTTCCGGATCTGAGACATTTCGAGAAGTCTGCTGAAGGAAGACCCATCTTGCCGCCGTTGGTAGGCATCCAGCAACATCCGTCAGTTGGCGGTGCAGAGGGAGGTCGTCCATCGAGTACGGGCCCACAGGATAATAATAGGCGCCCAGACGTGGACGCGCCGCGCTACAATTCGTGCATAGAGTTTCTTCAGCATGCGAGACCGCAGGTCAATTCGCCCTCGCCTGGATGAAGCGTCGCTTAGATTTCCAGTTTTTGCGTCTGGAGTGGTTTATGATAGTCCGAATATGAGTGAAAGTATCGTCGATGCCGGCCATGATAAGACGATTGATTGGGGTTTGCCTCCCAGTGGGGACCGAATATGAGAGTTACGACCGGCAATAATGAGCGACGAGGTTCCAATTTCGAAGAGCGAATGCGCGGTGGCAGGCACCGGCGACCTGGCACCCTGTGCGAGTCCACCAATGGAAGACAGGCAGGAGCTTTGCAACAACTGCGCTCCAAGACTCGAGGCCCAAGACGTTCGATCCAAGTCCTCAGTGGCCGGTCTTGCACGATGGAAACGTCGCATTGCTGCAGAGCGCGGCGCTCACAGCTGAGATCGAATTCTGCTGAAGATTGCACTGCACCAACTCTCCTCGTCCTGAGCGACAGGCAGAATTGGAAGCAACGTGCTGTTTAGGGCGTCGCTGCATCAAAATGCCGTGCTTCCAACACAGTGCGATATGCAACAATTCGGTTGGCAGGACCCAGCAGACCTCTGCTCAGCTACTGTTGTCGGACGGTATGTGGGTCGCTGCATTCACGAGAGTATAATCGCATTATGCTACACTGTCAGTCAAGCTCTTTGTCAGTAGCATACAAGAATGTTTCGCGGATTTTTAGACAAGAACTACTTGCCAGACAAAGACAGCGCCACGGCGCATCTTATGAATAAGAGATACAAAGACTTCGCGAGATTGCACTTCTCCATCTCGCCTGAAATTGTGTTCGAATAACTCTCGCGCATCTTGTCCAAACATCCGCAAGTCAGAGCTGGTCTCAATCACAAGTCACTGTCAAGCGCAGTGAACAGCGGACAGTCGTAGCGAGCTGTGAAAAAGAACAATCACGCGTGCCTAACTCACCGGGCCTCGAACGCATGACGGAAGTGTTCCAACTACTTATCTCAGGCCTGGCGCCGACGAGAATAGAACCAACGCCAAGGTCCGACCTCAAACCTTACATCCTGAGAGCAGGCAGGATGCCCAGCAGAAAAATCCCGTTGCTACCAAAATTTGGTCGTCCGACACAGGTACCAGCCGAGTGGAATGTCTCACCTTCGGTGGAGTCAGAAATCCCAGACACGCCGAAAGCACCGCGCGACTACAACACTTCAACGAACGACACTACACTACCTCCTGCTACTAACCCCACATTCCCTTACACGACACAAGAACGCGTAGTCATGTCTGCAAACCGTCGAGGCCCTGTTACAGTGCCTATCAAAACCACAGGCGCGTTCTGGATCGAGCCAGCACATATCGGAGACCCCTGCACGATCTCATGTCTAGATCATATCCTATCGTGCGGCCACAAGATCATTACAGCATATCCTGAGCCTTGCGCGAGGAACTGTCATACGCGCTCGCCACCAGACCTCCTTCAGCCTCGAGATATTGGCGAAACTTTCCGCTGTACGGCCTGCATTATCGAACATCTCTCTCAACGACGTCGGGCACGTTCACAAAGCTATATGAACGAACTCCTCGACGCAGCTTCTCACACCTCCAAAGACGAATCCTGGATCGCAGCAAAACTCGACCTCGTATCCGTCGCTTGGAAAGACGAAGACGTCGAAGAATTTCAATCACTTTCTAGTCGTGGGAGATCTTGCACTGCGCCTTGGATCGATCCGGAGTTTTCGGATGTTGTGGAAATCGCAGGGAGAGAGAAAACTTCTTTTGGTTCTGGTTCGCAGCATGGGAGGAGTGCCTCGAGGTCGACCTTTGGGGAGATGAGTTCGCCGCCTTCGCCGACGCCGACGATTGAGAGTGTGGGGTCTTCTTCGAGGCATTCGAGGAGTTCGTCGGCGGCGACATTTTCTTCGCCGTTTCGGGCGGGGACGTGGCAGTGAGAGGGGTATAGATGCATTTGAGGAGCGACTGCTTTCGCGAGAGGAGACATTTGTGGGCATTTTGACATTTCATGTTTGGTGATACCTGGGCATTTGTATTGGCATTGGGATTGGCATTGGCATTTACATGATTGATAGGATCGTGTCTTGAGTGGAAATTTAACTTCTTCTGACTATTATACCTGAATCATTCTTCATGTTTCTTTTTGTTTGCCGGAAATGAAGTGCGCTCAACTTTTCTGCAGTGTTCTCAGACACTAATCTGAGCGTAGAATTCCCCTAGTCAATGAGCTCGTATTGTTCATGTTCTCAGAAATCCGTTTGGCTTATATATCTGAGGGAGACGACAACAGAAACGCCACTACGTTCGCAGACTTAGCCACCAATGAGAAATCCGATGACACATGGAGCATTTGATCGATGGTTTGAAGTTGTCGTTACTGAGTTATATAAGTTTTCTGGTTATTTTGCAGTACACACAACTTAGGGGCCGCAAGTGCGAGTCAACTTCGGCACAAGGACGAGCTGCGCTTATAGCTAGAATGGGCCCCCGTGGAAATTCGCAACCGCAATTGTGCGTGGTTTTTCCTTCTTCCAAATGCTAATGCATTGATCGTATGTTGGGCCTTTTTTTGTGGTTTGGGTGCACCGCGCGTGTTATTCCCTTGCGAGCCCAAGTCTTCAATGCAATGTAGCGCCTCAAGTTGGTGCTCGATGCTACGGTGTTTCCAACTCCTTTGCGCGTAAGATGCTGTTCCTTTCGTTCGTTAGTCGCCATTCTCATCCGTGTTCCAGACAGTACTTACACTAAATCACGCGGTATCCGCAATCTCTCTCGAAGCCGTAGATGGTCGCGCCATACTGCTTCAGAGCGTACACAACGTCAATAGTGGTGACGGTCTTACGGTTCGAAACCTCGACGATGAGAGCCGCTCTCTTGATGAGCTAAGAGCACCACTTGTAAGCCAATGCTGAAAGGACAGACGTCTGTGGACGCGGGTGGGGAACCTACTTCTTCGAGGCGTTGCTTCAGAGCAACGCGAATTCCACTGTAGATGTCGCCAGAGATACGCTTGACGCCGCCACGGCGGGCGAGGCGACGAATGGCGGGCTTAGTGACTCCCTGAACATTGTCACGTAGGACCTTCCTGGAAGGATGATGTAAGCAGTGTTCCAGTCCTAGAGCGAGTGAGGCTGACTTACTGGTGATGGCGCAAGCCTTGTCCACGGCCAGTGCGTGGATTTGGTGCCGTGTTGACAGCATTCAGGGCCGTTGGCAGTGAGGGTGCCGACTTGCGTGCAGCCATATTGCTGCCCAAGGAGGGCGCTGACTTGCGGGCACGTGGTTGAACATTGGTGCTGGTAGCCGGGCGAGCATTCTGGGGAGGCGACGCACTTGGGCTGCTTCTACGAAGGGTACTGCTGCGATCGCTGTTGGCTGGACTTGGGCGGCCAGCGGCTTGGGTTCCTCTACGGCGACGCACGTAAGGAGCCATCTATAGCGATTGTTAGCTGCTGTCGATAGATCTGCCCCTCGACCTAGCGATCGACTCTGCCTCTCGTTAGCTTTAGAAGACGATAATAGAGCGCCGACCGACTTACTACTGTCGCTACAAAGCGAAAGTTGTCGCGTCGACGGTAGTCGCTATTGTGTCCTTCTTAGAATACTGCTTCGAATTGCTTCCGAGATAGTAGGGTATCGACCTCTCGTAGTAAAGTCGAGGTCGGTCAAAGTTGATGTCGGTAACAGCGAGGTGTGTGCTACGAACAACATCTTTATACCCTTACTGCTCGCGCAGCACCTTCGCTCGCACCTGTCTTACAACCTGCAGAAAGCGTTAACATTCCAAGCCGATTATTAGCGCGGGAGTAGCCGGACAGCCTTAGCGGCATAAATGCCTTTACTTGCAAACGGCGCGAAGAGGTGACCTCCAGATGTTAAGGCAGGAGCGGACGCGAGGTTCGACGGAGGTGCCCAGGTGGTGGCGAGGCCGAAGCGCGAGGACATCGTGGTCGTGTCGACATCGCTGAGTCCCAGCTGGCTTGGTTGAGGATGAAGTGAAGCGGAGTCGCTAGAATCATACACTTGACCATACACAATGGCGAGCAGGGCTTGACATGATAAAGATTCGCGAGAGAACATCTGCAAACGCGTGTCGAAGGTGATCATAGGTAAGGAGCCGCGCGGCCAGGTCATGCGGTAGCGTGCATCGTTCGTTACTTTCAAGTGAGCTAGCATTAACCTGAGCAAGGCAAGTCAGCACTACATCAAACTGAAGTGAAGTGGAGCAAACGAAACAGCTCCGCGCGCGGAGTCAAATCTATCCTCATTGTCATTAACCGTGAATAGGGTGGTATCTTCAGGTTGTAGGTATCAGTGTGCAGTTCGTGTCCATTATTGCGCTCACCAAAGAGCCCTTCGCAACTCCATCAAAAGTTCAAATGCCAAGAGGTGGTCGTGCCTACCATCCATAATGCCAATGCTTCGTTCATCTATTAGGACCGGTCCAAGACGCTAGGAAATGAAGGTGGCCTCCATGAACAAATGCCCTTCGTCCTCGATGACTTCGTCGCCGATCTTGAGCTGCAGCTTCAGCTTGGGGTTGTACTGGTAGATGTATGGCTTTGTTCCGGCGGCACCGGCGACGATCTGCTTGACGAATTTTGGGACTTCACCCATGACATCTACGCGATCGGTTCGTGAAAGGTCATTCTTCAGCTCTGCGTGGACTGCTTTGCCGTCCATGGTTGTGCCATCCCATGTGGCAGCGACTGCACTCGGTTCGGGCCAGTCGTTCTCCTCATCACCTTTGATGCCGGTATGCTCAACCTTGACACCCGGGTCTGAGCTGGCGAAGATCAGCTCGCCATCTTTGGCGATACCGCCAACATTGACGGACGTGGAGCCATAAGACGGCGGCGTGGTGAACTCCATCATGATGGCGGAGTAGTTGGGCGACTGGTAGTTGATGAAGTTCCACTTGGCAGCTGTGAAGCGTCAGTATCAGCAGCAACGACAGATCAACCGATCGACCTACCAGCAAAGTGTGGCTTCATTCCCTGCAGCGCGTGGATGAAGATGCCTGTGCCTTTCACATCGAATGGTCCGTCCTTGGTCATGATAGTTCCCTCGACTCGACACCTGGGCCAGAATGCATGTCTCATGCTGCCCCACGGCTTCTCCTTCTCGGTTCCGAACAGAGTCTTGCCATTCTTACCCACAACAAACCCGGGAGCACTTTGCGTCCACTTCACGTCCACGATGGCCGTCTTGTTCGTATTCGACTTGATGTGGTATGTCTTGCCATCCTCGCTCAAATCCATCGAGCAGCCATCGGCCTTGAAGTTCTGCTTGTCCTGAGAGAAGGAGTAATTGGACAGGTTATCCGACGCCCACAAGTGATCTTTCCCGCCATCTTTCGCGAAGATTTTGCTGCTGAACTGCGCTGTTGTCCGTACGCCCCTGGTATCCGACACATCAGCGGATGCCACATCATCATGTCCTCCCGCAATCTTGCTCACATCACATCACTGTAGATGACCTGGACCATGGCGATATGGCCGCTGTCGGTGGCCACGTAGAAGGTCTTGGTCTCGACATTGGTGCCGCTCATGACCTCCCACGCCAGGTCATTTTTGGTGAGCTCGGTATAGGGCGTCTCTTTCGCTTGCTGGGCGACCGAATGCACTCCCTCGGGGCCATAGTGGTGGTCTGTGAGACCCACGCTAGAATGCGAGGATTAGCTGGTTGTTAGGGCACTGCCCGCAGAAAGCACTCCAGGCATACCTTTTCTTCAGCCAGTTCATGATGACTGCACGTTTGCGGAGCTGATGAGAGTGCTGCCGTATACGAAGATGTGAGGTGCGCAGAAGAACTGGCTCCTGTGCTTCGTCTTTTTATGTCAGTAACTTTGCGTAGAGACAGGATCTCGATGTGGTCTGAAACGGAAGCCCAAACACCTCGTCATCACGACTGACGGCGAGCAGAGCTGGTCGCGACGTCAAGATGCGCTCTGCCGACGCAAACAAGTCATGGGACCCTGCCCTTTGCACTTGCCCATTGTTGCTTTCGCTTTCTCAGCCTCCAACTTCCATCTCAAGTCTCGTACTCGAGGCGGCAGGCGAGGCGGTCGGCGACAGCACCGCAGGACATGTCGTCGCGTGGGGAGGAACATGTTTCCGACGCCTCCCACACGCGTCACGCGTTTCCCGCTCGTGTTTCTTTGTTGGCGGAGCGTCCCAATCGGGAAAGCAACGCCGCCTCACATGAATGTACCAAAGCCCAACAAGGGCACACCGCATTGCAGATTATCAACCAGCACGTAGGTCAAGATGGGTCAGCAACTGGAGCATTGGGAGCGCCACCCAGTCATGCACGTAGGAGCTACCACAGGGCGTACTTTTCTCTTTCCTAACGGACTACACATAAAATGGATACCCCCTGGTCTTTTCTTCTCAGCAAACACACTGAATGGCATTGAGCGACAAGAAAACATCTTGCGACCGCAATGTCGTCCTTCCCCTTTGCCGCGGGCATTGTAGCGCATTCTCTTCCAGTTCCACCGGTCCGGTCGCCACCAGCAGCTATCAGCCATTCGAGAGGCCCTTCGATCGAAGAACTCGACTCTATCAAATTGGCAGACCATGGCAGTCTCGCACGAAAGGAATACGATGGCGATTCAGGATCGATTGAGATGCCGACCACACCAAAATGCGCCAAGCAAGCTTTTGACGTGCAAACACCGACCACTCCTGGAGAGCTCGAAGCCAGCCAACCACCAACACCAAAGCGAGGCACGGCCACAAGCGCTCTACCGTCCTATCGATACCCTCGAATGAACAGATGGAGAGTGCTCTGTGCGTGCCTCATTTATTTCGGCAATGGTATGAGCGACAGTGCAGCTGGAGCTCTTATTCCCTACATCGAGGATTTTTACCACATTGGCTACGCTGTTGTGTCAATGATCTGGATTGCGAACGCCGTTGGCTACATTTCCAGCGCCTTCGTCACGGAATGGGTGTTGACGCGTTGTGGTCGAGCACGAACGTTGATGATTGCCGAGGCTTTCATGATTGGAGCATATGTGGTAGTCACTTGTGCTCCTCCATTCCCGGTAGTTGTGGTGGCCTTCTTCTTCATGGTAAGTGCATTTTGTATTGAATTGTTGTCAGCGCTGATTCCCAATCGTTTAGGGTTTCGGCAATGCCACAAATCTGGCTCTCAACAACGTCTTCTGCGCGAATCTTGCAGACTCGACCGTGATCCTCGGGGCCGCTCATGGCTCCTATGGCGTGGGCGGTATCGTGGCGCCGATTGCAGCAACCGCAATGGTTTCAAATGGCGTTTTCTGGGCTCGCTTCTATCTTGTCACGATTGGCATCCGCATCCTCTGCTTTTTCTTCGCCGGCTGGTCGTTCTGGTCTTACGAGTCGGAACCCACTTCGAACTTCAATTCTGACCTGCAACAACTTGCGGACAAGCAAGCTGACGAGCAGGAAGGCCAAAGCAGTAAAATGGAGCTCCTGAAGAAGGCACTGAAGAACAAGACCACGCTCATCGGAGCTCTCTTTATCTTCGCTTACCAAGGTGCAGAAGTCGCAGAGTCAGGGTGGTTCATCTCATACTTGATCAATTATCGACACGGAGATCCAGCGAAGGTCGGCTATGTAACCTCTGGCTTCTGGGCAGGCATCACAATTGGCCGCTTCACTTTGACACATCTCGCGCATCGGGTTGGTGAGAGACGATTCGTCTTTGCCACGAGCGTGGGAGTCATCATTTTTCAGCTTCTGTCCTGGCTGATTCCCAATATCATCGGCAATGCAGTTTCTGTAGCCGTGCTCGGTCTGCTACTAGGACCTGTTTACCCGGCAGCCGCGACAGTCTTCACCAAGCTATTACCGAGAAGGCTGCAAACGATCGCTATCGGGTTCATCTCCAGCGCTGGAAGCAGTGGAGGCGCTGTGGTGCCATTCTTGACTGGTCTCATTGCGCAGGGAAGTGGGACGTGGGTGCTGCATCCTGTATGCATTGGAGCTTACGTTGGCATGCTCATATGTTGGGCGGTGCTCCCCAGAGTGAAGAAGCCGACTTCTTGAACAGTGGTTGTTATGCGAGGTGAAGGGAGCTACTGCAGCAGTGCGATCCATGCTTTTCACATGCGGCATGGGGTGTGCACACGTCATGTCGGTGAGACACGTCCGCCAGTTGGAGGTCTGGGAGTAGAATAGCACCAGCAAGGTAGAATAGCTGAAGAGTCATGATGCTCAAAATCTCTTCCCCGTCGCTCATTTTACCTTTGTCAACGATCGATACAGTGCGCCTTGCTGAACGGCGGCGTCACTTCGTGATCTGGGCTGGAGAAAGTCTCTTGGCACCCACGAGCTGGCCCCGGCCCTGCATTTCGGCGCTAGCTAAAAGTTTAAGCGAAACAATTCTCTGCCGCAGCTTTCGATGCTCGATCTGTTCTGCTTTTCTTTCTCCTCCTCTCTTCTGCCTCTCTCTCCTCCACACCTGAGGTAGAAGCAGCAGCAGCAAGATGGCGGAGCAACTGGAGCGGTTCGAGGCGGGCGAGAGCACCGGCATGGCTCTCGAGGTCAAGGACGGCGACAATGTCGTGCGCTTCTGTGAAGGCCGGTCCTTCGGTGCTCATCGCAGCATTGCCGGCGAGCTGGTCTTCCAGACGGGCATGGTGGGTTATCCCGAGTCCATCACTGACCCCTCCTACCGCGGACAGATTCTAGTCATCACCTTCCCGCTGGTGGGCAACTACGGAGTGCCGCCCCGCGATGCACTGGACCCCATCCTCGGCGACCTGCCCGCCCACTTCGAGGCCTCGCAAATCCACATCGCAGGTCTGGTCGTGGCCTCGTACTGCGGCGAAGACTACTCGCACCATCTGGCCAGCTCTTCACTGGGCGCATTGCTGAAGGAGCAAAATGTGCCCGCCATCTGCGGCGTCGACACTCGAGCTCTCACAAAGAAGATCCGAGAGAAGGGAAGCATGCTCGGTCGCCTGCTCATGCAGACGGGAACCCGCAGAGAAGTCAATGGAAACGGCTCGCCGACAACCGGGGCCATGACACCCAGCGGCACGGCACCAGCAACACCAGCCGCCAACCTCCACGAGGTCAACACCGCCCTGGCACCGAAAGGCGTCAATGGCACCAATGGCGTGAATGGCTACTTTGGCCGAACGAAAGAGGTGGCAGTGTATGAAGAGATCGACTTCTACAATCCTAACACCAGAAACCTGGTCGCAGACGGTAAGCGTGACTTGCCATTCCCTTGCAGTAGTAGCTTTAGCAATTCGGAATCTGATAGTTCTCAGTTTCAACCTCAAAGCCAAAGATTTATTCTCCACCTGCGTCCGTTACGTCGTTGCGTCATCCGTCTGGTCGTCCTGTGCGTGTTCTCTGCGTTGATGTTGGTCTCAAGTACAACCAGCTGCGCTGCCTGGTCAAGCGCGGTGTGGAGGTCGAGGTCGTGCCATGGGACTACGACTTCCCTGGCCTGGCGGGCAAGGAATACGATGGTCTCTTCATCTCGAACGGTCCTGGTGACCCGGCGATGATGGACGTCACAGTCAAGAACATTCAGCAGACCATGGAGGAGGGTCGAGTACCAATCTTCGGTATCTGTCTTGGGCATCAGCTCCTTGCTCGTGCTGCAGGCGCCAGCACAATGAAGATGAAGTTCGGCAACCGTGGACACAACATTCCTTGCACAAACATGCTCTCTGGCAAGTGCTACATCACATCACAAAACCACGGTTATGCTGTGGACTCGAACTCTCTGCCCAAAGAATGGAGCGAGCTGTTCGTCAATGCCAACGACGAGAGCAACGAGGGTATCCGACACACCAGCCGGCCATACTTCTCGGTGCAATTCCACCCAGAAAGCACACCCGGACCCCGCGACACCGAGTTTCTCTTCGACGTTTTCATTAGCACCATCCAGAACGTCATCCAAGACAACAGCTTCATGCAGAAGCCAGTGGCTTTCCCTGGCGGTGACTGGGAGGAGAACCGAGCACTTCACCCACGACCAGATGTCAAGAAGGTCCTTGTCCTGGGATCTGGAGGTCTGAGTATCGGACAGGCCGGAGAGTTCGATTACTCTGGCAGTCAAGCTATCAAGGCCCTGAAGGAGGAGGGCATCTACACGATTCTCATCAATCCCAACATTGCCACGATTCAGACTTCCAAGGGCCTCGCCGACAAGGTTTACTTCTTGCCAGTCAACGCCGAGTTCGTGCGCAAGGTCATCAAGCACGAACGCCCAGATGCCATCTACTGCACATTCGGAGGTCAGACTGCGCTTCAAGTTGGTATTCAGCTCAAGGATGAGTTCGAGTCTCTTGGTGTCAAGGTCCTGGGCACTCCAATTGATACCATCATCACCACCGAGGACCGTGAGCTCTTCGCCCGCAGCATGGACTCCATTGGAGAGCCATGTGCCAAGTCGAAGTCGGCCAACAACATGCAAGAGGCCCTTGAGGCGGTCGAGGGCATTGGCTACCCAGTCATCGTGCGTGCTGCATACGCTCTCGGTGGTCTCGGCTCTGGTTTTGCGTCGAACAAGGAGGAGCTTGTTGATCTCTGCCACAAGGCCTTCGCCGCCAGTCCTCAAATCCTGGTCGAGCGCAGTATGAAGGGCTGGAAAGAGATTGAGTACGAAGTCGTTCGTGATGCGTACGACAACTGCATTACGGTCTGCAACATGGAGAACTTTGATCCTCTCGGCATCCACACTGGCGATTCGATTGTCGTTGCGCCGTCGCAGACTCTCTCCGACGAGGACTACAACATGCTGCGAACGACAGCAGTGCGCGTCATCCGACACCTCGGCGTTGTGGGTGAGTGCAATATCCAGTATGCGCTCAACCCAGACAGCAGAGAGTTCTGCATTATCGAAGTCAACGCTCGTCTTTCTCGATCTTCCGCATTGGCCTCGAAAGCCACCGGTTACCCACTCGCCTTCGTGGCGGCCAAACTTGGTCTGAACATTCCGCTCAACGAGATCAAGAACAGCGTTACCAAGAAGACCGTCGCATGCTTCGAGCCTTCTCTCGATTACGTTGTGGTGAAGATTCCAAGATGGGATCTCAAGAAGTTCACTCGTGTTTCTACTCTGCTCGGATCATCCATGAAGAGTGTTGGTGAAGTCATGGCCATTGGCCGCACATTCGAAGAAGCTGTGCAGAAAGCCATCCGTTCTGTCGACCCCAGCAATCTCGGATTCCACAACACTCCGGCGCTCATGTCAATTGACATTGACACCGAATTGCAGACTCCTTCCGACCAGCGCATGTTTGCTCTGGCGAACGCCCTCCACAGCGGCTACACTGTCGACAAGATCTGGGAGCTCACCAAGATTGACAAGTGGTTCTTGCGGAAACTCAAGAGCCTCAACGATTTTGGCAAGCTCATGACTGAGTTCGACGTCGACAGCATTCCCGCTCCTCTGTTCCGCAAGGCCAAGGAGATGGGATTCTCAGATAAGCAGCTCTCGCTTTTCTGGGACAGCAACGAGGGTAATGTGAGACGTGCCCGTCTGGCTAATGGCCTGATGCCCTTCGTCAAGCAGATTGATACTGTTGCGGCCGAGTTCCCGGCATTCACGAATTACCTGTATACCACATACAACGGAGCGGAGCATGATGTCGAGTTTAAGGACCGAGGTGTCATGGTCCTTGGTTCTGGTGTGTACAGAATTGGATCCAGTGTCGAGTTCGATTGGTGCTCTGTGAGAGCCATCAGAACGCTAAGGAGTGCTGGGTTCAAGACTGTCATGGTCAACGTAAGTTCAATTTCCCACTTTTCCACCCCCATCCCCCATCCCCCATCACACACTGTCTCGATATCTCTGCCCGTATGCGCAGATTTTGCATTGCAAATCTGTCTCGTCATGGGCGCACAAGCACAGATGAAACGGGAGAGATGGTCGGAGATATCGAAATTTTCCGACTTTTCTTCTGCTTCACCCCCAACACTTCAACACTTACTCCAATGCGTTGTATGCATGCTAACAACGACCAAGTATAACCCGGAGACGGTATCCACCGATTTTGACGAAGCGGATCGTTTGTATTTCGAGAATATTACGCTCGAAACGGTTTTGGACATCTACCAGATGGAATCCAGCAGCGGCGTCATATTGTCCATGGGTGGCCAAGCACCAAACAACATCGCTCTGCCGCTCTACCGATCTAATGTCAAGATTCTCGGAACCTCACCAGAAATGATCGATACTGCAGAGAACCGATACAAGTTCTCTCGTATGCTCGACAGACTGGGCGTTGACCAGCCAGAATGGAAGGAACTTACGAGTATTGAGGAGGCCCGCGCATTCTGTGACCGCGTCACCTACCCCGTGCTGGTTCGTCCTTCATACGTGCTGTCTGGTGCTGCCATGAACACAGTGTACTCGGAGCACGATCTCAAGAACTACCTGGCCCAAGCTGTCGAGGTTTCCAAGGAGCACCCAGTCGTCATCACCAAGTATATCGAGAACGCCAAGGAGATTGAGATGGACGCCGTTGCGCACAACGGTACCATGATTGGGCACTTCGTCTCTGAGCACGTCGAAAACGCTGGTGTGCACTCTGGAGACGCCACGCTTATTCTGCCTCCTCAAGATTTGGATCCGGAGACTGTCCGCAAGATCGAAGACGCCACTCGTAAGATCGGTGATGCACTCAACGTGACTGGACCTTACAACATTCAATTCATCGCCAAGGACAACGACATTAAGGTCATCGAGTGTAACGTTCGTGCTTCGCGATCATTCCCATTCGTGTCAAAGGTCACGGGTCTCGACATGATCGAACTGGCAACCAAGGCTATGGCCGGTCTTCCTGTCCAGGCCTACCCACCGATCAAAATGCCACCCGAGTACGTCGCCGTCAAGGTGCCACAGTTCTCTTTCTCGCGTCTTGCTGGAGCCGATCCAGTCATGGGTGTCGAGATGGCATCTACCGGTGAGGTCGCATGTTTCGGTCGCACCAAGTACGAGGCCTACATGAAGGGTCTCATCTCCACAGGATTCAAGCTCCCGAAGAAGAACGTCCTGCTCTCGATTGGATCGTTTAAGGACAAGGTTGAAATGCTGCCAAGTATTCAAGAGCTTTACAAGATGGGATTCAAGCTCTTCGCCACTGCTGGTACTGCAGACTTCTTGGAGGAGCATGGCATTCGCGTGCAATTCTTAGAAGCTCTTGGCTCGGACGACCAGCGTGAGGAGTATTCTCTGACCCACGCTCTGGCCAACAACTTGATTGATCTGTACATCAACTTGCCATCCGCGAACAAGTACCGACGACCGGCGAACTACATGTCCAAGGGATACCGCACTCGTCGTATGGCTGTCGACTTCCAGACCCCACTGGTGACCAACGTCAAAATTGCGAAGATCTTAATCACAGGTATCTCGCGCAACTACGACTACAACATCAGCAGCGTCGACTACCAGGACTTCTCGCAGCAAGCACTTGTGCCTTCGTCAGTGCCCAAGCCTCTACCTACAGTGCCAGTGACGGATCTTCTTAAGCGTTCGACCTTCAAAGGCAAGGACCTCGTTTCAGTCAAGCAGCTCACCAAGGAAGACTTGCATCTGCTCTTCACTGTTGCTGCTGAGATGCGTCTGGGTGTTGAGCGTGACGGCTCTTTGGATATCCTCAAGGGCCGGGTCCTGTGCTCCATGTTTTTCGAGCCCTCGACTAGAACATCATGCTCTTTCGATGCCGCTATGAAGCGTCTTGGTGGCCAGACTATCGTCGTCAACGAAGCTCACTCCAGCACCAAGAAGGGCGAGTCATTGGCTGACACCATCCGGACACTGGACCAGTACGGCGATGCCATCGTCCTCCGCCACCCAGACAACGACAGCGCAGACATCGCAGCCAAATACGCCGACTGCCCCATCATCAACGCCGGCAACGGCTCTCGCGAGCACCCAACCCAAGCACTCCTCGATCTCTTCACCATTCGCGAAGAACTCGGAACAGTCAACGGCCTCACCATCACCTTCACTGGCGACCTCAAATACGGCCGAACCGTCCACTCTCTCTGCGAAGTCCTCAAACACTACAACGTCAAAATCCAACTCGCCGCCCCCGCAGCCCTCGCCCTCCCCTCCAAAGTCAAAGCCGCCCTCGAAAGCCGCGGCCAACTCGGCACAGTCTCCGAACAACTCACACCGGAAATCATCGCCAACACCGATGTCCTCTACTGCACCCGCGTGCAAAAAGAGCGATTCGATTCTGAGGCTGCTTACGAGGCTGCGTTGGAAGAAGGTGGTTTCTCGGTCAGCGCTAAGACTCTGCGCGATGCGAAGAAGAATATGATTGTTATGCATCCGCTGCCGAGGAATGAGGAACTTGCGGCTGACGTGGATGATGATCCGAGAGCGGCGTATTTCAGACAGATGAGGTATGGTATGTTTGTGAGGATGGCGCTTTTGGCACTTGTTATGACGCCTTGAACAATCGGTGGGAGAACGGAAGTGGAGTGAATGGGAGAGGATTTGTGATATGGCGAAGGGAAGGAAGGAAGGAAGGAAAAATGGGCTTTCACGCATGCTACGAAATGACCGAAAAGTAAAACTGTGTTTTCTGTTTTTGATATGCTGTGCTTTTGCTCTGCAGCTGGGGTGTTTGTAAATGGTATTCCCTCTGATCCGCTGCGTGTTGTGGTATAGATAGTTTCGAGGCGCCGGGCGTTTTCGATTGGAATTGTCTCCAGCAATGAACGCTCGACGAAGCTCATGAAATCAGTTTTGTGTAGTAACAGATGTCTATAATGAATACATTAGAGATGAAAATGCGTGCGTGCGTTTGTTTCACTTTTTTTTTTGTATCTTGTGCGTTCTATGTTCTCCAGATTCAGATGATACTGCCATTCGATGTCTCGATCTCTGAATTATTTTCTTTTCCAAGTACCAGTTCTCTCAGGCTCATCGCATCCTAGCGTACGCCTGCTTCACCTCTACAAGCTGATGATGCGAAACTCTGAAGGAGTTGCAGTCTCAGGCACCCTTGAGACCCGGTCTCAGTTATCTCCGGCACCAATTGTCGCTCCGACGTTTTCACAGCGGTAGATCCCGTACTGTGCTTCTTTCTGCAAAGAAATACGATTCGCAGTAGATACACATGTGGCAGTTGAACAACACTCAGGACGGTATTTCCGCTTGCCCATCGCAGCTGAACAACGCAATACGGCACTCGGTTAGGCGCGGTCCAATCCACTCCACTCATTTCTACCTCTCACCATTTCGAGCGCGCTGTCCGCGTGAAGTCGCATCGCAGCAGACTCTCTCACATGCCGAACACCAGACTCTTTGCTCGACGACGTCATCGTCCTGCTAAACGGCGAATATATCGGCTCGTTAAAAGACGTGGCGGCCGCGGTCGTAAGCGATGTGCCGGGTCAAGGTTTTGGAAAAAATTCAAGGATGGCTTGGCGCTGTTGAACCTTTTTTTCTCTTGGTCCTCATCTCAACATGGGGCCATGTTCGGGAGCGTTCCGTAGCGCGTAGTGGCAAGGTCGGACAGATTGCTGGATTAGAGAACGATGTTTTGTGCGTGCGATGCGGTGGCGATGTGCGTTGGAGGCGAATTGCGATGTCGTTGCGATGTCGCTGGCAGTTGGACGACTTCGGGTGAAGCTCCGATGGGCAACGTTGAGAGAGGGAATTTCGAGATTCGTATCGGGGGTCGGAATGGTCCGCAAAGAAACACGAGTGATGTGCCGCTGGTGATTTTGGTGTCGCGCCTGCTATTTTGCTGTCGACCTCGAGATGGAAGGTCTTGCTGCTGATGTAATCGTCGGACATTTTACTGCTTGTGAGCAAAATTGGATGACCTGTGCTGCATCCTGTCGTGAGTGAATAAAAGAAATGCGCCGAAGAGGCTGTGGTTCAACTGGAGCGTCGCAGCTCATGAGCATTTCGTCAACTTCGTATCAAAGCAGATTTGCTGTATCTACAAGAAATTCACTGATCTGCCGTGAACTCATCGCTTCTCGAGCTGTGCATTCAAATTCGTTTGCGCATGCATGACATCGTCCGGCACAATACTGACTCTCCTGTTCGATCCCTTCTCCTCTGGCTTCCTGATTCCAATGAGGTGGCCCATCTCCGTCCAGAAACCAATCGGAGGGTGAATAAATGTCTGCTCGTAGGCGTCGACAACTGGTCGCTCCCATACAAGATCGGCATCTTCGGACTTGACCCACTTGGTCTTGTGGATGAGTTTCCAAATGATGAACAGCGGTGGGATGAACAATTGCATCGTGTAGTTCGAGAAGAAGTTCGATGTGCTCCAGGGAAGGTATGAGGTATAGCCGTAGATGCAGCAGACGGTGAACATCCATGCGAGGCCGAAATATGCGCACCATGGCTGCAGCCAGCCGGTGTAAGGTAGGGTCTTGCGATCGAGACCTTGGACCTTGCACGCTTGGTAGAATCGGATGTAGGTGATGCACATGGTGACATAGTTGATGAGACCTGGGGCTAGTCAGTAGGACTTCATCGCGCACACGACGGACGATCAACGTACCTCCACCAGTGACCAAGCTGGAGAACCATGTGATGGCAACTCGGGAGCTGCTCGAGACTGAAACGAAGGACAGCATTGGGAAGATCATAACCACGGCGAAGCAGTAGATCGGCACACCCTTCTTTGTGCAGTGTCGCAGGAATTTCGGAGCTCTCCCCTCCAGGGACAGTGAGTACAGGTTACGAATGGCGCAGTAGGTGTATGTGTTGCCAGCAGAGAAGATCGAAGTCAGGATAAGACTGGTTGTGTTAGCATGTGCTTTATTGATCTGAGGGTATGAAGTCTTACGCATTGACGATGTCTGGCAGCACGGAGATACCCAGGTTGGTCATGGCAATGACATACGGCGACGCTGCAGCAGAGCCATTACCCTCGCCGCCCTCGACGACATCCCTCAGCTTTTGGTCGCGAGAAGAGCAGACAATACCAACGGCCAAGGCTCCGACGATGACTAGTCATCGTGGTCAGTGTTGCTGCCGAAGCGACATACCAGAATGGGTTAGAACACTTACAGAAGAGACCAAAGCGCACATAGACCATCTTGAAAGCGGCCTTGATGTAAGTGCGGGGCCGGATAGCTTCAGCAGCGACGATCGAGATGTATTCGGGACCGACGACGGTGAAGACGGCAGACGTGAGGCCGCCCAAGAATCCTTCGAAGCGTCCAAGGTCACCGGTCGTGATGTACTCGCGGAATGCGCCTCCGTCGGTCCAGTTGCGGAATCCATATGCGTCGCCTTGCGGGTTACCTCCAACCATGGTCACGAAGGTGAAGAAGAAGAGCATAAAAATCAGGATAACCTTGCCGCCGGACAGCCAGAACTCGGCTTCTCCAAAAGCTCCGACTGCGAGGACGTTGATAAAGCTGTGCGATCGTGTCAGTGGCGATCAATTGGCATTGTTGTAGAAACTCACGCATAGCATGCGATGACACCAATGATGATTCCAACAGTAGGACCAGGTTCAGTGGCTTTATCAGACCAGAATGACAAGACCAGGACAAAGGCGGAGATCTCGAACGGCACGAGTAATGCCTCGTAGAAGAAGCTGTGCGTTGTGTTAGCAGATGTAGTGCTCTCACATATCAATTCTGGGCCACTCACAAATTCCATCCAACCATGAAGCCAAGCGCATCGTCGACCCATTCACCCGCGTGTCTGATGAAGCCACCAGATACGGGATAGGCAGTGGTCATCTCAGCCACACAGTTGTTGACCATGGCCAAGACACAACTTTGTACAATATATGCCAGCAGCAGGTTTGCAGCACCGCCCTTGTACAGACCAGTTCCTATGCTGACGAACAGAGCGGTACCAATGGATCCTCCAATGGCGATGAGCTGAATTTGACGGTTCCCCAGATGTCGTTGAAGCTGATCGGCGTTGTCTGCGGAAAAGCCCTCGCCGATGTCAGGGCCATTGCCGGACGAGTTGTCGCCATCCTTCTCTTTGTCGCCGAACAGTCCCATGGCGGCGGTAGTTGTCAGTCCCTGGGGCGTGCACTTGGAGAGTCAAGTCTGGGGAGGAAGCACAAACAAAAAAGCAGCAGCAGCCGGGCAGGGTGCCAATCTAATAGAACCCACGCGACAGTAGACGATGGAGCAAGGATGCTGGGGCGCAGTAGAGCAGATTGAGATAGCGTGCCGCAGGCCGTGGCCGCGACGATTGGTGGCACGGCGGGCTCATGTTCCTTCGCGCTGCAACGCCAGTTGGGCCATGCTGGATGCGTGGAGCGGGCGGGCGACTGAGGGCGCCGCTGATGACACCCCATGCCGATCCCCAGACGCGAAGCACTCGAATGCGCGCTGTGCTGCGAGAGCGAAAAGCTACCGGCAGCACACGCGCGGGTTAATTGGAGAGATGAGGCTCACGGCTGTGTTGGGAGGCCCCACCACTGCGGAGACCGGCGTCGAGGACCGCTGGGTGCGCCATGCACAACTGCCACAACCAGTGCACAGAAGTGTGCCTCATCGCGCTTGCCTGAGCACTTGGCGCTGCACGAGAGAGGTCATCTGCGGACACAAGCTGCGCCTTGGTCGCGTTTGGCATTATGTCATCAAGCAACGCAAGCCTGCGCAAGACGAAAAGAGGCCGCTCAAGCACTGCCAACAGACACCTGAGGCCATCCCCCGCTCGAAGCAAGGCAGCGACACTCTCATACCGGCGGTGGCACCTGCACGATAATGAAAAGCACATGATTGGGAGAGATAATGACATGGACGATGGACATAACCAAAACCCGCCGTTGTGGGCCACAGAAGAGGACCTTGGAGAAGTCCCTGGGCGCGCGAGCCACAGCACCCTCGTCGCCCTCAAGACACCCTTTCCCCTCGTTTTGACGTCCCTTCCAGGTCTACAAACCAGGTCTCTCCATGTTGCGAGCGCACATGAACCCCACGCGACTTCGGAAGAATGGCACGGAAGGCTGTAGGGCTGGCGGTAGAACAGGCACGACCGCTACCTAGACCACAAGTACTTGCGTACTTCACACAACTCGGGCGTGAAATGCCTGAAAGCGGAAAGCAAGACCTTCTATCCTGATAGTGTAATCTATCGACAAGAGTACAATACATCCGCACGCGGAGCAACACCTCCCTCCGATACTCTGATATCCCATCACTGGCGCCTCCGGAGATATTGCGGAGGTATCATGGAACGACCGCGCTGCCCTCATTGAGACATGAGGGGATGAATACGACTCTGGCGGCGTCTTCTGGCATCCGAGCATGTCCATTGACGTGGGATGGCTATGGCCGCCATAGACGAATCTGCACAGAATGCCTCGAAGCGGAATGAAGTCCCAGGTCTGCTTAGCCGAGCATCCCAAGCAGTCAGAGATGCGGTTGCTACTGCCATAGGGATCGTTATCTTGGGACATCTGCACAAAACGTACCTGAAACATGACGGCATCTCCGCATTCTCAACAGACTAGTACACGCCGGCCGGTCTAGTTCTGACAACCGGCGCGAACGGTTGTAGAAAGCAGGCCGGGGTGCGGCCTACTACCATACGCCGGCACATGGCTGAAACGTATGGACGACCATAGGGTCGGTAGGTGATGCCACGCCATACGTATAACGCTCGCGCACGTGGAGATGGATCGTGTCACATGAAGTCGCAAGATCTAATAGAAAGCCACCGCACCTGCCAATCGGAGGCTGCACGATTGTTGTCAACTTTATGATGACTCAGATAACAATGTCTTTCGCTAGGCATCATTGCAATTCTGCAGGCTACAACGCTATCGATACGTTCGCGCTGGTGGCAATGAACGCGCATTCACCCCAAGGAGGAAAATAATTCCCGCCTGGCTAGACTCTATCTCCGCACTACAGTGTCAATCTGAACCCTTGCTGACCTTCTATCAGGATCTCTCCTCGATCCGCTTTCCGATTGAGCTTCCTGTACAGCCAAAAGTTCTTTGACACGAGCAAGATACTCGACGCATTCATCACAATGACCGTTATCAAGGCGGGCTTGTAACCGGGCGCGTCTTGTTGCCGAAAGATATTCGCAGCAATGATGCCACTTATCCCGCTTGCCCCGACCAGGACCGCGCTCGCTACCGCACGTTTCGTATTTCCAACGATGTTGTTGTGCATATAGGTAAGGATCGTCGGAACGTTGGAGTTGCCTGCTGCCACGCCCAGGAAAGTGCCAGCATATCTCGCCCGGGGACTCGAGGTCGCGAAGCCGATCATGGCCAGACCGATGAGAGCTACCGCGCTGTTGAAGATGATGAGATGGCCGCGCTTCCGGTAGCGATCGCCAATCCAGGCCGTGATGAGCATCCAAGGAGCGGCTACCGCGTAAGGCGGAAATGAGAGAACTTGTGCTTGCACAGTCGAGTATCCCAGATCATTCTGAAGAATGATCGGCAGGAAGAGACTGAAGGAATAGGACACTGTGGCCGCGATGAGATAGAGCCACGCCCATTCGAGGACCTTCCAATCGCAAATGTAGCGAAGGATGTTCCTCATGGTCATCTCGTCAGAAACCGCATCTCCTCTGTCCTTCTCGAGGCGGGCCATCACGATACTGGCTTGCCGCGCTGAGAGAAAAGGCTTCCGTCCGAATAGACCCTTCCTGGTCGCCTTGTCGGGAAAAGGCACAATGATGAAGACCGACACCAGTCCGAGTGCGACTGTGATCAAACCCTCAATAATGAAGCTTCACACGATAATCGTCAGCCGCGTAAACCTCCTCCATAGTAAGACGAATGCAAGAACACTCACATCCACCTCCACCCTCGAATTCCCGCAGTCCCCTCCATCTGACTCAATCCATAAGCCAACACATTCGCCAACCCAGAAGCCAACGTAGCAACCATATAAAACACACTAAATCTCTTCTGAATCTCATATCGCACATACCAGCACGACAAAAGATACACACACCCCGGATAGAACCCTACACATCATCCAACGTCAGTCAAAAACGAAACCTCTCTCCTCTCCCTCCCCCATTCGCACCCTACGCGTTCAACTCACCAGCCTCCAACGCCCCAAGCACAACTCTACACCCCAACAACTCCGTCCAATCCCCCACAAACCCACAACATAAACTCACAACCCCAAACAACGTCGCCAACCCACTCAACCAAATCGCAGGTCCCACTTTTCGTAGCAAAATATTACTCGGTAATTCGAATAAAATATAAGGAATAAAAAACATCATGGTCACGATGGAATAGCGTTCTCCGATTTCGAGGCCGAGATCGGAATTTGCGCCTGCTACGCGAGCGTTGGCGAGGTTGGTGCGGTCGATGAGGGCGAAGGAGTAGAGGGCTGCCAAGATGGGGAGGAGGCGGAGGTCGATGAGGCGGAGGATGTGGCGGGTTTCTTTTGGAGATGGGTCTGTGTCATTTGAGGGGGCGGATTCGAGGGTTGAGGGGTCGGATGGTGGTGATGAAGGTGGTTGTGTTTCGAGTGGTTGTTTTTCTGAGGAGGGAGGGCTTGGGGTGGTTCCGTGGTAGTGGTGGGCATTCTGAGGGAGGGTCTGAGTGGAAGTGTTAGTTATCTCTATCAGAGATATTGTTTGTAGTTGATAAGATCTTACTCCATTATGACCGGATGTTATTGAGGGCTTCTCGCTCGACATTGTGAGAAATGTAGAAATGCCAGCGTGTCGGTGTGCCGCACCAGCTCTTTCCAGAGTTCAAGGGCCGGAGTCGCGAATCTACAGATTCAACTTCCGAATATCGCTCCAACGTATACTCCACAGCCTATATGCTTGACCGACACCTCCGGGAGCATTGTGATGCGGAGAAAAATTGGGGTCGGACGTTGACGACGGTGATGCATGATGTACGGTAGCTCAAAAAGTGGGCTGTCCTGTTTGGGGAATTGATGTGCCACATCGTAATGGTCGGAACCTTCTCTTGCGGCTCTACGTCTATATGCATAGATCTACACATATTTAAGGTGAGGCTTGTGAATCGTATCGCATGTATGAAGCGATGGCTCGTGTTAAGGCTTTGCTTCGCAGCAACCTGTCATCACTTTTCGACTGGCTACACGGGAAAGCTGAAGAGCTTACAATCGATGAGATATTATCACAGACCCGTCGTGTAGTCTCTGCCTTAAGTTGACGACGTGGCCGGCTGATATCGTGTCACCTCAATTACTTGATCGGTATCGACAAGTCTTCGATCATCCAAGCACAAGGTCAGATGGAACAGTTTTATGCGCAATGGGGCTAGCCAGCCTTGCCTCTCTGAGCTCTTTCGGTTGCAACGGCTGCAACATGTCGACTGATAGCGTGGTCGCAGTAGGCAGCTGCTCGAGTGGTCCAGCTCTAGTGACCGCTTCTTGAGCTGCCGCATATTTGGAGGCCCGAACATATGAGAAACCTTCCATACACACGCAACATCGACATCTTGGGAGACGCGAGCAAAAGCGCGTTCTGGCTTGATCTGCTTGTGGGCGCCGTCTCTCACACGCCTTCCAGCTGAATTAACCTCATGCGTGTTCTATCGGCTTGATAGACAGATGATGACCACCTCATGAGCTGCGAGACGGTCAGACCGGGCCACGTGAAGAAGGCTCTCTCGCGACCAACAATGGTCAGCCAGGTGAATGCCACTCCTATGTGGCATGTGCGAGCGATTGCATGCGCAGTCTTGAGCACTTGATATCAATGCCAGCGTCTTCAAGGCACTTTCGGCGACAGCACGATGTTGTCAATCAGCCGCACGGGCACCTTGTCGTCTCCCAAGCCCAGCCTCTCCCCTTCTTGGGTAGCTTCCAGTGGGAGCATCTTGACGGCGCCGCTGAGGATGGCGCCCCGGCTTGAGTCCACGTTGTCCACCTCTTCCATAGTATCCGGATCTGCGAGTGAGATGTAGTCCACTTCAAACATTGCTCGCTCAGTCTCTGCCTCCTCTTCTTGCTCCAATTGTCTAATGTTCACCTCATCCCAGGCATGCGCCAGTATCTCGTCCCTCATCCGCTTGCCCTTCAAGTATGCAGCCTCAGCAGCTCGCAAAGCTTTGTTCAGCACAATGCCGGTCGTCCTTCTCCTCTCGCCAAGGTATACGTTCCTGCTGCTCATGGCTAAACCGTCTGGCTCTCGTTCTGTAGGCAGAATGCGCACTTCTGTGTCCAAATGGAAGTCCTTGACCAGCCTCTTTATCACCACAGTCTGCTGCACGTCCTTCTGCCCAAAGTACACGCGATCTGCCTGGCATATGTTGAACAGCTTCATGCAGACTGTTGCTACGCCGCGGAAGAAAACGGGCCTGCTCTTGCCCTCGAGCAAGTTGCCCAGCGGTGTGATGGTGACGAAGGAGCCTTGACCGGGTATGCTTGAGTCCGGTGGCAGTGTAGGATACATAGCCTTGGTTGTAGGGGCGAACACCACATCAATCCTGCCCTGCCCATTCTTACTCAATTCGGTGTCGAGTTTCTGGAGCTTCTCCATGTCGCTTTCCCAAGTTTTCGGGTAGCTGTCCAGGTCCTCGTTTACGCCGAATTGTGTCGGATTCACGTATATCGACACGAAGACCTTGCTATTCTCTGCTGCCGCGGCTCTTACTAGCGAAATGTGCCCTGCGTGAAGGGCGCCCATGGTGGGCACGAGGCCGACTGTCTCTCCTCCGAGCAAGAGCGAACGCCGCCGCTGGCGTATATCGGTAACATCACGTGAAACATGAATAGCTCGTGAGAATGTGCTCAGCGCGGGCACAATGGGTCGGGCGGGCTTGAGAACGCGGGTGATCGATCGGGCGAGCATCGTGAGGACGCTGTCGAGGTCGCCGGAGGAAGTGGCTAAGCAGAGTGATGTCTGAACGAATGCGATGCTCTACGCAGCTCCATGGCGGCTCCGATGACTCAATCCCATCTGGACGAAGTGGAACATCCTCATGTCTACGGCGGAGTCGTGAGCATTGGATCGAGGCGAGCTATGACCTTGCTCTGTGATTTAAGGTTGGCGCTAGTGCTGCACCCTGGCGGCAGATTCTCGAAAAAGTCGACTTGGGCTAGCAGTGCTGCATACACAAACCGCATCGCATTTCCATCATGGCCGACGATGGGTTGATGCTCAATTTTGAGCTGCCGAGCGATGCGTTTAGTGCGCCCAGAACAAAAGTGAAAGGCGGAAGCTGGAAGGACCGTCTGACCGCAAGGAAGTCGGCCGAATATGGACGCAAAAAAGCACAGGAACGAGCCTCTCAAGCCGACGATGCGAGTGCCAACCCCTCGAAAGTTATTCCTCAAGACGATAACAAAGACCGCTTTGCCGAACGACCAGCAAAACGAGCTCGCGTTGGCCATGATGTCTTGCCGAAAACCAAGGACGGCCAAGTTATCTCCTCGCTTTTCTCCTTCAACAAATCGGCTACCGCGCCACGCGAAGCAAAGCCAGAAATTCAAGACGAAGAAGTGCAAGCGAGTAATGCACCTCTTGCCAACGATGAGACGGCCAAGTTCACCTCTCTTGGACTATCATCCACACTGGCCTCTCACCTGCTCAACAAGCTGAAGATCACTGCTCCCACCGCTATTCAACGAAAGGCAGTAGCACAACTGGTCTCCGAGAACACTGACGCGTTCATACAAGCACAAACTGGTTCTGGAAAGACGCTGGCATACCTCCTTCCGATCATCGAGCGAATATCACTTATCTCGAAACGCATGAAGGACGAAGGAGGCAAATTCGATCGACATAGCGGGCTATTTGCCATCGTACTGGCTCCTACACGCGAACTTGCTCGACAAATAGCAAGCGTGCTTGACTCACTCCTGTCATGTTACCACTGGATTGTTGGCGGGACTGTTGTGGGTGGTGAGAACAAGAAGAGTGAGAAGTCCCGCGTCAGAAAGGGTCTGAACATCCTTGTCGCCACGCCAGGACGTATGGCCGATCATTTGGAGCATACAGAAGCATTAGATTTGTCAATGGTGCGATGGTTAGTGCTCGATGAAGGCGATCGTCTCATGGAGTTGGGCTTCGAGCAAGATATCCAGAAGATTGTCAGTGTGCTGAATCTACGCTCGAGGAAGCGAGTAGAACAACCGCCGCCAGGTAAGTGCTTGTTGGTGTCAACTCACCTCCTAAGTTATCGAGGAAATTTGAAGCTGACAAAGATCAAGGCTTACCGGAGAAGCGAACGACAGTACTCTGCTCGGCCACGATCAAATCCAACGTAGAACAGCTACGCGCTATCTCGCTGAAAGATCCTGTCTCGATAGCTGTGGACAATGGTTCGACGGCACAGGCAGAAGGCGAGACCGAGGAGAACAACTTCTCTGCACCAGCACAGCTGAAGCAGAGTTATGCCGTCGTTCCACCAAAACAAAGACTCGTCACACTGGTTGCAACCCTCAAACAACAATTCAAACGCAAAGGCAGCGTAATGAAGTGCATAGTCTTCATGAGCTGCGCAGACAGCGTAGACTTTCACTTCGAGCTCCTCACACGGGGCGACAAAACAGCATCCACAGCAGAGGAACAGCCCAGTATAGCAAAACAACACAACCCCGGCAAACACAGCACCTCCACAGCCGACAAAAACAAAATCGCCCAAGGCACCACAATCGCAGAAACCCGTACCCAAGGCACCTCCACCTCAATTTCTAGCCGCGACTCCGGAGAAATCAAAATCTACCGCCTCCACGGCTCCCTCCAACAAGCAACCCGAACCAGCACCCTCAAAGCCTTCTCCACAACCGAAGACCCGGCCGTCCTCGTCTGCACCGACGTCGCAGCCCGCGGTCTCGATCTCCCCAACGTCGACCTCGTAATCGAATACGACCCCCCCTTCAGCAAAGACGACCACCTCCACCGCATAGGCCGCACAGCCCGCGCAGGCCGCGACGGCCGAGCCATGATATTCCTCCAACCAGGCTGCGAAGAAGGGTATATCGAAATTTTGAAAGAATCCAAACCGAAAAATCTCACTCGCCACGATGCGGAAGAATTACTGCGCAAGGGCTTCTCGCCTACGAGTGGAGTCGTACAAGGCCGGGAATGGGAACAAATCGCAACGGATTTTCAATTGGATATTGAGAGATGGGCGCTTGAGAATCCGAAACATTTGGAACAGGCGAGGAGAGCTTTTCAATCGCATGTGAGAGCTTATGCGACGCATGTTTCTGCTGAGCGAGGGATTTTTAATATGCAGGAATTACATTTGGGGCATTTGGCGAAGGCTTTTGCGTTGAGGGATAAGCCGGGTGCGATTAGAGTTCCTGGTGCGAGACCGGGGGCTGGGAAGGATAAGAAGGGGAAGGCGCAGGCGATTGCGAATGCTGCTGCGAAGAATGGTGGGAAGGGTGATGGGAAGCGGTCGGCGGGTGCGTTGGATGATGTTACGGAGGTCGCGGATGCGGAGGCTGCGAAGAGGAAAATGCAGCAGATGTCGAGGAAGATGGGCGGTGCGAGTGAGTTTAATTTGGGATGAGAGAGTGGAAGAGATAGATGAGGGAACTTCAATATCTACTGCTCCCTACCGCACTCTTCATTTTCCGCTCCTGCTATCTGTTTCCCAGAGAGTCGGAGAACTCCCAAAAGCTCCATCATAGTTGCGTGCATTACAACGGCGCAGGCTTCAGGAATGAGCACACTCTGAAGTGGAGCTCGTCCACGGCCTCTGTAGATATTTGCTTGCTTAGGGTCCATACTGCTTGACAGCAGAAACATGGATATGGAAGGACCGTGCGATACGATATAAGTTTGGAAAGTGGTAGAGAAGATCGAATCGAACAGCTCATAGATCACTGCCATTTGCAAGCGACCAAGAAGCACAATTCTCGTATCTTGGAGGAATAGAAAGGTGCGAACGTAGGCAACTTGTGATGGTAATTTACTGAGATACTTCGACCGCCGTCTCGTCGGGGCATCTCTGAAGAAGTGCATATTCGCCTGGATTTGGTAGCTGTGGTTCCATACCAAAGGCGATCGACCTGCATTTCTCAATTCGGACGGTAGGACGTCCATTCGTCCGAACAATACATGCTCGAGAGTGGGCCTCTGACTAGCGACGTGATCTTTGTAGACGATTGCAACCGAAATTAAGAAAATGACAAACCCAGAAGCGCTTCCATCGCAGAGAAATGATGTATGTAGAAGGCGATGCCGTCAAATGCCAATTTTTGGACATGTGCTGGACGAGTCCGCCTACACATCGACAAGTTCCGTCAAGCTACTGCGGGCTAGTCGTCAACGCTGACTTCAAACTCTCGTCTTCAGACGTCAAGAAGAGCAGACGCGACACTAACGAAATGTAATCGCCTACCTCGCGTGCGTCCCATGCGCATTGCGCGATCTTGCCACTCGGACAGAAATGCATACAGGCACAGGGTTACTAACCTTCTTCTCCTGAATCGTCGACTCGTTTCAAGTCTTGACCTAATGTCGGTAAAGCTCCGCCTCGCTTGCTCAAGGCTCGAAAGGCGTGACTCAAGCTTTTCGTGCTGAGTGCGCTCGCCGCAATCTATGCAGCATTTCGGAAAGTTCTTCGACGCGTGGCAAGCCTTGATGCTGGATAAAGCCGGGAGGCGACTCAGTACGTTCCGGACAGAACTCCGACTTGATGTGACTGAAGTGTGGCTGTGCACAGTTGAGGGAAAGAGTACGAGTAAGCAATACAAGGTAGCATGGACTGGCCTTGGTCGGAGTTGTCCATCAGTGGTGTGTAGTCCGTTCTGCGGCAGGAAATCCGTTGAGGAGCAATAAGGTACTTGAAACCCGGCGCCAGCGGAATCTCGGTGTGCTCACAGAGCTGCCTGCGGAGCGACGGGAGCATGGACGATCGAAATACGCGAATTCATCGTTGTAATCCGAGCTGAGAGGCTGTATTTGTGATCCGTGGTTCGACAGGTACGAGCAAAATGTTTGCCTTTAGCGGACCGTTGAGCGCACCAGATGTGAGAGAAAGATCTTACTCAATACTGTCGTGGAATCAGGGCAGTCCAGACACGGCAGGTGCAGTTGGACAAATGTACCTTTCTTCTGGAAGGCGTACGCTGTGCGGCGAGCTACAAGCTTATCGATGAGGCTGAGATCGAACCCATTGGCTCGTATTGGAAAAGGCACATGTCTGAGCATGACCTGTGGATATCTCCTACCTTTCGATATTCTCGTGGTCCTCCGGATCGACGGACGCACAATGCGGAGGTCATGAGCGCCAATCGCGGATTTTTGCAGAACCACTCGTCCAATGTGACAGCCTCGTGCCATACGTAAAGGTTGCAGCCGGTACCTGGTGATTGACCCGTACCATGTTTCGAATTTCGCAGTGCCTGTCCAACCAAGCACCACTCGCTCACCATTATGGAATCACGGAAGGAACATTGCTATCCGCGTGCCCGAGAGTGACAGGCGCCAGATACGGAACCCGTGCTGACTCCGCAGTGCGCTTCATTGTGGCGGGCAGAGGCTTGTATTGGATCTCCATATGATCTTGGGGTACCACAAGTCTAGTGACACGAACGTGAAGATGGTGCTTTGTGTGGAAAGCCTTGCTTGCGGCATGCTGACCCTGTTCTGCAAACCCCTGCAGCGACGCGAGGAGAAGAGTCGCACAAATGCAATATAGAATGACCTGAAGAGTGCGTGACAGCTGCGTGATCCCGAAAGGTCGGTAGCACCAAGTAATAATTCCGAAGTGCGATTGCAGCAGAGTGAGACAGTGTTGTCCAGACACACCTGGCAGCCTGGTTAAGGCCAGCTCGCCCTTCAGCTCCACTGCAGCGTTGCCGAGCGACGGCGCTGGGGTGACGACGATGTGTGGCTGCGGTGTTTTCTGCCACATGTTGTTGCACCAGGCTGCAACGGACATTTCCTGGGTGCTGTCCAGCGATGGGCGAATGCATCGGAGATTCAGGCTGCATCTCTGCACCTGCTGAGCGCTTGAGCAAGCGGTACTGGCGGTGTTGGTGGAGCTTGTAAGAGTTTTCACGAGCTACCCAGCTTTGCTGCGCACACCGCATGTGCGCAGGACGTCCACCGCCCTGTTTATGTTAGGAAAATGGTATACTTGGCACAGGCAGTTTGGGAGTTAACGCAGTGCACGGAGCGAATCCCATGCTGGAGAATTGCTAGCGCGGTGCGTTTGGAATGTGTGGTCCAATCACGGACGGGAAGGATCGATGCATCGCGACTACGCGCGGAATCGTGCATGGTGGTGCTTGCTGCGCTGTTCGTGGTGGCCAGGATGGGGAGCTGCTGGTCGCATGCACGATATGAGTCCGTTCCAACTCAACGTCACCCCGTCGACCAGTGGTAGCATCCACAGTAGATGACAGCTGTGAGCTGTCGCAAAGCGAAAGAGGAGAGCTCGCCTGGGCGGGCGAGAGGGGGCGGGGTGGAGAGGAGAGGGGTCGCTGCGACACGCACACGCAGGGCAGCAGACGGCGCGAAGTATTGCGAGCGGTGGTCGTTGCCATGACCGTTGGCAGCAAACGCGGTGGTGGTCTCGGGGGAGTGAAGACGGGTGGTGGTGGACATGTTGCCGTTCAAACTCTGTTTTGGGCAAGCGGGCCGGCGTGTCGGATGTGAGAGCAGAGACGGAGACGAGGGAACAGACCACGAGGTGCTCGGCAGCGTGAGTGGGCGGGCGTGCGTGGTGTCGAGGGCTTGCACATCCCGCTCGCAGTCTGCAGGAACTGATTGGGCCATGGCGCTGCGCTGGCGCTGCCATGCCATGCTTCCTTTTCGCCCGCGAGCCTTTTCATCACGGTGCTGCATCAGACCAGTGGTGATGTGTACGAACTACGAACTGGCAAGCAAAAGTAGACGTAGACGGCCAGCAGACGTGAACGCGTCCGCAAAGGTTCGACGTAGGTTCAGCGGGCGGGCGCTCAAAGAAGGAACGGCCGTTTGTTTCGTGCCAGGCAGATCATCGCCGCCACCACCCACGCTTACGAGAGGCGCGGACGTTGCTGGAAGGTGCCACCCGCATCTCATTCAGCGGATTCGTGTGCGACAGCGAGGCTGAGCTCAGAAATCAGCTGGACTGCACTGGACGAGTTGCACGGCGGCTGTTTGTACCATCGTCGCACGAACAGGTACCTCATCATCATGAATCAGAGTTCGTCGTCGCTCAGCGCGCCGGCGACGAGGCTGGGCTAGCGGTGCAGCCTTGACGCACACGCTGCCGGGCCGAGCGAGGCCTTCGCTACGAGCTGTTCGTCCGTTGTTGGGCATCCATGTCTTGCGCACATCCGCCTCCTGCATCCAAGCTTCCCCGTCCGTCACCCTTTTCCACTCCCAGCCAAACCTTTGCGACTCACTGCCAGAGCGCACATCCCTATCGCTTTATTTCAGGACCCAGGCCCAGCACACTTTAATTTCATCCGGCGTTTATTGGTCACCGCACCGACAAGGCAAAATTCGCACCGTGTGTGTCTGCGCCACGATCCGCCCGAGGCCCATGCGCTGCAAGGGAGTTAGCCTTTACATACCCAACCTCTCCTCTTCGCTCAGCGCGATCCCTTCTACCAGGACCTTCTAGGCCACACCAAGCGCAATTACTAAGACCATCCACCACATCACGCCGCATCACGAGGTCTTTCTGGATCTCGTTCAGACTTGTACTGCTCAAGTCTCATCAACAACCTCTCAATGTACCGACAAAGGAACGAAGCGACTCGATTTGCCGCCGCCTCTCGTCCTCCATTGCCACACTGCCGACCTCACGGCCCCAGATAGAGCGTGAGCGCATTCTGGCTCCACTGGAAGTCAACAACGAGACCACAATAACGACTTGAGGCGCGTCTGGACGCCTCGCCATCGTCCATCGATGGCAACTTTCCAGACAGCAGGCTACCCGGTGCCTCCGCCGGGCTACGGCTCCTACTATCGCACGCCTCCGCAAACACCACCGCCGGCCGCAGGGTATAATGCGTACTACTCACCAAGAAACTACTCCTACTCTGGTCAATCGAAAGGACACGCCCGACGAGCGACCGGCGATGGTACGACCGCGTACAACTACTCATACAGCGCGACGCCGACTCCCCGCAAGACCTCATACTACGCGACCGGCCGCTATTCGACACCAGAGCCCACTTACCATACTTCTGCTCAATCGACGCCTCAGCGGAAGACCGACTATGTAAGTGGCTCTGATCGTAAGCGGGAAAGCGCTCGATACTCGTATCGTCAGCCTACCGACCACAGCAAGCAGCGCACGTACTCGAGTAGCAAGCATTATTCCTCGCGGCCGCAGTACGACGAGTACTACTACGACCGCTACTATGAGGATTTGCCACGCTATGAGAGATATGAGCCGCGCCCGCCGCCATACAAGCACACATACACATATCACGACGCACGTACTGATCACCGCTATTACGATCAGGTCCCAATCTACACTCCGGCTGCAGACACCGAACAGACTCCTCGACCACGACGAGCATCGCATGGCCCCAAGACTACTCACGCCCCGCCTCCACGCCGGCCAAGCACTGCCACCAAGCCGCCACCGAAGGCAACAGAGGAGGATGCGCGTCGCGCTGGCATTCCCGCCGGTTACTCATACAAGAACTGGGATCCCACCGAAGAGCCAATCCTGTTGCTAGGATCCGTGTTTGACGCCAACTCACTCGGCAAGTGGATCTATGACTGGACCGTCTTCTTCTATGGCCCAGCCACCCCCATGTCGGAGGTCGCAGGCGAGATGTGGCTCCTTCTCATCCAACTCGCCCACAAGGTCCGTCGTGCCGAGGATATCATGCCCAAGATCCGATCACAGGCGTCACGCGACCTCGTCGACGACTTCCTCGAGTCAGGTGAGCGCCTATGGCAACGCTTCAACAAGCTCCTCAAAATCTGCGAGAACTACATGTGGAAGGCCGCAAAGAAGGCAAGCGGCGGCTCAAAGAACGTCACGATGGGCAAGGACAGTGGAAGCGAGTTCGTCGACACCATCTTTGGCCGTGACAGGGAGTTGGAGCGAACGGAGAAGTTGATGACCGGCATGCGTCTCTGGAGCATGCGATTCGACGCCAACTGCGAAGAAATCCTTCGCAATCCTGGCAAATAGAAAACACACAATTCGGTGACAGCGACTCACACGACGCCGCTGCTGCCTGAAGTGGCAAACTGGCTTTCTGGAGTTTATTGGCATCGCCCCCCTTTTTGGTGGTGGCGTCTCGTCATCGCATCGCGACTTCGCCTTCTGATACCCAACCCATCAATCTTGGTTTTATACACGGAACACTTATTACGGAGCATACTGGAGTTCTACAATTGGACTTCTTCAGGCGGCGCTGGAATATTCATCATCAATCTTACGTTCTTCTTTCCGAACATCAAAACAATCTTGAAACCGGACAAGAACGCTGTACGAATAATATCTATCTTGGTCACTTACGCACGAGATACAGGAAACACTGGGCAGGGCTGGCTGGATGCATGGGACGGGTTGGGTTGAGCATGGTGTTGTTTGTCTCCGATGACCTCCGACGAGAACTATGAGTCATCGTTTTGAGCGCTGCGCAGAAGCACTGTTTTGTCATCTCATCCTCATCGTCATTTTCCAACATCACTGCTTTGGCATTCTTGGGCTACGGGCGGGGCGGCGTACCACTCTTTTCTTTTGAGAGAGTAAAACTGGAAGGCAAAAAAGTTGTTGATTCCTGTTATCAGCGATATACCCCTTTGCTGCGACATAGTACGGTGTTGTTGTTTGTGCGGAAAACTTTTGGGCTTGCAATTTGATTCTATCGTTATAACTTGTTTTACTGTTGAAGAGGTGAGGTGAGGTCTTTCACCCACCTCCAGGTCACTTGATCATTTTATTTAATCATTTTCTAGAAAGCAGATTGGCTGCTAGACAGCATAGATTTATCATAAAAAACACTTTGAACATTGCTTCTCGCCCTCTTCCACTACACCCTCTTCTCCGTCCTGTCTCTCGTCACACCTCATCCGATCCCAAGCGCTCTCCTCCACGCATCACTATCACAACCCGTGACTTTCTCTCAAGCTCCTCCTGTCGGTTGTTCGGAGATGCTGAAGTCGTTCCGCGCAACGCGTGCTTTTTGGAACCTACTACTGTGACCTACCCGTTACGCTTGTGCTGCAAGATCCAAAGCGCACGTTTTTGCCATGCCATGTCTTGCTGCAACGCACTGATGTCTGTACCCTCGACTTTATCGGTTTGCGAGAGACAGACCAGACTAGACTTGCTCTACTGTAGTGTACCTGCAAATCGCGGAGCGAAGCTAAACTTTTCCGGCACCATGCATGCTTCTCGCGCGGTCGCGTACAAGTCCGGCTTACCTTATTATACTTCTAGAACGTGTGAGAACCTTGGTTATTCCAGAACATTGAGATCATCACTAGTTGGTTGGTTGATGTTCCGGTCTCCGACAGCAAACAAAGCATCACTTCCAAACCATCAGTATCCTGCACAGCTGCACTCACGACCCAAGCTTCGCGGAGCTGTACAGAGTGGGCAAAGCAAAGTCGTCCGATTAAGCAGCGACGATCCCACGTTCCAACGAACTGGGAACTTGCCTGCTTCAGCTGCACGGCAGCACACCCTCTTTTGCAGTTTGGGAGGCGAGCTGCGATGGGCGAATTGGGAATAAGGTAGCAAAGTACTTTTGTAGCTTTGTCTATCGTGATGAGGGGGTGACCTTGCTTTGTGGTTCGCCGAGGAGCGGCACCGTTCGGCGGGTGCGGATGTGATGTGATGCGCTGTGATGTTGTGCTGCTGTGTTTGGAGAGGTGTTCGCAGCATGCAAGGCGGCGGGCGGCAAGGCGACTGAGCGCGTGTAGGGCGGCTGTTGCGCTGTGCGGGAAGGAAGGAGAAAGGGAGAGGGTGTCTTGCGTGGTGATTTGTTATCGACAGGTGATCTTTTTCTTCTCGGTGTTTTCAGCTCTGTTGCCTTGTCTTCTCCTGGATTCACCGGTGGCCTTGCTGCTGTTGCGGTGTGTTTCGAGCCTGACAGTGCGTAGGGAGGAATGCAGTGGGTTGGGCGGCCATCTTCATGCGCAAGACGTGCATCGTAGGCGCCGCGGCTGAGACTCTCCGCTGCTGAAGGATTGCGACAATTGTGCTTGCGGATGCAGTATGCAATTTTGAGTCATCTTTCGTGCATGCAACATGTGAAACGTTTCGGTGTTGCCTTCTTCAGCCCCATCTTAGTCGTGCTCGTTGGTGCGTTACTGCCCAAGGATTTGCTCATCGTATGCACGACGCGGTCAGACTGTGCTGCTTCATGCACTCCTGTTGCGCAGCGCACTTGCAGCCGTCGCTTGGGAGAAAGTATCTGCGGCCTATTTTGGGACCTGGCAAGTGCTGCGGCAGGAACTGACTGCGCATTACGACAGGTATGACGAACATCTGTCACATACAATGACTTCTCTACTTACGCCGCGGAACGCATGAGTAATATTCATTGAACATGACGACGTGAGTCTGTCGCGATGGTAAGATGCGATCGATGCACAGAAGATGATGGCGTCGGTGGCACCAGTCCCTCGCACGGCTCTTCTTCTGAACGAAACTTTCAGGATTCAACCTTCTTGTCCTCACACGCGAACACGAATGAACCTCGTGGGAGAGAAAGCATGGGGAAGTCCATGCTCAGGATCTGTGCGGCATGACGAACCATCGAACCAACTGCTTGTGCTTTTGCCTTTGGCTTCGCCATCGTGCTTGAGGCGGAGGAAGCGCCGGCATGATGCCAGCGGCTGCTCTGACTTCACCTTCATTGACGTTCTTGCAGGACTGAAGGACCGCCCCGTCGCTACAGCGCCCGAGTCTGGAGCAGTAGGCCAAATGTCGTTGGCAAAGCGCTGCTGTGTCTGCAGCTGTCTCGTGCCGCGAGGCAGTCGCGAATGCAAGGTCAAGGACTTCTTCCAGCTGGTCCGAAATGCCGCAATGCGTGCAAACGCGTTCTCCAGAACATCCTCCAGCATTTGAAGAAGACCTCCCTAGTCTCTTCAGCTAATTATGAATCAGAGCTCAAGATCAAAGAGCATAGCCATGCGTGACAAAGAAGACCATATGCGGCGAAGCTGTAGGACATGAACAAAGAACAGGTAGGTATAGCACTTCCACGAATATGCACTCTGCTGCTGGAGCAGGGAACACATTCCACGCAGGAAAGCCGCAATGTCGCAAATCAAACTCGACATATCCCGGAGGCAGAGAGAGTTCGCGCGCTCGAAATATGCCTCAAGCTCTGAAGACGAGGATGAGAGAAGGAGATCAAAACATAAGCCAGACTCAAAGACCCTCGGCGATGAATATGAAGAGAACCGAGATGCAGCCTACGGCTCAGATAGCAATGGTCGTTGGCATGGGAAAAGCGAAGATGATCATGGTCAACATGCGCGCGGATCTGGCACTTGGACGAACAGCACATTTTCAAAGCCGTCAAAACCACGAAGAGGCGATTCTCATAGAAGAGAACGCGAAGCTCGAATGCGGGCTCACCGTGACGATGATGAGCTCGGCATCAATAGCGGAAGACCCAAACTTGAGCCCAAGCTGGAAGCAGCCAGCCCTCATACTCCGCCGAATTTCCGACACGATTTCTTCATGGGTAATTCCCCATCTGCTCCTCGTAAATCATTCCCGTGGATGGAGCAGTCACCACAACAGGAAATCTTTCGAGAGCCAGCCTCCGAAATGACCAGCCCAATCAAGGCGAGGGGCGCACGTCAAAGCCTATACACATCTGGCAGCTGGGGTCGGCCGCTAACGCCGCGCAGCATTGGAACATCTGACGGCTTCTCAAGTTTTGATGATCAGTATATCCGTGCTCTTGCCGTCGAGATCCGTGTCAACATTATGTTGACACCTTGCTTGCTGGCGTTGAGACAAGGCAAAAGTAAAACAGACCTGGCAGAATACGAGTGCACAGGCTTGACGAGGTCTGCACGAAATGCTCTTGCCCTGGCGCAGCAGCACAAGAAAGAAGTCGCAAAGGGCACCGTAGCACGATGCTACTTCTACGTAGCGCTGACCCAATTTGCGTACTCTCCGGACTCTATCCACAAAAGTGATGCACGCGCGCTGAAGTGGCTCAGGAAGACTCGTAAGGAATTTCCAGGCAGCAGCGAAGCAGATCAGGCACAGCTATGGGTAAGAGCACTAGAGAGTGCCACCAGACAACAACAACGGGAAATCAGCAGGAAATTTGACGATTGGGCAGTATCTGATTACAACGGCGATGTAATCATCAATCGTGCTCCAGTCACTGATCCGTACCCACAACCACGAAGGCCTCCTCTCCAACGGGCCGCTACTTGGCTGCGCAATTTGTTTGGCGGCGCTCGATCAGACTCCGTGCGGGAAGACGATACAGCCATTCACACCAAAGCTCCCACTTTGCAGCGCCAGACGACATCCCAGCTAAGGAGCGATCGATCCTGGTCATCAGATCAATCCTGGTCATCGGGGTCATGGAGCAGCGGGACAGAAAGTTTGCGTGGGATTATACTACGAAACGGACCTGTCAGTGTCAGAGAAGAAACCAGTCCTTCGGAACCGAGTCCTACGCATATGGGTAGGAATGATATCAAAGATGAGCAAAGCAATGGTCGGCCTGCTCCCGTAAGATCTTGGTCAAACTACAATCCCTGGCACAACTCTCAGGCTGAGCGGCCTTCAACAGCAGAGTCTATTACTCGCTGGGTCTCTGAGAAGTTAGGCTACTGGCTTGGGTCCGGGAACATGTCAGATGCGGGTTCTCCTATAAGTGACAGGCCGATGACTCGTGAGTCCGCTATTCCGGCGCCTTTGGATCCTCGAAAGCAGAGCAGAATTCCTCCGCCCTTGGATCCTCGAAGGCAGAGCAGATTCAAGACAGCCGAGGGAGGACATGTCTCTGGAACTGCGCCTTCTCGTGCTCATACGCCCACACAAGGTCCAAGCTCGAAGAGTGGGCAATACGCTTCGAGAGATGAGGTTAACACTCGAAGTAGACAGGAGACTGGTCTTGATGCTGCTGGTCTCCGCCGTCGACGCAGTAGACTAAGCTCATTGGTCCCCCGCCTATCGATACAGAAGCAACCACCGTTAATAGTAGAGGACCTTGCAGAGAAAGGTGAGAGCCCGATATTCTGGCATGAATAACTTAAGATGAGGTGGTCGGGAGGATTAGAGTGAGAAGTAAAACCACAATGCATTCTACAGCAGATTGTAGATCCGGAAGCTGACATACATTTTTCATGCCCTCTTGCGCTTGCTTCCAGTACCATATTGTTTTCTCAGCTTCTACAGGCACAACTATCTTCCAATTATTCTCTACAATTGACAAAGCCAACACTGTGCATACAAAAGAAGTCCTACCAAGCACAACCAAGAACGTGAATATCCAAACAAGACTGCAGAAGCCGCACCACCCGACCAAAAGCCGTCAACCGCCGCGATCGTCAGAGACTCAAGCTCTCTCTCCACTTTTTCAATACTCCACTCCCATACTTTCTCCAGTGGAGAACCTCACGATGGCTGCTGCTCCGGCTTTCCTCTTTGAGATGATCCAACACTATTCTTTGGCAGAATGCGTTTCCTGACCAGTCGTTGACGTTGGAACATCTGCGGTACCACTTTGCATTGCATCTTTCTGTGCTACCTTACGATGTCTCCTCGCGTGGCTATGATGCGCGTTCCGGTTTCCTGTACATTAGAAAGAGGAAAGTATATATAAAGTGGAGAGTGTGGTATTCCGCGTGTTCGCGTGTTGACTGCTTCTCGCGACTTTTTGTTCCTCAATTCCTCATTGCTCACCTGATGCAGTGCTCTCCTACTTGAACGTACTTCTCATCGTTACCTAGTCCTGATTGTTCTCAATAGCAGTCTGCTTCTCGCAGACTCACAACCCGGCAAACCACAATGGACCAAATGAAAGGCTTCCGCGTCGCGAAGTATTTCGAAAAGAGCAAGCTCCTTTTTGCCATCAACTCCATCGCAGCATTATCGATCTTCTTCTTCGGCTACGATCAAGGTTCGCCCTCCTCCCATCTCAGTCCACACGAAAACTCTCTCCACTAACACTCCCTGCACAGGAATGATGGGCGGCGTCAACAACAGCAAACACTACATCGACCTCATGAAATTCGGCTACATCGACCCCCTCACCAACGACCCCGTAATAACCGACTCCCTCCTCCAAGGCGGCATAGTCTCAGTCTACTACCTCGGAACCCTCTTCGGCTGCCTTTTGGGAGGCTGGGTCGGCGACCTCCAAGGCCGAATCAAAACCATAGCCTTCGGAGCCCTCTGGGCGATTTTCGGCGCAGCATTACAATGTAGTGCGCAAAATGCCAATTGGATGATTTGTGCGAGAGCGGTGAATGGAATTGGGACGGGGATTTTGAATGCGATTGTGCCGGTTTGGGCGACGGAGACGGCGGAGCATACGAGTCGGGGACAGTTCATTGCGATTGAGTTTACGTTGAATATTTTTGGGGTTGTGGTGGCGTATTGGTTGGAGTATGGGCTGTCCTTCATAGATGGGGGGGCTTCGCAGTTTCGCTGGAGGTTTCCGGTGGCGTTTCAGATTATTCCGTTGTTGGTTTTGCTGGGTTCAGTATGGTTCTTCCCGGAGAGTCCAAGGTGGCTGGTCAAGGTCGATCGAAATGAGGAGGCGAGGTATATCCTGGGACGATTGAGAGGAGAAGACGCCGAGGGACAAGCGAAGGCCGATGCTGAGTTCCAGGATATCAAGAACATTGTTGTGCATGAGCGCAAGACTGCGAGCAGGAACAGCTACTACTCAATGCTGTTTGGAATTGGTTCTGGCAAGCTGCACACGGCGAGAAGAGTGCAGTTGGTCGTTTGGCTGCAGATCATGCAAGAGTGGATTGGTATTGCTGGTGAGTGAATGACATCGGGTCCGAGTTGAAGTGATCAGATGCAACTTTTGTTAACACCTTTGCAGGCGTCACGGTCTATGCACCTACGATATTCCGCATTGCTGGTTTCTCAGGGGGCAAGTCCCAGTGGTTGTCCGGATTAAACAACGTATTCTACATGATGTCGACACTCATCTGCGTATTCACTCTTGATCGCATTGGTCGAAGATGGACTCTGTACTGGGGATCCGTGGGGATGGGAATAGCCATGTTCCTAGCAGGCGGGATGTCAAGAGGTGGAATCGATGCTCGAGCAGCAGGGAATGAATCCAGTGCCACATCATATGGCATCGCAGCAGCATCCTTCGTTTTCATCTTCACTTCGGTGTTTGGTGCGACTTGGCTGACTGTACCATGGCTGTACCCGGCCGAGGTATGCTCTCTTTTTGTTCTTACCGGTGTAGTAGGACTCGCTGACCTTCCATAGATCTTCCCTCTCGAAGTCCGTGCCAAAGGAAACGCCTGGGGAGTCGTCGGCTGGTCTATCGGGAACGGCTGGCTGACGCTACTCTGCCCCGTAATGTTCAGCGCGATTGGCGAGAAGACGCTCTACATCTTCGGCGCTTGCAATGTGATCACCATTCCCATGGTATGGGCTCTTTACCCAGAGACAAACCAGAGAACGCTCGAGGAGATGGATCTCGTTTTCGCAGCAGACAGTCCTTGGGTCTGGGATGCCGAAGCGAACTTCAAGCGTTTGAAGGAGGAGAATCCTGATCTGGTGACGGCAGCCAGTCGAGGTAATTCGGTCATTGATCCAGAAGCAGGGATTCGTAAAATCGCAGAGACGCATGAGTCGTTGTCGGAAGAGCCGAAGAAAGACATCAACTGATGTTGGTGAGCAGTAAGGTGCTTAGTAGATATCCCACAGTGAGACTTTCCCATCTTTGCTTCCAGCTGCCAACCAGTGCGTCGTTCGTGCTTTCTCGTCTCTCTTCTCTTCGACCGTCATTTTTCTCTGAGCAATAGCCTTCTGTTCGCCGCCATCATCATCGTGGCTGGTGACATCGGCGAATGCAATCGCATAACAACCTCCTTTGTGCCACTTCAGCACAGCCAGTTCCTTGAACCCTTTTGTAGAATACACTCTCATCCTGCCGTCCCATCCTGCAGTTGCGAAAATCTTCTCATCGTCGCGAGTTATCAGTCCTTGTTGACCCGCATGCTTGGTCTGAAGCGTCTTTGTATCTGACCCGGCCTTTGGATCGAGAGGGTGTCGAGCAATAATCGCATCAGCGCCAGAAGTATAGAAAACTCCTGAACCGGTTGCAATGTCCAGAGAGAGGGCAGGCTGGGCGTGAGATTTTGCGCTGTACACACACTGCCATTTCGCGGGCGCACCGGACTTCGATGATGGCTGAGACCAGATACATGCGTGTCCGGATTCATAGCCAGCAACGACAAGAAGGTCTCGATTGGAGTTCGTGCTAGGAGGAGAGGCGAACACGAGTCCAACAGCCATGACCATGCCAGCATTCTGCACCTCTTTCGGGGCAGGAATTGTAGCAATTCGATTTTGGGATGGCAAAGAGGTGACATTGATGCTTCCATCCTGCACTCCAGGTGTGCCGAGCAAGATACCTTCCGTGGGGAGATCTCGTGTTCCTTCCTTGGGAGCATGAATCATGCTGAAGGAGCAGAAGTTCAGCGCGTTGACAGGTAGAGTGTGTAAGAGCCATGGCTGCTTGTGTTCTGTGGAGTCCGTGCTATCAATCGGTAGCACTTTCGAAAAGTCCTTTTCGTCGTCCTCACGCAATCGCCAGACGTGGACTTTGCTGTCTCGGCCATGCCTGCATGTCCTGTCAGCACTCTTGTGAACAAGACTTGATATGCGACTCACGTTATGATCTTGTCATCATTCCAACTGCCAACTCCAAGAATTGTGCTGGTATGTGGTCGCCAAACAGCAACGGCTCGCTTCGAGGAAACACTCCAAAGCACAATCCAGCCGCTCGCGTCGCCTGTTAGCAAGCGAGTGTTACCGCGAAAGAAGTGCACCGCATGTATCTGCGCAGTGTGACCTCTCAAGATGTACGACGGTCGCGCAGGCGGATTCTCGGAGCTCTGCAGGAGGTTCGGTTCAGCCATGATGTTGGTCACGGAATGGTCGTGTACGAGAGATTGGCACGTTTCGAAGTCAAAAGCCTACAGATTTCAGCCAAATGAGCGCGTGACATTCATCTGGTCACTCGTGCGCGAATGGCATTAGGCAGCACTCGAACACTGGGTATCGGAGTCCGCGATGAAGCCTTGGCACTGAATGTCGAAGTTCGAGGGAAGGTTGGACTTTCGAGAAAAGTCCAAAAAGAGGGAAACATGAGCTAGCGCCGGCTGTCCCCGCTCACCTATAGAGCGTTCTGATTGGATAAATGGTCCTACTGGAGCCTCATTGCCTGACGACAGCTAGAAAGTATCCCCCCTCGCAATGGCATAGTCGTCCATCATGCGACCGAATTCCAGCTTCATGAGTAGACGATCCACTCCGCCACCCTTCCAAATCTCAAAGTCTCCTCTTTGGGCAGCCTTGAAATCCAAATACCTTGCTGACCCAACTCTCTCCTGATCAAGCTGCCTGAGTCTGCTGATGACCGTCTTCACATCCATGTCCACCTTGTCCCTCGCACGTTCGAGCTCCAAGATAATCTTCTGCTCTTCGTCGAGCAGATGGGGTGAGACTTCGCCCGTCGCCTCCTCTTCACCATCGGCCTTTTGCTGAATGCCCAAAAGTCGGGTGAAGTATGCGACCAGATTGTCGACGTTGCCAAGCATAGAACGTATTTCTTTCGTGTAGGACAAGTCAGTGAGTAAGAGTGCGTAGATCAAAGATGCCAGGAACAGGCGATGCCCTAGTGCCAATGTCTCCGGATCACGCTGCGTGAGCTCATCACGCTGTGTCGAGTCCACGCTCCGTGTTGAGCTTCGAGGGTCCGATGCCGACTGTTCGACCCATTGCTTGAAATGATCACAAGAGCCTCTGACGACTTCGCCCTCGAAAAATGCGGATGTCTCAGACAAAAGAAGCATTGCAGCGCTACAAGTCGCCCACACACTTCTCGATGCGGCTGCACGCTCTGTTTCCCTCTCTCGGTAGGCAGCATGTTGAACGCGAGATGAATGCAGAACTCTTCTCACCGAAGATTGACGCCAAAGTTCGCTCAGTCTCTGATGCCCTCTTCTGATGGCAAGTAAGTACGAGTTGATGGAAGAGTACGTCTCAATGTCCCTTGAAGAAAGGAACAGATCCATGGGTGGTGTGATCCGCAGATTCAGCTCGGTGGGATTCGGAAAGAGGAGGTTGTTGAACGACACCGGCGAGAGCTGGGGAACTTCCCCCTCCAGCCCATCAGCAGTAGACGGACGCGATGTTGCTGCTCTTGGGTTGATTAGAGATATGTTTGCTTGTCCAAAGTCCAGCACTTCGTCTTCGGCATGCTCCTCTCGTGCCATCAGAGTTCTCCAAACCTGACGCAATGTTTGACTGAGCTCCGCGTCCTTTATAGAAAGGCCTTGCAACGCTTTCACAGGATCTTGCGCCAGCAGACGTCCCATACTCTGCTGCCGAGCCTTCACCCGCTCTTCAGCTTCCGCAATGAGCGCGCTTGCAAACTCTGCTTGGCCAAGCAAGAAGAATCGCTGTAGGCAGTTCAAAAGTCTGGTCGTCTCGTTGAGTGGCAACAAACGTTGTAGCACGTTTCGCGAAAGTGACTGCCGAATCTCCGCAATCGCTCGAGAGAATTGAGCTGGCATGAGTGGTAAGGTAAGGGATGAGAGTTGACTCAGATGAGCTGTTGCGAGCTCGTTATCGCTGATTGAAGAAATTGATGAAGAGGAAGTTGTATGACTTAACCGCCGATGGTGAGCCACTTGATGTAGAGACTTGCCGATGAAGAGTATAGATGCAGCAGTGCCGGGCGTCACGAATGCAGGCAGAAGTGTCTTCTCCTTCAAGTACTTTGGCTCTTCCAAGCCCTCGATTTTGATGAAGAAGTCTCTGGCGCCATACGTAGGCAGCTTTCCATGCACAATCCACGATGTCAGCTGTCGTAGCCACGACGTTTCCGCCACTCGCGTGAGTTCGGTGGCAGCAGTTTCGACCTCTGGATAGCCGGTCTGCATCGAAAATCGCAATTTGTCGATGAGCCGGGCTGAATTGCATCTACTGTTCTTTCCATTTGGATCGAGCATGAAGCACGCGACTTGCCAGTACCAATTCATGACCCGGTGCCAATCATCGAATTCAGCCACGACCGAAGCCAGAGGAACGATTTCGTAGGCGCCTACAAGGCTCGCATCTTTCTTCAGTATCTTCTCCTCGACCTGCAAGATGTGTTTCTGGAACCTGCCCAGATGCATTTGCTGGATGGAGGCAGCCACGGCGCGACATATCACAGACTCATGCGTAGACGCAATCAATTCGAGATGTCGTTTGAGCTTGCGATGCAGTTCGGAAAGCGTGCCTATGGACTTGAGAAGTGCGGCTTCTGAAGGGGATAGCAGCGGGAAGTCGTCCTTGGCCCCATTTGTTGTCGAGTTGAAGAGCGGCGACGGATGGCCGGACAAGGCGAGCAGCACTTCGTGCAGCATGTTCCTCGTGGTCTGCAGCGGCTGCTGCCTGTCGCGCTCTGGCGTCGGCGCGACCTGATCACCACGCTGACAATTGGTTGCCCAGTGATCCCAGACTCAGAATGGCGAGAATACGGCCGGTCGGTGCCAAGAGATCGTCTGCCAGAATCCGGACGCGCGACTTGGAAGCTCCAGATCCAGCCACAGCGACGCGTGTGATCCGATCCTCGTGCATTTACGACGCTCGCGGGTGAGATTCGTGCATCCTCGAGGCCGGCGGCGAAGGCGTGGTTGGCTGGAGAATGATGCCTGACACCAGCGGGCATGTGTCGGCGGACGTCTCATTCAGGCAGGTTTCTGGAAGGGCGCGGCCTGACCGCATCTCGTGGCTGAGAGAGGCGAGACATTCGTGAAGGCAAAGGTGGGGAGCTGTCCGTCCACTGCACCTGCATGATGCAACTGCCCACCTTGGACAGCTGCCACCTGGGGTTCTGGACTGCCGGCGTGGTATAAGATGCAGCACCACTCGCCCTCTCTTTTGCCAGTGCTGCTCGATCCCTTTCGACACAAAGAGTGCGCTTGACATCACACGCGGTCATCCTTCACAGCGCCAGCGCCATCCGCCAGCCTCGTGCCCAAACAACCTCTACTTGACTCTCGCCGCGGAACAATCGACCCCGCCTCTTCACACCGCAACCCCCAAAACTCAAAGCCAACATGCAGAACATCCGAGCCAAGATCAAGCGAAAGTTGTCCATTCGCGATAAAGACGGTATGCAACAATGCCAATGCCTCAGCAGCTACACTGTACTGACATTTTGAAGCCAACCCCGATGACTACGAGAACGCCTCCGATGTCGATGAGGAGACTACGGGCCACCTCCATCGCGAGATCGAAAAGGCCGAGGCCGACGGCCACGACATGGGCAAGCCAGGCAGCTTTCTGAACAAGCTCATCATGCACGGAAACAAGAAGACCGAGGAGCAGCTCGCGCGCGAGGCCGCTTACGCCAACCAGGGTGGTCAGCAGCAGATCGGACAGCAGGCCGTTGGAGCTTCGTCTGACGGTGTCGTGCGATAGATGAACTTTGAGAAGGATACAGGATATGGCAATGACAGTGCAATGAATGTATGATGGAAAGACAGGACAGGTTGGACAATGAAGGTACACAGCAACCAAGAATTGAGTCCGGTTTCAGATCCCGCTCAGAGTTTCTTTTGATAGCTGTCACTCATCCTAATTGCGAACAGCAGAATGGAAACCAGGAAATACGCTCACTGTGCAATTTCTCTCTTACGAAATCAATTACGCAGCTGCGTCGCTTGTCGAGACAGAGCGCCTTAGCTATGCTGCACAAGGCGAAGACACGAGCATCGAAATGGCACTCGACTTCCCCGGGCAGATGAGTACGCAGTCTCAATCTTTGTTTTGCTTTCCGGCAGTACACAACGTTCTCGCCGAAGTTTGCTTACTTCCGAGCGCAGAGCCTACGAGGCTATCTCACGATGGGTGGGCATTGCAAAGAGGCACGAGTACAGGGCGTCCGTCAACTCACACAAACAAGATGACACTGAAACTCGACATGACTCTGGATTCTGGCAAGCTTGCGGTGCCACTGTGTAGTAGGCCAGGTTGAGAACAGAGAGCCTTCCATGTTCTGAGACAGAGATGGTATCGGATGACAGCAGCGAAAAAGTGATCGTTAGACGTCTATCTTCCCATAACGAACGAGGTTGTCATACACAACTTGACTCTCAGGCCCAATACCCACACCACAACGAATGATCACAACTCCCCATGATAAATGGGCAGAATCGGGGCCCCAACGGGCATCTTGACGTCTTCCTCCGGTGCCACTGGTCTACAATACATGCCGACCAATTCCAGAACACCCTCGATAAGCTCGTATCGCGCGCGCAGGCGGCACTCCTCTCCCAACGACCGGCATTGCGACGCGCAGTCTGCTTTTTCGCGCTCCAAGTCCATTGCTTCTGCGTGCTTGGAGAATCGCCAAGTGCGGCATTTGGTCTGCTCCTTGTCATCGTACTTCAGGCACTCCAGGCCGACTTTGTCGCCTGATTTGTCGTTGCTGTTCTTCTCTGCGAGACCGAGGAGTGTGAAAAGCGCCAAGGCTGCCGCTTTGATGCCGACCATCTTGACTGTGGTTCCGAAGCACGTCAGTGAATTGAACACACGACAGCGAAGTGGGAAAGTCCTGACCCGAGGTTTCAACTGGCTTTGTCTTCTGTTGAAATATGGACTAGAGCTGGTGATTGAATAGCGCTGTAGTCGTTTGCTTCTGGTGATGAAGATGTGGTGTGGGAGAGACAGGAGGAGGTGGGAGGCCGAAGGTGTATGGCAGTCCATCCTCCTGTGCTTTCCTCGATGTTGATACTGCAAGAGCGTTGCCAGGAGAGAAGGCGGAGAGGTGAAATACGCAGGTGCGGTCTTTCGCGTGGGAAGTTCTTCTTGGTGCATCGCAGGCGCTCTCCTGCCTTTTGCGGTTGGAAGCCGCTGCCGCTTCATTCAACGCGTTTGGTGCTTGCCTTTGCAGAGGGACCCAACTCGCAGGCTGGTGTGATCGGTAGAACAGACCTTCCGCTATTGCCAGTTTCCGAGCTTCCCTCTCCGCTGGGCTAGGGCACTGGCTATTCGATTTATCATCGAAGACCTGAGAAAGAGCCAGTCTTCAGGAAGCATTTGGCGTACTACGATCCTGAAATTCAAGCTCACTCGAGACTCCGGGTCAGTCCAGTCCAGTCCATCCTCACCTTCCATCCTCCCTCACATCCCCACCCTCACCTCTCTCAACATCCTCACCACCTCTTACCTCAGGCCCCTTATAAACCTGCAACTTCTGCCCGAAAGGCACCTCCACTGACCTCACATTATTCTTCCCCTTCAATCTTCTCCCTTGATGTCCCGTTCTAGCCGCAAGTCTATCTCTCGACTCTCCCAATCCAGGAATAAAAGAAATGTAAATATGCTTCTTCCTCACAAGCATGAAAATCGCAAATAGAACTGCGACTCCGGTTGTGACTCCTAGTGCGATGCCGACGGTTCGGCCTGTCGGCATTATGTCTGAAACTTGTATCGCAGTCTGTGGCGCTTCTGCGTTTGGTTGGTTTGTGAGGTTACAGTTATCGCGTGTGATTGTGGTTGCAGTGATGTAGTGGATCAGGCAGCATGTTCAGCTCTTTCCGGCGCGGTTGTATACCGTACCGTGAAGGATTGCGCTCTCAGCCGCAGGCGCCTTGCGTATGGGTCTTGCTAATCTGTGGCACACAGCACACAGCCACCAGTGTTTTCTATGCTTGGCAACGTATCGCTCGTATAGTCATGCTGTGTAACCATCCTTCAGGATGATTTCTTGGCTATCGCGATCCACGACGTCAGATCAGTGGCTGTTCAGCAATGGAATGAACGAACGCAACATACCTCTCTGCCAATGGGCAAAGGACGTGATGATGTTTTCAAACGGAGACTGTATCCTCTGGTGGTTCTGTCTCTATCGACTCTGTCCTGAGAGCTTTACTGCTGCCAACTCCTACCTATGCAAAATGCAATGCCATATTTGGGTATCCGCCACAATTGAATCAAAAAATGCAAATGCCCACACATGCAAATTATGATGCAGCCTTCTTCCGGTCCAATTCGACTTTCGAGTAGTATGCAGCGCCAGCTGTGGCAACCAACATGCCAAATCCATTTACTATCCCAACTTGCACGTTGAAGAGAACGATGCCGAGTAAAATCGTCAAGCATTGTTTGACGTTTCCGCATACGCTGATCGTGAGGGCTCCGGCGACCTTGTTTGTTTGGAAAGATACGAGGTTCAAGCCGAATGCCATGGCAGCGTTCCCAACAATGGAGACCAGGATGCCTGTCGAGAAGGCTCCTTCGTTTGAGTATTCGCGTAGCTTTGCAAATTCACCGCTTCCGGCGGCGTAGAAGAGGCATTGAATTGCAGCCAGTGGGCACATCCTGAATAGCACTTCCATTGCTGGCAATTTCAGGTTCCCGGTCATGAGGCGATTCGTAGCCACTGTCTTGACGCTCGCAAGTACCACGCCAAGCAGCGTAAGTGTAAACCCGATCGCGGTGAAGTAGTAGTCGCCGAAGGTAGCCAGGCCTACTCCGATGATGAGGGGGATCATCGAAAGATATGTCTCGTGGTCGTAAGTCCGGCCGTACGCCACGCGGTAGATAAATATGGTCATGACGGGACATGTGCTTCGCATGACTTGGTGGAAAGGTACAGATACCAGGGCCCTGTAATGCATTAGTACAGACATGGCAGCAAACGCTGGTGCACTTACAAAGAAACGTTACTGATGGCAATGTTTACTGTGAAAAGCGTTGAGAATGCCACAAGGATGAGGTTGTCTCGTAGTGTTAGCTTCGAGAGCTTCATCTGGCCTGTTGCCAGGAGCATCGAGCATCCTATTGATGTCGCGAAGGTATGCGAGAATGTGAGTAGCCATGGTAGGGAGGCATTGCGGAGAAGGGCCTTGTTGGATAGTGTAACACTGAGGTTGAGGAGGAAATAGAGGCCGAGATAAGTGAGCTTCTTGCTGGTTGATACCGTGTATTCCAGAGGTGTGGCGTTCGGTTGTTCTTGCGATTCTACATCGCGTTCATCCTTATCGAGGAGCTCGTGATTCTCCGGCACTCCGTCCGTGTCCATGGAATCATGGAGTTCCCTCTCTCGTTGCGCATCCATCGAGAAGTCCCAAGCTGGCCAGTCCAAGTGATGATCAAAGTCGTTGGTTGTCTCTCATGATATTACGAATGCAAAGTGGCTACTTGCAAGCAGGAAGATCCGAGCGGGCCAAGGTCAGTGAGGCGTGCGGATCGCACGGCTGCGCTGATGACAGAGGCTGAATGCTTGTTGGGTGCAATCGCTGCTCGTCGCACGCGGGACTCGGCTGTGATATGTGAGTGGTTGTCTCCTGCGTTCAGCCGATACTTGGCATTCATGCCGCTAGCATAAACATAATGAAGAAGATGAAGGGAAGGAACAGCTCGCTCTCTGCTGGACCAATACGACGGTGGTGGACTCCAATCGGAAGGTCCAGATGGTACTTGAGCGGTAGCGCGAGCACGAGTGTCAGGCTGATTTCTGCGCCTCTCGGCAGGGCTGCGAGCCAAGCGTTCCGCGAAAAGCCGCGAGTGCCACAGCCAGATCCACTGTGGGTGGCTGTGGTCTGACACTTTTTACTGCTCTTCGCACCGGCTGCCGATAAGCCAATGCTGGATGTTCCTTCGCCGTTGCACTCTTTGGACGCGACGCGCATCCTTGCGAATCACACTCCCACGATGGCACGGCGGGCACGATTGGCGACTGCAGTACGCTCCCCTTCACCGCAATCCGCATACAAATGACACGATGGCCGCCACCCGTGCCAACGCCTCGAAGCGATACTCGCGCCCCACCGCCTCCTGCCGACCACCCGTCCGCGCGCTGGCCTTGCGCTCTTGGCGACTGCAGCAACGTGGGGCCCAAGAGTCTGCGCGCATCAGGTTTTTCTCCCTTCAGTAATCGCGCGCTCCCGAAATACGAAGCGTGGCCCGCCGAATGTGCGGAGTGTCTTCCGATCTCTAGCAACGAGTGAGATGATGCCTGCGGTGCCCTGTGAGCAGGAAGGAGAAGCCGCTCCGTGGATCCTGTCCCAGCAAGCGTGGCATCCGATAAAGGCACAGTAGCTCCGTTACCCCTGAGGAGAAGGATTCAAGCAGCCGAGCAGCACCAGCACTTGGGGGTCTTGGAGCCACGAAAAGAATTCTTGTTCGTGACGACGCCACGCCCAACGCTGTGGCACATATTCTGCACGAACCAGCATCTGAACGAGCCTTATGCTCCAGCCCAGCAATCACGCGAACACCGGAGCTGCGGGCAATCGTTTTACAAGTACAACCCCCAAACAGAGCTGCAGCTGCTGTGGCAGTCTCTTCCAGCCACAAGTCTCAACCACCCACGTTTTCCAGATAAGCTCAACTGGTGGCTTCCGCGCTACTTTTAACCCCGCGACCCTTCTTCACAACCGCCGCGGCTCTTGGAAAGTCATCTCGACCAGGGGGTCTGTTCATGTTCACTCTTTGGCGCTGCTCGACCGTTTCCTCTTGAGAAACCCACATTCGTTAATATGGCTCCAACCGTTGTTACCGCTCAAGGCAGCCGCAAGACGGTGAAGAAGATCTGCTGCATTGGCGCAGGCTATGTTGTCAGTTTCTTCGAAGCTGATCCCGTACCTGACATGGTTAACATTTACGATAGGGCGGACCCACCAGCGCGGTCATTGCGCAACACAACCCAGACATCACCGTAACGGTCGTCGACTTGAGTGAAGACCGCATCCAGGCTTGGAAATCGAACGCCCTGCCCATCTACGAGCCTGGCCTTTTCGATGTCGTCGAAGTCGCCCGCGACTGCAAAGATGGCCGTCGCCAATCGAACTTGCACTTCTCGACCGACGTTTCCGGCGTGATAAACGAGGCCGACCTTATCTTCATCGCTGTCAACACTCCTACGAAGACGGAAGGTCTTGGTGCAGGAGGAGCATCGGACCTCGCATACGTTGAATCGGCTGCACGACACATTGCAGAGGTCGCGACAAGCGACAAGATTATTGTTGAGAAGAGCACAGTGCCATGTGGAACAGCGGACAACATTCAAGAGATTCTCGACGCACATGCTGCGCCCAATGTTCACTTCGACATTCTGTCGAACCCGGAATTTTTGGCTGAGGGCACAGCGATGAACGATCTGATGAAGCCTGATCGAGTACTCATCGGTTCGCACAAGGACGAGAGATCGCTCGTGGCAGCCACAGCTTTGGCGGACGTTTATGCTGCATGGGTGCCACGGGATCGCATTATCACGATCAATCTCTGGTCTTCAGAGCTTGCCAAACTTGCTGCCAACTGCATGCTTGCGCAACGAATCTCCAGCATCAATTCCTTGAGCGCAATATGCGAAGCTACAGGAGCGAACATCGAAGAGCTTGCATTTGCCGTTGGGCAAGATACCAGAATAGGGCCCAAGATGCTCAAGGCATCGGCAGGCTTCGGAGGCTCATGTTTCAAGAAGGATGTTCTCAGCTTAGCATACATCGCTGAGACCCTTCACCTTCCCGAGGTCTCCGCATACTGGAAGTCGGTGGTAGACATCAACGAGTATCAGAAAGAGCGGTTCGCTAAGAGGATAACAAAACGACTATACAACACTCTTCGCCTGAAGAAGATCGCCATCTTAGGCTTCGCTTACAAGAAGAATACGGGCGACACACGAGAGAGCGCCGCGATCACAATCGTTGGCCAGCTCATTGCTGAAGGCGCAAAGATTGCAATCTACGATCCGCAGGTGTCAGAAGCGACAATTCAGCAGGATCTGATTCGTGAGCACCGACCTGACGTGGTCAAGCAACGCGTCACTGTCTATCCTGACGCAATCTCTGCATGCGCCGACGCCAGTGCCGTGGTCATCCTTACCGAGTGGGACGAATTCAAGACCGATCGTGTGGCAGAGAAGTCGAACGGCACGAAACAAACAACGTACACGCAAGCAAACGGTCACTCCGATTCCTCGTCCAATTCGGAGGCGGAAAGTGAGTTCTTGGACAGTGCTATTGGGACACCGGCGTCCACTGAACGTGAACGTCCAGAATATGTCGACCCCATCGACCCAGCCAACAAGCGGGTAGACTGGGCTCAAATTGCCAGCTCGATGAAACGGCCGAGATTAGTCTTCGATGGACGCAACGTTGTGGACAGCCAGAAGCTTGCGAGCTTGGGGTTCACTGTCGAGTGCATTGGCAAGCCAGGTGCTCGGCAGCGACGCTTGTAGATGTTCTTGCATCAAGATTCGCACGCTTACCCGGAGGTGAACGGATCTTTCGGTGAGGTCAGCGGACTCAGCGCCCCAAAGATTCTCCGCTGGGTGATGAAACTTGCAACCCATGGGGTCGCATGTGATGGGGTTGCGCACATTGTCGATCGGGACCACTCGATGAATCTGAGCTTAGCGTACGCTCCAGGTTTGAGGTGGAATGTGGATGACACAGCATCTCGCACACCACACATGAATCGAGACGCGCGTAATGGTTCCACGGGATTCCAGACCTCTCGAACGTTGCGCTAGACGTTTGCATTGGACATGGGCGGTTTTCGACTCCGAAGGTCGCTGGATGGCCTCAATTCATGATGTGAATATTCTTTGGAACTTGGCGACATAGATTTGCGATGGGATATACTGCTCACGCAGTCATTAGGCAATCCCAGCATAATAATAGGTAGCACAGCAGCACAGCGTTCCTTATAGGCCTGGTATCAAACACAGCAGTCCGCGTCAGCACTTGCTACTCCTGCGGCAGGGGCCGGGCCTGGTAAGGAACAGCAGCCGAACTTCTGGATGAAACTTTGTGAAAGCCACACGAAAACCACCCGATGCATCACGCATCAACCGGAAAAGGTCATTGAAATCTAAGCATTCGCCAAGCTTTAACGTGCAAGCCGAACCCGGCTGATCCAGCAAGCACTTTGCTATCGGCCCACTCGGTCAGCCCAAGTGTCGTCACTTTATATCATATCCTTGCACCATGCTGAGACTTTTGGTCCGGTTCACGGCATCTCATTTTTCCCGCAGGAGGAACATGCATGTGTTGTGTAGGGTCCACTGAAGGAGTTGGTGTACTTGGCAAGGTGGGTGCTATGTCTTGGTGAAGGAGGTAGCGCTCGTACCTGAGGTGAGTCCTGGTTGTTCGTGAACATTCGAGGTGAAGCCGAAAGCGAACGCCCCTCGCCGTGGCGGCCATGATCGGCGCTTACGACATGAGACAGGCCGAATCCTTGAATTAGAAATTTTGGCTGCTGCCGGGGGTTGGTATTACTGCAGCTTGCTTGACTAGTAGAACCGGGGCCTACACTTACTGACAACCTATAGTGCAGCCGAACATCGGAATGGACGCGATACGTGCGAGATATCGACCCCCCATGCACGGCATTGCAATCAACACTGTAGGCGCTGTGGTCTGACCTCCTGATCCTCCTGCGCGCCGAACATGAGGCAAGAGGGAAACAACAGCCGATGACGAGGCCCCCTCGCTTGGCGGCAAGATGGCATTTCTGGGTCTATGCGGCCATGCACAAAGCAGAGAGGCTGCTATTCGAGCGAATCCACCGCCAATGTCAGCAGCCCGCGGGTGTGGAATCCGCACGCCGACTCTCACTCGTCCGCATCGTCGCGACTCGCCTCCCCTCAGTCATGGCCCGTCGCTAGGTGTTAGTCGTCGTTTGCTTGCACGCGCCGCCAACCGCTGGTGCCAGTGTCGGCGATCCTTCCTCGTGTAACTTCACTTCTTACGTCCTTTGTTGGTAGGCGGAGACTGCTCACCAGCTTGCCATCCTTTTGCGCTTGGCGAGCAAAGTCGAACAAGAACATACTAATCAGCCACCGCCTTCTTCACGGGCCTTTCCTTCTTTAGAACTGGCTAGAAAACTGGACCCGCAACACCTTGCCGGAGCCCGATTGCCCTTCTGTTGCCGTCCGCAAATGCACGCACAACTCCACAAGAAGCGTATGCAGCAACGACGAGGAACAACGCCGCTTCCCCTCCTTTCCGCTCGACAGTCGCGACGATGATCGCTAACAAGCGGTTCGCCTTCTTGACGGCCGTGGCCTTTGGCATCTTGCTGCTTCCGTTTCTCTTTGGATACCACTTTACAAAGATCAAAGACGTTTCATTAAGCTACATCAAACATGCCTCGCGATCAAGAGCCTTCCATCTGCTTCTTCCTGCAACGGGGCCGAATTTGCACTTTTGTCGACTTCTGTTATCAGCAGCAGTGACTGGCTATCCCGAACCCATCTTCATCGGTTGGGATGGACGAGGAATGTACAATGGCTCCGAGTCGCATTTGTTCAAGATCACAGAGACCTTGACCTACCTGCGCTCTCTGCCTCCAAGTGCCGACAATGATCTGGTTTTATTACTCGACGCGTACGACATCTGGCTTCAATTGCGACCAGAGGTCATGATTGAGAGGTACCACAGCGTGATTAAACAAAATGACGAGCGCTTAAGGCAACAAGGGTTGCTTGGCAAATATCACGGAGGTGACTACGTTCGAAACTCCATCGTCGTGGGACCGGATAAGATCTTCTGGCCGCAAGGAATCGATGATCCCGCGAGTTGGGCAGTGCCGGAGTCACCTTTGCCGAAGGACTCGTTTGGTCCTGCCACCGATGTTATCATGCTTACTGCCAGACCAAGATGGCTGAATAGTGGTACAATCATGGGACCAGTAGGTGACCTTCGAGACTACTTCGCGGCCACACTGGACATGGTCAGCCGAAGGTACGATTCGAACTATGAGTTCCGAAATAGCGATCAACTCTACTTTGCCGAAGTGTGGGCTGAGCAGGAAATCCAGAGAAGGCGTCTACGTGATGGGGACTTTAAAGCACCAGAAGTGCTTGAGGGCGTGAAGGGTATCATGCCTGAGATCCCCAAGGGCCGAAGAACGGAGTATCATATTTGCCTCGACTACAGGACAGAGATGTTCCAAACAGCAGCTGCATTTGAGAAGCACCTTACCTGGATGCGCTTCAATCTGACGAGCGAAACGTACCCAGACATTCCGCAAGACGATCGATTCGGAGGAGGTGAAGTGGCCGACGGATGGGTCAAAGACATTCGCATCGACAAAATCAAACTCACCGACGACATTCTCGAGACGGATCCTCCTTTCGCCGCAGCAGATGAACCCACAGACATGCCTAAGAACCAATCGTGGACCGAGACCAATCTGGGCACCAACCTCGTCACGAAAGAAGCTTTCCCTCTCTTCCACGTCACAGGCGACAAAGGTATCCGAGACCGCTGGTGGCCGCGAATGTGGTTCCACCCGTACGGCGAAGAGCTCCTGAAAGCCACGAAAAAGAAAGAGCATGTATTAAGCAGCGGGACCACAGGTAAGCAGAGTGGGCTCCGAAAAGGACAATTCGTCTTCGCGAAAGCTGCCGGGACGAATTGGCGAGGTGCTGTTCCTGTCGTTACGCACGCGAGACCGCAGCTGGAAGATGAGAAGGGTGGAGCTTGGGTGGACAACGGAGATTATGTGCCGTGGAATGCCATGTGTGGTGCCTATGAGGGTGAAGACCTTTACATTGGACCTGAGCTGGCGGGGAAGGACAATCCGCCTCCGCCGGAGCCTGAAGAGGAGGGAGAGGAGGGCACTGAGGAACAGGCTGAAGAACAGGCTCGAAGATGAACTTTGTATAACGCGGCATGAGCGGTTGGCGTTGGAAACTCTTTTTTTTTTGACTTTCGTTGCATAGCGGAGGGCATGTATGGCAAACAGAGCGCATGTGTATGGCGTAGAAGTGTGCAGTGTAGAGCTTGACGGCTGCCTTCATTGGCGTGGTAAGATACCCGCATGTTCAGGTTAATATCGTCATCTCTGTTCCAAGCTTCCTGGTGCGGACCATGTGCGCATGGTGATGAGCTGCTCTTCCAGCACTTCTATCAGAGCTGGAGCCGCAGGGAGCGCAGCCGGCCTGTAGCTGATGTCGACGTACTTACATCCCGCTTGCTTCCCAAAAGCTCTTGTGTCATATCATATCATCGTTATCATTCTCTTGCCCTCATACAGCACTTGGCTGGCCCCTCAATCCAGTGCTTCCGCCAGTACGATCAAACTGAACCTCAGCTCTCCGCCCCCAGCCTCTTCCTCTCTCTTCAAAAACGCTCTTACGCCTTTCTCTAGCGCCGCTGGACTCAGCACATCCTCATCCTCTCCAATGCTGCCTCGGTCAAGCGGTCCCTTCCTCCTGCCGTCCAGTTCCCACAAATTCCCATTCTTCCCCTTCACGAAACAGACATAATGCAAATCAATACTGTCATCTGCACTCGGCGCTTGCGTATCGCCCGTCGCAGCCGCAGCCTGATGTGCCGTCTCCAAAGCCTCCGTCTCCTCCAACAACACCGCTCGCTTCACCGGATCTAATGGCTCCGCCTTCTTGACCAGATCTTCCAACGCCGTGCCGGGTTGAATGTAAGTTCTCGCTTGTCCGTTGCTGACGCCGTGGAGAAGGCCAATGAGACCGCAGGCATTCCCAATCGTTTGTTTGTACCAAATTACCGGTTCGGAAGAGCCGCTGCCTGTGTATTCGGATTTGGAGCTGTCTTCTTCGTGTCGGAATTTCTCGTAGGTTTGGGAAACGGGGAAGACGAGGAGGAGGGCGTGCGCGGGGCGTGGGACGAAGGCGAGGAGGTCGGGGTCGTCGATTGAGAAGACGTCGTGGAAGGAGAGGGATTGGGAGAGGCCGAGGTTGTGGAGGAGAGAGGTCATTACTTCAGGGTTGTTTTCTGGTGGTTTGTAAGTAAGTTGCTGGTCGTTTGGCGGAGAAGTGATGCCTTACCGAGTGGGACGAAGCGCTTGTTGCGCGTTCCTGGTTCGACTGCCATGATCGAGGACTGTATCGGTGAATACGTATTGTACTGCAGTGAGTTGTGAGAGTCTTGCGGAAGTGTAGAGTTTATGGTGTTGGATGAGGAGCTTTGAGGCAGCAACGGATGATGCAATGCAACAAACAGACAAGCTTTCCACCCACCTGCAGGTACGAACTAGTTCCACGAGCTTCTCTCTACTACAGACTACAGCAACAGCTGGGCGGTCATGAAGTGAGGTGAGAGGAAGGTTGCCGTAATACGAAGGTTGCCGCAATACGAAGGTGGAAAGTCAATCTCAAGCCGAACCATTTTCTTATAGGGAGCACGGGCATTGGGGCTGAGCAGGAGGTAGATCAGGAAGCTCATGCTTGATCCACAACTCCATCCACCCTCTTCTTCATCCACTATTGACACGACATAGTTCAGGGCAACATCTAGACCTGTTCATTTCACTCAACGGCGTGCAATGTCACGCTGGATCGCCCGCCGAGCTGAAGCAGGCAATGCTTCGTCGGAAAGCCTACCGGGTGCTTGCGTTCGGTGAGCACGAAGTTGTGCTCGTCGATACTGTTCATATCGCTGTGGGAACTTCGAACCTCGCTCAGTTGGAAGATGTCAAGGAGATCCGCAATTGACACGTGTCTACAGCATTTCGTCTTATGGCCTGTCTGAGCAGATAATATATCATGCTTGAGCGCTCACAGCTTGCGTAGCCAGATTTCCGAGACGCCAGGACCAAGCGATACTTTCAAAGTTGTAAGAAGAGGACTCGGTGGCGGTTTCTCCAGATGGCTTGCTTCCAGTGCCGACGACAAGGGGCGGCCCTGCCGCAGGACGCAGCATCGTGGAGTAAAGTGATATTGACCAACATGAGCGAGAAGGGAGCGCCGCAGATTCGTGTAGTGATGATACGCCACGAAGAGTGAAGTGTTCGCGTAGCTTCCCAAGTCACTCCTTCCTCGGACGCGTCCATGGCAAGAGCGTGTCTGCCGCCTAGAAAGCTGACCTCCTCAACCATGTACAATCCTGTACACAGCACAATCGCGACACCAAACCAATACACATCCCTACAAGACTCGCCATGGCTGTCAAGAAACAAACTGGCAAGCAACGAGTCAGGCCGACGCAAGAACGGATTGAATTCTCGCCAGACCCACCATCACCTAGATTGCCAGGCGCGCTCAGAGGTCTGAATCCAGACAAATATATCATTAATAACAGCGTCAAGCACACAGTGGAATCTGCAGATGGTGATGACAATGGCACCAAGAGTCCGCCGTCAACGAAGCACACTACTCGCGCATCGCGAGGTCTCGGAAAAGATGTCTCATACGCAAGTGTTATTCCGTAGGTTCTGGGGCCTATCATTCTAACAGTGATGCAGGACATGAAGTACCATCCAATGGATAGAGTGACGCGCCCCAACAGCGCTGCAACCCGAAGACAGTCAAAGTCTGCTTCGCTTGCTATGTCCGAGGCCGAGGATGAGGATAATTCTGCGACGATCGACAGCGACGAGGATCTCAGCGAGGAAACATCCCATGATGAGCCGTCCGAGAATTCGCAGGACGAGGCCGAACCACGCAGGACGATCAAGACCCTTGTGATTGAACCACGCCTGCCAGATCCGAAGGCATCCCGCCACTCAGCTCGAGAGGCAGCGAGGAAAGCTGTCAATTACTCCAAGAAATACCACCCGCAGGACCACGGGATCCCCGGATATCGACATCGACCTTTCCTCACGCAACCAGATCAGGAAGACTTGGTTGCTTCGACGAATCGCAAGAAGCGTCCTGTCCCAATCACCGATGAAGCGGACGCAACTGAGGATTCTGGAGACGAGCAGCCAGAGGTCGCGAGAGGCAAGCCGAGAAAGAAGTTGAAATCACTTGGGGATGAACCACCTTCACGAACAAAGAAGAAGCGAGGTGGTCAGCGGGCCGCGACCAAGGCCAAAGCCAAAGGCAAACAAACTAACAAGTCGGCGTTTCGTGCGAAGGAAGCAGAAGAAATCGATGATCTTGTGAACATGGTACGACCTCAAAATTTACACTAATGGCTTCCACTGATTACCTGCAGGCAATCGCGGCAACACAGAAAATGGGACCAATCACCATCAGCAGCAACGATGACAGTGATGTTGAGGAGACGCCTGAATTGGCAGCCGACGACTACGACGATCCTATGCCTAACCTGCCGGGCATGCTTTCGCGCGAGGACAGTCGCGATACTGCGAACATGCCCGACAAATTGTTGACTGCGTGCACGCAAGTGAGCAACTTACCCGGCACGGACGAATCTGGCACGGTGCCGGATGATGACCCTGCAGACTCACGCGACTCTTCGCTTGTCACTGTTGACACGAGCGCCACTCTGGCTCATGAGGTCGCTACTCCTGCGACAACGTTCCATGCCACTCCTGGTGATGGTGCGGTGCCATTCCCTCTGCCGACATACGTCGAGGATCGAGTGAGGCTCACGGTAGGCTCACAGTCTCCAGTAACATTCGCAGCTGTGGTACGCACGCTATTCGAGCAGCCTCTTTCCGGAACAGACGCGACACTAGTTATCCAAAAGCCGTATCTGGAATATCCACCGGCCCGTGCTCTGCAGGCCCGTGAGGACTCTGCAAGATCGCCTTCGCCACAGGACACAGCCTGCAGCATGGACAATGAAGATCAGATTGAGACGAAGAGCGAAAGCGAGGTCGGTATTGGGCAAACTGGCTCGAAGCTGCAGCCGATTGTCGAGAGGTCGAACCTGGAGTTCCCGCTTGCTCGCGTTTCTTCACAGCACGGGACATCTTCAAGCCCACCGATGCCAGTAGACCCAGCCAGCAGTGCGAACGGCGGCCAGCATGCTAGCGAGGAGTTCCGACACGATGAGTCCCGTCACACTGAGCTTCAACACGATGAACGCCAAGACGATGAGCTCCAACGTGATGAGCTCCATCAAGATGAGCTTCAAGACGATAAACTCGAATACGATGAGGAGAACGAAGATCCTTACGAAATGTACACTCCTGTCGCAACCGAGTTTGAAGATGCCATGGCCGTGACAGAAAGCTCAGCAGGGCAATCTTCGGATCCCATCAACTTCATCGAGATGTTCGGCGTGACTCAGAAGGACGCTACTACCCAGCAGTCTGCAACGCCAAATCCGTCCACGCCGCGCAGGTCACAGCTCATCTCTTGCAGAGAGGCCTTGGGCTATGACGACTCAGACATGTACCAGGAGGACGAGGCAATGAGAGGTTGACTGCCCGGTGCATTTGTGCAACTGTACAGCTGCGTTGCTGTTCGTCCAAGCTGGCTCAGATGGTGTGGCGCAAGAATTGTGTTTCGCTACATGCGTTATCTTTATCGTGCACAAAAGAGGTATGTATTAACGTTCGACCAATGTCTATGCGAGATTTGGCCAATGCTTCAATCGTCAGAGGTTGTTCGATCCACTCTGCAGTCGGACTCCAAAGTTTCTGTGGATTCGAGACTCATGAGCCCCCTTCAGCTTTCTCGTATCATCAGAACCGCGATAGCGACGCATGGAAGTAATAAGCACACCATGGAAGTCACAGATTGCATTCCAAGAATCGTGGGCTCTAAAGACCGTCTCCAGACCTCGTAGTCCTCGGCACGTCGGCGATAAAATTGCTTCACAGTGCGCAACCTCCCGATCCACTGTTCATTCTCGCGGTAAAAGCCGCTCGGCTCCCTTCGAAACCATTTGCATAGGTATCGCCGATGCCGAGGATGCGACCGCTTTTCGCGAGATATCGAAACTTCACAGCCGTCTTCATCTTCGCGCCACTCGTAGATGTAGCACCATGTCCTTTCGTAAGGAAGCCTGTGGAAGTATTTGAAGAAGCTGGTGTGGGTTTTGGGGGCTGAGAGGATGAAGGTGCTCCGGGTGTAGTATTTCGCAACGTATTTCTCGCGGGTCCAGTGACAGAGACGGAGAGCCAGCGGAGTTTGGAAGTTGGAATCGATTCGAATCCTGGGTCGAGCGTGCGGGTCATCATCGAAGAGCTTTTCGAGGATCATATCTATCAGCTCTTGGGGGAGAATGATGGCATTTTGGCGCAGAGGTGCTTCTTCTGAGTCTTCGACTTCGTCGGCGCCTGTTCCTTCCTCGAGGGCGCGTGCTTCATCTTCGGATCCACGGAGGACTGTGTCGTCTTCTTCTCTGAGCCGCTGCATGGTTGCCATTAGATCGGAGTCTGCGATGATGAGAGTGTGTTAGTGGAAAAGAATGTTGAAAATACTGGACTTTTTTTTGGTGCGTCGGAGCCGCGTGGTGGGAACCGTGGTTGGATTGTTTAGCATCTACGGTGGATGTCACGTTACCAGACAACTCTAAGGCGAGCGTACATTCCTCCAGAAAGTCATACCCCAGGGTCGTGTTCATCAGCATAATCTACTACCTCGATGTAGCATCCATTTGGTATTCTGCCATCGTCGAGAGACGATGACCACAAATGCGATTGCGGCGACATATTTGACGACGTCGCAGCCAAATCTCAACTTCAATGCATACTTTTAGGCCGCTTAGGAGACTTTGTTGTTGCAGACAACATGGCAGTGGAAAGGTGAAGTGCAGCGATACCTTGCCACTCGTGACTCCCGGCCAGGTCATCGGCACAAGTCGGCAACGACAACCCATGCTGAGAGTCCCCTCACTAGCAGGATTGAGAAGCACAAGAACAACCTGCCCATGAATCAGACCAAGACCAGATGACAACCAAAGACCTGCATACAACAGCATTGCGATAACGCTGAGAACCTGTCCGCCGTACCTGTGGTCGCAAATCGGACAGCCATTCGCTCACCCGGCTTACTGCAAACGGCGACAATGATGCAAGTGTTGGCCAATCACATTCCGATGATTGCGCACACGCCACAAGCATGGGCGTGCCATCTCCCGGAACGACCATGCCTTGAACTTACTGCCGACGATGTTACGGCGATAGTAATACACGGCGCTGAGAGCGTCTACTGCGGTGTTCTGCACTACACTGGATATATGTCAGGTTGATTCTTCCCCATTGCAATCCATAGCACGTACCGCTCTCGACGTTCCACTCCTAGCGACCTTCGATCGATCTCCAGCTCCCCTTCCACCTTGCAAAACGACCCACTCGCAAGCCCAGACTATCGAAAGTCCGTCGCTGCAAAAAGCCAAAACCGAGTCGGGAACAGGTCAGACGCCGACGCAACAATCTGCAGATAATCACGAATACCCATAGAAGCTCGCAGAAGCATAACAGCGAAAAAATCCCTCCGCCAGCGAAAGCGTGACACCAGTCGAACCGGGGTGACCCACACTTGGGCTCAATCGAGCTACTCTACACCAAACCACACGCGATACGAGGAAGAAGCGATATAACCGCACCGACCCCCTCGCAACTTCCAAGATGAACACACTCTCCCTCGTCTTGAACGGCAAAACGGATGCCTACATACGGTCTTTACCTACAGACTCAAGAGATCTTATCAGCATAGTACACCTGCCGGCCACGAAGTCAGCAAAGACACAAAGACCTTCACTCGGCCGTGCAGCATATACGGAGTACCCCGCCGAAGTTCGAACACAGCGTTTTTCATTCTCGAGATCTTACTCTTTCTCCGAAACGATGCCTTCTCTTACATCTACCATTGTCTCCTCAGCTCCTTCCTCGCCGAGTTCTTCTCGCCCTGGCTCCCGACGATCTTCGAGCAGAGGAAGTCCAGGCTGGTATAGCAAAGAAGGAGAATTGACGCTCGAGGATTTCGCAAAAAAGTTGCAGACACGGAGCAAGAAGTTTGAAGTATACATGGGGAAATGCGCACAGAACGTGGTGATGGCTCTGTTCGCCCCAACGCCTCTGGTGGTTTTATTCTTGCTCAATCCGATCAGCTTGATTTTGTGGACAATTTTGGGAATCTGGTGGTTCTTCGGAAGTGGTTGAAGTTGGGAGGAGAGATCTTTGCTCCAAGGAGGAGACAATTTTCCAATATTGTCATACCAATCTGAAGGATGTCCAGGAAGTTTTCGAGGACTCTCTTGTGTCCAAAGGAGCGTATCACGGGGGAGGTGATACCATACCGGCCCACAGCACGGCATATCCAAGGGCTATGGCACCGGCCCTGCTATCCACGAACGACCATCACTGCACCGGCCTGACCACTATCTGGAAAAGAACATGGCATTTCCATTTCGGTCCTTCCTGACACCCTTCTTATACTCCTCTTCTCTCTCTGGATCGAACTCTTCCCAACTACTCGCGGGGTAGATGTGTTTATTTTTCTCGTACCATCGCCGATCCACCACTTTCGTCAAGGTGGGATCCTCGTCGAACCCTTCGAGTTCAGAGTCGGGCAGGGCAGAAGCTAATTCTCGGGCTTTCTGCTGGCGGAGTTGGGCAGCGGTTTGTACGCCTGAGATTTCGGTCGCGGGGTCGGATGAGGTAGCGGGTCGAGGAGTCGAGGCTTCTCCCTGTTCGGCATCGGTCGCGCCTTTCGAGGGGAGTAGATGTTTCGGTGTCGCTGTCGTAGGCTCGGCAGAGAATGCATCGCTGAAGAGTCGCCCGTGGTAGCCCACGTTCTTATTCAGCATGAAGTAGTGGAAGTCATAGTGCTAGAGATTCAGCGAGTCAGCCACTTTCCACCTGGACTCTAGTTGAGGAAGTGCAAACTCACATGTCCCAAGATCAAATCTCCCTTCACGATGATCAGATCGTCCACTGAAATTCTCGCCCAATCTTTTCGTCCTGTCTCTCCACTCTCCGCACCCACTTTCCTCGCTCGTTCCAAGAACTTCCAAATTTGCTCTCCCTTTTTCAAGCGCACTTTGCCCCCTGTTGCATTCTTGCCATTATAGAACACAAATGGTAGTATAAATTCTGTCGCTTTAACGGCTTCTTGTATCTGATGGTATTCCTTCCGCAGAGACTCTTTGAGGGCAGCTTCTTTGAGCAAAGCTGACTTCGTAAGGGCTTTAGGTGCGAGTGAGACAGAAGCATTGGGCCGCAGGGGTTTCTTTTTGAATGTTGTGGATTCGGGATCGGAGGGTGGGTTGCCAGCTGGTGTTGTTGCGCGGGTTCCTGCGAGTGGTGTAGCGCCTACACTGGCCCAGTCGTCCTCGTCGAGTCGCGATTTCTCGGTGGTGGAGTCTTCATCGTCGTCGTCGTTGGCGAAGGATAGGCCGCCTTTCTTTGGGGCAGACTTTTTGCGCTTCTTGAAGGGATCGCCGGCGGCTATGCTGGATGATGTAGATTTTGGCGTTCCTTCACTGTGCTTGGGCTGTTAGTGCCTGTGAAGGCAGACGAGATGTCTTGTTGTTCTTACCGGCCATCTGGTGTTGTGGCCCCGCTTCCGCCCTCTGCTGCTTCGGCGCGGCGTTTGCGAAAGTCATCGAGGGTTACAAGGCCCACGGTGTCGGCCTTGAGGCGGTCTTCCACGTCAGCCGCTTTTGCCACGAAGCGATTGTCGTTCGTGTCAGCCATGGCGATGCGTGGTGTTGGTGTCGGTGGTGTGACCAGAATCTGAATGGAAGAGCTGCTGGAGCTCCATCGAATGCGACCGCCCTTCATTGGTGCGGAAGCGTCTCCGATGTCTTGCATGTGCTCGTCGAAGCTTGTTTTCCCTGTCGTCACTGTCCACGCGGAAACTTGAACGCCAGCTTCCTGCAACAACCAACATTATGACCAAACATAGTCGACTGTCCGCTCATCAGCCGGGAGACGATGATTCGGACTCAGATGCCTCATTTCACAGCTTCAAGGACGACTCCGAACAACCGATAGCAACAGACCCGAAACCACAGCCCATCTTGCCGCAAGACGAACCGAAGCTCACCAAACCCGTTATCGAGCGCTTCTCGCCGGAAGAGGAGGCCACACTTCTCGCCGAATCTAACAGTCTGAAAGGCTCAGGGAACCAACTCTTCGGCAAAGGGAGCTACGAAAATGCCATCCAAACTTACGACAGAGCGCTTGCCTCATGTCCGAACTATCTCGACTTTGAGTTGGCAGTGCTACGTTCCAACATAGCAGCATGTCACATAAAGTTGGAAGACTGGAAAGAAGCTGTAGAGAGTGCAGACAAGGGTGTCAACAATCTTGACAACCTGGAGCCTCTGCCTCCGTTGCCCAAGCCCCGAGACCCTAGGAAAGACGGCAAGGAAGATGAGAGCAAAGATGATGGGATCGAGGAGGTTGATGATGATGTCGAAGAACGAATAGCCAACCTGCAGAAGAGTGGTCGAACGCTCGATGAAGTGCGCAAGCTTCAGATCAAACTCCTGCTTCGACGTGCAAAGGCGAAAACAGAACTGGCAGGGTGGGCGAACCTCCAAGCTGCAGACGAGGATTACAGAATTCTATTGTCGCCCACAATACAGCCTTGCCTTTCGCCCACGGACTTACGTTTTGTGAAGGATGCAGTACGGGCACTTGCACCGAAACTGAACGAGGCGAAGGAGAAAGAAATGGGTGAGATGGTGGACAAGTTGAAAGGTTTGGGAAACAGTGTATTGGGTATGTTTGGCATGAGCACGGACAACTTCCAGTTTGTGAAAGATGAGAAGACTGGAGGTTACAGCATGAACTTCCAGCAGAACCCAGGGAAGAAGTGATAACGCAACGAGGACCTCGCTTCGAAAGAGCGTGAAACGTATGCTCAAAGCTGCAGCCATCCCAAACTTACGACTCTTATCAAAACTCACGCGTCACCGATCTCGGCCGAGCGCTTTTCAGCTGTTCAAGGCATGGGTATGTTAAAGTTCCGGAAAAAGTGGTCGGGATACACACGCGGCCCCGATCCACCACTTGGAACGATGCGCAGTAGTTCAGGCATGAAGGTATACATCAATACCAGCTCACAACCTGATAAGATGTTCTTCGCCCGGATTTCGAATAGACACGATTCGCGACCGAGTTCCCTTGGCTACTCTTGGACTCGCCACTATGCATAAGACTTCAATCCTGCTGGCTTTGGGATTGGCGGTCTGCAAAGCAGCAGCTCAATCAAGTGAGCCAGCTAGGCAGAACGCCAACCATATTTTCAACACCTTGCACAATTCTATGCGACAATGGGGTTCATCATTACATCACAACGGCATGTCAGCGTTCATTGCGACTGTTCCGCAGGGAACGCAGTTCTATCATGGCACACAGGATCCAAAGCCTGTCGAGGGAACGGAGTGGCTCGCTTTTGAGCCCGAACACGCTCTGGTGTTTTCTTCTCCTCGGATACGTGGGCCTCCTCCTGGTGGTAAACGTGATTCTCGCCGTGGAGATGCTCCTCGAGCGAATCTGCAGCACAACGAAAGACGACCAAAGGAGCAGCCTTCAGACCCCCCGCGCCACGACCTAAAGGCCCGTGATTCTCAGGAACCTTTAACAGATCAAGCCCGCAGCCACACCATGATGCAGCGGGAGCGTGCTAGAGTTCATTATGGCCAGGAGATCATGAATGGCGGAGACACCAAATTTGAAGAAGATTTACACGGATACCTGCATGTCTATCGCGCGAAACATGACTTGAGACTATTGTATCTTGACGGTCAGTCTGCCGCAAAGTCTTCTCTGGGCACTCTGGATCTGCAAGATGTCGTGTTGCTCCACAACAGTCCGCTGCCAGCGCCTAACTTTTCCGCGTTGCGGGATCCGGATGAACGCCGTAGTTCTCATATGATGGACGACTCCAATGACAGGAAGAAGCCAATCAGACCCAAATATCCTCCCGGCGGCAACCCTTTGAATGAAGGCTATAGAGCCGAGCACTTGTGCGCCATGGCGAAAGACGATTGGGAGGGCAAGATTGACGGCTTCTTGAGAATGGAACAGGGCTTTGAGATCATTCTGTGCTCGTTCAAACACAATCTCGTTGTGGATCGGATTAGCGAAGTGCAAAAACCAAAGCCGAGAGATTTTCCTGCCTTTGGAGACCACTCTCTCACATACTTACAAGCAGTGGCCTCTCGATACGATGGTATCGGCGGCGAGCGTGTTGAACTTGATTACAACAATTTTGCAACACTGTACGCTTTTGAAGATGCCGTATACTTCGACGAAGACAAATTGCCACGCGCCAATAATGACAAACACATCCTGCAACCAGTATTGAAAGCGATTGAGGATATCATTCTACATCCTTACAGTGCGCCCGCACGTACAGTCAACTGGCAGGCCGTCACTGATCTGGTCGTCTCCCGATACTCGGATCGCATTCAGTCTCTGGCCGAGGGCAACTATTCTGATGAAAGACTCTTTTTCCGCGACCTGGAAAACGCCGTGCGACCTTTCATCGATTATGAAACACGGATCCTTTCCGACGAAATCGAACGTTGCGCGACACAGCCTTTCAGCTCCCTGCCACTATCTCCTGACAACACCGCTGCGAACGCCATCTTTCAAGTCACCACGCGGCTTTGCACTTCTCTCTTCGAAGCCCTGGATAACCCGTTCGAGGATGCGCAGATCGCTCTACAGGATCTGCAAGACTGGCTCGGATGGAGCACATTCAAGCGTTGTCGCGGCTGTGCAGTCAATGAGATTTGTTTCGTGCCGATGTGGCCATTTGGCGCGAAGGAATTTCACGAAAAGCCGAGATGTATTGCGAGTGTGGAAGAGACGGGGCGTGGTTACTGGGGTGGTTTTGGTGGGCCGCATGAGAGACCTTCTCCACCGCCGCCAGTGTGGTAAGGAAATGGCAACACGGCGCTCTTTCTCATTGCGTGGGACGGGACTTGGGAGTAATTGCGACACGGTCCGGTGAAGCAGTTGCCTCTTGGATGTTGTGCCTGCTGGGCCTATTCCATTCTCACGCTATGTGGTCCCAGTCTAGGTTCTGCGGAAGCTCTTTGAGAACCGAACAATTTTCATTTTCGACGAATGGAATATTGCTAAGGACAGCCAAATCAGCTTTTTTCTTGCCACGAGCTCTTCTCCCAGCCAAGCAACATTATTGCCCTCTCAAGTCAGGAAACTTTGTGTGTCAGGCTTATTCACTCGGTCCCTTCACATGCGGATACCGCTGCCTGTGACCAACTATTCACTGGTTCACGCCAGGGTTGCGTCGCTAGTAGAAAAGAAGGAACTCCTGTCCGGTCCTCAAGCTCTAACAACCACTGGACGAGATCACTGCTGCTTCATATCCGCCCAGGCTTCAGAATATCCTCACTCAACCGACTCACTGTGCTCGTCAAAACATACACACAATGTCTTCGCACAACGAACATGCCGGACTCGAAGCCTACTCTGAACGCGCCAACTACAGGCACTATGGCGGCTACCAGCACGCAATGTCGGGCCGGTCGTGATTCTCACGCCGCCCATGGACGACCACATCTACATTTTACCTCACGTAGCATGGCGAGCCATGTTTATGGCAATCGGCATTAACCACAACATGATTCGACTCGAAGATCACGTCGATGGGAGGGCTGCCTGGACGCCTTTGGAGTATTTGAAGAAAGTCGTGGCGGCGGGAGGAGTTACGCCGCCTATTCATTATCGGTCACCATCGCTTGAGACCATTCTCCGCGTCGACCGGGAGCTCGGTGAGATCTCTCCTTTTGATGCGCAGTCTTCGAGTGAGGAAGGAGCTCGTGGCGGAAATGGTGTCGATGATGGCAGGACGAGTGTGAGACAGGACACTCCGGCTCATGCATCGAGAGACGCGGACATGCGAGATGCCGAGCAGAAAGATAAGAACGACTAGAAGCCCGAATCTGGCACCGCAAATGCAACGACTGCGCTTGACGCGGACACCACTGGTTCTACGGACTTGGAGATCACCGAGGTCCTTATTGGACGGCAGCGGGCACTCTGGAAGGGGATGGAGAGGTGACTCGGATAAGATTCATTGTCATGGCAGTCAGCATGATATCAAGAACCACGGGAAGTGTGTTTAGGAGATTGAATTTTATCTCACTCTTCCATCATCACTTCGGTGGTTGCAAGAAAAAAGCGACGAGCGAATTTGAGGTTCTAAGGCCGATCTCACCAAACAAGTCACACACACACACACACACACACACACACACTTCCTCGCACGATGTTACACATGAACAAGTAGTCGTCAGCAGATATTCCAGTTCTTCCTCTCGGGTCGCACACATATTGTGGCTAATGTAAGGCCCTCCCAATTGGCGTAGTTTCTGTCAAGCTTTGAGAGTCTTTCTTACAACTCTTTTCGAATCACTCAGCCGCTGTAACAAAGGAATCGCAGCTTCGGTGATATGATGGCAAGAACTCGGATCCGGATGTATTTTGTACGACTGTATGGGTCGTACGGTGGAGCGGGACCTTTCGAGCCGCTCAAATGCTACTACACAGGAATGTCACTTCTCGTATTTCGAAACTTTGGAATGGCCTCAGCTGAGAGCTGGGATTCTGATTGACAACTGTCACATAGCATAGTGATCGGATACAATCGTTGGCTCGTTTGATGTTGAAGTCTTGAAGCAATTCAGATATGTTCTGGCAGTTTACCATCTGCACAGGAGGTATTTGCTTCTGGCCAATGAAAGACAACACTCACTGGTGACACGAGGAGATTTTGCTATGGTGGTAACGATGTCGTTGCGGCTGACAAACAATCTGGTCCAAAAGCCTAAAAGAGGCGGTGATCACGAGGGCCATGTTTCACGATGAGAAAGCAGCGTGAGTACCGGTGAACCAGACGGCACGCCTGATGCAGAGAGGCCGATGTATATAGCTCGTCCCGAAGTCCTGGCCAAGGAGAAAAATATCAGAAGCTACAACAGCATCCATTAAAAGAATCTCAGACAGCTTCTCGAGTCTACTACTCCTAAACATCTCAAGAAAGGAAAAATGCAGTTCCAACTCTCTGTCCTGGCTCTCGCCGCCTTCAGCTTCATCAACGCCTATCCATTCGACGAGCAATCGCAGGCCTCCGATATCCTCGGACGTGCCCCCATCGGTGTCGGCATCGGCTACGGAGAAGAACTCCAAAGTGACAGCGTGAACCACTGGGTCGCCTGGTAAGCCGTAATACCACTTTCCATTCGCCTTTGCTGCCACTAATCTTTGTTCTTCTTCCCAGGATTGAAGGCAGATCCGCCTGTCCAGCAGTCCGCATTCTCGGCTCTCTCCAAGGTAATGCCTGCAATCAGGTCTTCAACATCGATGGTCAAGACTACAAGTTCGGAGACTGTGGTTCGGACGGAAATCCGAGGTCTTTGTTGGATGGCAGTGGCAATTATTTGAGAGGATGCAAGGGTGATTCGGACAAGATTCATTGTCATGGTAGTCAGCATGATATTAAGAAGCATGGCAAGTGTGTTTAGAGGCTTGAAGCAGGAGTGAGTGAAGGGAGAGGCAGGAAAGGGCGGAGGGGGGAGAGGTCGTTCGCTCACGCATCAATTCTGTCAGCTACTACCTAGGCAGTATACACTCGCTCGTTTCCGCAGAATCATCGCCGTCATCCCAGCAGTATCGGTGAAGCCTCTTCCCAGCTCTCCGGCACCTTGTACTGTGAAGGTAGGCCTCTCTCAGGCAAGGTAACTCGCTGGGTAGAGATTGTGCGCGTCGCATCTGTGCTGCATGCCCATCCGAACTCTCCATTGCCCTTCATTCGGTAGCCTCTTCTGGTTCTTCATCATTTGCGTCTTCATGATCTGCTTTCAGGCCTTCCCGTAGTGCTTTCTTCAAGTCGGTGGCCATCGCTTCACGCAGACCGACGAGGACACCATCCTGGTGCTTGACAGTAAGTTGCAGCACTCTCTTCATGTCGAGCCTAGTAGGACTGCTTCCACACACCAGTCCAGTGATCAATGGATGGAACGACAGCACCTGACAGCAGTCTGTGTGCTTCCTCGCAAGATCGATCCAACAACCGTATTCGAAGACCATGGACAACTCGGTCAGACGTGCTGGCAGCATGACGCCGATAGTGCTCAATACCTCGTAAACCGTGATAGGTGACATAGGTTTTCGAGTGTCGAGATGAAATTCCTGGAGGTTTGATGGTAGAAAGCTGGACACCCGTTGAAAAGAACGTAGTGGTTCCCAGTCTTGGATGAGTTCAGAGACCTCGGACCTGAACATAGACGTCTCATCCAGGTGTAGCGTTTGGAGAGCCGAGAACTGAGAAAGAGTGCCTAGGTTACCGCCTGTGAAGATTATTAGCTCGTCTCACAGGGTTCTGTAAAGTCCGCTCCCTGCTATCCAACCGACGAGAGCACAATCGACTGTTGGAGGAGGGCGCGAAAAGGATTAATGACTTACGAACAAGTGCTGGGCACACTTCGCGTGCAGTGAAGCTTAGATCCAAGATCTTCAGACTGTCTGCATGCTGACCCAAAGCTGAACGAATCTCGTGGAGATCGATTGTTGCAGTAGAGTAATCAAACTCGAGTGTGTCCGGATTCCACTGGACGGACAATTCGACCAGCTTTTGGCATGTTCGAATGGCTAGTCCTACGTCCTTCGAGTCCATGGCGGTCCACGTGATATGGAGACGAGTAATATACGAGTTGGCCTGTCCATACATCGGAGGGAAGCTGTTGCATGACTCCGAGGCGCGCGTCGAAAATTCTTCTAGACGTGGAAGAAGCATGTACTGGAATGGATAGACCGCTGGAAAGTATTTGTCGAAGGGGTCATCGGACTCGACGTCCCCAGCGAGCCTGACAGTTTTGTCTGGATAGAAGCGAAGCGTCCGTACGTTATTCAGTGCACTCTTTGGTGGAAACAGATCTGAGCTGCAAGCGGGCTTGATTGAACCTGATGAGGCTGCCCACTTGATCAAGGCCTTTACAAAATCCGGGAAATGTTGGAAATTGAAGTTGCCGTGGGACTGCAGGAGTGCGACTCGGCCGCAATCCTCTAGCAAATCCAATTTATCGACTTGTACGGCGAGGAGCAGTAGCAAGATAGCATTCCCGTCATAGTAGCCGTGACGTAGAGCATTGGCCAATTTGCGATGGAACCAGCTATCGTATGAGGCGATTGGGAGAATAGCTTCGAGAAAGCTGATGAGCTCAGATGGGGTGGGTATGACGGTATCCCCATCTGTCCAAAGATGGAGCTGCATGCTCTTGATGTGCATTGCCAGAGGCGGACTTTGCGACAACGTGCGGACCAGGTTGTGCATCCGGCCAGCATCCTTGCCGACGTAAATATTATGGTACAGGGAGGGCGTGGCCGCATTGCTAAGTGATTTGCTCGCAAGGCATAGCGAGCGGAGGTCCTTGATATCGGGAGTATATCCAACGATCTCTACAAGAAGCTCGATCGGCAGATCATGGATGGTGGCGGATGGCAAGACGCGAGCTTGGGCTGTCGGATTTGGCAGTGTAGGCTCACAGCTGTCGCCAATCTGCGCCAGGCGTGGGCGGATGGATGAGAACATGGCGACGTCTGTGCAGAGCTGAGTCGGCCCAGTACAGAACTGCGAAGTGTCTTTGCAGGTGGAACAATGTGGCCTTGTACCTTGGTCGAAGGAGAATGATTCGAGGAACCGTGCGGATTCGAGTCCTTAGTCTCTGAGATGCTAAGTGCTGCTCACGCTGTGTGCGTTGAGGAAGGTATTCGGCGATGGTGTTGTCGTGCCGATGTTGTTTTGTCGGTGTTGGTGTGCGTAATGTTGTTGTGGTCGAGAGCTCTGATCCTTTAATAGTGGGAGCAAGGCTGTCGGCACATCATGCAGTAGCGCCGAATCGAGTGAATGAGCGGATCCAGAGTGCCGGAGTGGATCACGCGCTGTATGTTTCTTGGCGTGACTTGCTGGGCTCGTTCACCACAGAACCGATTGTGAGTGTTCGGCCACTTCCTACTGTTGGAAATGATCGCTGTCTCGTTCCTTCAAGAGCTCGTCGAGCGAGATAACTGACGGCCTAACAGCTCGTGCTGGTCTCGTCTTCGCACGGGGCCCATTTGCCGAGCATTCTCGGATAGGCCAGTGATTACGGCAGGGTCACTGGCCATAGCGAGCGTTTCAGAGCAAGTGCTCAGTGCCAGAGGTGTCCGAGTCGATTGAGTGGGCCCAATGACTGCAATCACTGAATCATAGATGGTTGCCATTCGTCAAAATTAGGTGACCATGCTGGGTCTATTTTAGTCGAATGATGACATGACCGGATGCGAATGGCTCTCCGGGCTATACGGATTCTTCTCTTAGAGTATACGGTGGAGGCGGTGATATCTCGTTGTACGTTCGCAGATGGGACTGAGCAGTCCAGCGCCGTGATTCATGCATGATTCTCGATGCCCATTGTGGAAGCTGGATTAGCAGAAGTGGACTTAAGGCTGAGCCCATATCCAGGGACAGATGGTCGGGCTTAGATAAAACTCAAGACCGTGAGGTTAGAAGAGGTTATGTCGTGACACAACTGAGCTGGGCTCAAGATGTAAGGTCAAAAAGGTGAGTGGAAGTGGTCCTAAGGACTGGGCCCGTAACCGAGAGGCAAGTGCGTCTGAGTTTGAAGGCTCAAGCGCCGCCTGAAATGCACAGCAGCCAGCAGTCACTCAGCAGAGATTGCAGGAATCTCGATGCCGGACGTACGGACGTGCTGATTGCGCACACGTGTTGCCATGCTTTGCAAAACACAGCAATACGGATCTCACAGACTGGCGCAAGCTATGCACAATAGCCGATGCAGTCTGTGGATAGAAGAGAAAAGAAGGAAGAGGAGGGCGAGAAGCGCAAACAAGTGTTTTGAGCCGGAGAAAGAGCTGACTCACGCGCACAGCGCTAGTGCAATGCAGCTTGCCAGCGAAGTAAAGTGTTTCAACGCTTTGTGGCTCCATTTGAGTGCTCTTGAAGGGTACGGTCACCCAAGGATCTTTTGACTTCGGACATTATGGCATCTAGATGTGAGAAGAAATCAACTTCAAGCTCCAGAACTCCTGCTGAACAGTTTTGTCACTGAACTGATCTGCACGAGTTGAAGTGAAGCATCAACAAGTCGCGCGACTAAGGAAGGCGGTGTGTCAACGTCAGTCCAGATGAATCATCCATCTCTCTATCGAAGACCTGGAGGCAAAGTAGTACAACAGTATCTCCTTCGTAGCGGTATCCTCCTCATGGAACTTCGTCCGGATCACCAAAGCTTTGTTGCGATTGTGGACTTTTGGAGGACAGCCCTGCCGGAGCCCGAGACATCACTCCGGATTCAATGGGTAGGAATGCAAAGGGCGTCTGTTCGCCACAATCCTGCTCCTTGCGAGGTGAAGAAGAGCTGTCGTGAGAGAGGATTATCCAGAAGTGTACGCCGCCTGTAGCAAAGCAACCGACAGCCAGACACGTGAAAGGTGAAGTGAAGTGAAGCGAGTTCGGCTGCAAGCAGCCTGTGCAGCCTCTCTCGCGACCCTTGTCGGCGCGGGGCATAAATTACGCCATCGCCTTCCTTTGCCTGAAGGTGGCGGAAAACAGTGAGCTGAGAATAGCCTCGCGCATTTGTCACCTGCCTTCTGCACTTCTACATAGATCTTCCCAGCACCAACCACACGCATCTCAGCATCTGTCGATTGATTACAGCTCAGGTACGTGAACATTCCACCACGACACAGCGAAAGCAGCACCCGGCATCGCTCGGCTGCAACTCGGGCAAGCCTGGCTCGTCCCGATTAGCAAGCAAACCAGCGCGAGAAACAGACACAACGGCCGCGCGCACGCTTAGAAACCACTCTGCGCATCATCCCTATCTATAAACACCACCCACCCGCGTCCCACCTTTTGCTTTGCTCTTTGTTCCATGTCTCCATCCTCAACCCTCTTGCGCCAAACACTGCTCACCACCCGACTCAGCAGCAGAACTAGCACCACCACCGCCTTCCGCGCTACATACCAACCCATCCAACAAACCTTCCGCAACTTCTCCTCCACCATGCCAGCAGAGGCCGTTCACAACATCAAGGCCAAGGCCGACTTCGACAGCCTCAAGGCCGACAAGGACAAGCTGTCCGTCATTGACTGCTACGCAACATGGTGCGGTCCTTGCAAGGTCATTGCGCCACAAGTCAGCAAGTGAGTAATAAGGACCGACTACACTTTTTTGCCTCCTCGAACAATGGCTAACCACATGCGCCTCAACAGATTCGCCGACCAATACAACAACGCGACCTTCTACAAGTTGGACGTTGACGAGCTCCCCGATGTTGCGCAAGAGCTCGGTGTCCGTGCCATGCCAACTTTCTACCTGTTCAAGAACGGCGAGAAGGTCCAGGAAGTCGTGGGCGCGAACCCAAATGCTCTCGAGGCTGCCATCAAGGCGCACTACTAGGCGCGGAACAGTGGAAGAGGTGCACACGTCATGATGATGAGTACTGTATGAAGTGAGGGGACACGGTCGCACAAGATATGTGAAGAGATAAGAGTCTCGTGGAACGCGATCGAGATAGCATGACGCGACTGCAGGTGTCGCATGCGAATAGCACGGCATGAAAAGCAGCATTGTATAGATGGACACGAAATGAAAGAAAGTGATCCTCTGACTACAACTCGCCACTGTTGCAAAGAGGAGACCTTTTCAGCTTCTATTTACTTCTAGATTGAGCCCATACACCAGTCCAGGCATGCTCAAGACTCGCAGCTACACGTCCTTACACGATTTGTCTGCAAGCAGCTTCGGCTTGCCGACACTCCCAAGCCCCCGAGGCGACCCAAGGCAATGGCTATGTGCTACATTCCACGTATGGCGCGGCGGGAAACAACATTTTCGGCATCTGCTGCGATTTCAACAAAGAATACTCAACCATCAAATCTCACCACCTCGTAGATATCAGTATAATTGACAAGTCTACGAAGTGTCCGAGCATCAGCCGCTTCATATGTGCTCTGCTGTGCCATCTCGGCTCTCGACTCTACATGTGAGACTGTAAATCCGCCCGGTCCATACGTAAGGCAGTGACCAACGGTGACACGGGGGCAAGGGGGAGGAAAAACTTGGTACGGAGGAGCTGTTCAGCCGACCACCGCGCAGGTGTCTTCATGGTCTGAGAAGGAGATTAGTGAGTGATGTGATGTCCATGCAAACGACACTACGGCAATGTCAACTTCAATGTCGTTCGGCCTCCCGAATGTGCCTTTCAGGAGAATTTATCTGACGCTGATTGCTGGTTTGCCTGGCAGATGCTCGCCCAGTTAATGCGCCGCTTCTGACAAGACGGTGTTGAGGAATAGGAGACAACGTTCCCGGCGGGAATAGAGCTGTGGGTGGTCGTGGTATTAAATCTGTCTCTGGGAGCAGCCAAGTCGAGCGCTATATTGGTATCATGCTTGCTTCTTCTACTTTGCCCTTCGCGTACAATCTAGCAGCAGTGAAAAGGTGATTTGGCATACTCATCAACTCACTCTTCTGCCTATTGCGCCGCGATGGCTGGACGCTCTCTGCTTCCTACTGACGGCCAATGAAGTCCGGCTTTCCCATGACTCGTTTGCTCCTTCCCTTTCGCTTCAATTCCAGTTCCATTCTTTCCCTCACGCTCTGTGCTTCCAGACTCAAGGAGACAATACTAACAACGACACGCGCGTAAGCACACAGAAAGCAGAAAAATCAGATGCACTACGATAGATAGCAGCCAGCATCAGTCATCGCCTCAAACTCCCAATGTTTCTCTTTCGAAACCCCAGTGGTATCTTGATTGTTGTAAAGCAGACAGACACAGATCTTTGTTGTTTTCTTCGCTCTCTCCATTCTCTCCTTCATCACTCTTAGAAGAAGTTGAAGTTGGCCAACAAGGAGGGTAATTGTGGTATGAGGAAACTGTTGAGGAGTATGTTAGCAACGTCTTCGGTGAACCTTGAAATTGGCGCAAAGGAATCAACGTACCCAACTGCCGCAGTAACCGCGACACCAGTCAGGGCCTTCCGTCGAATCTTCTCCTTACGAAGCTCGACTTCCACCGGCTTGGCTTTGCTTGCTGCGCGCGAAGCGGCTTCAATTTCAACTTCATCATCCTCGTCGACGACTTCGTCAATCTTTCGCTTGGCCTTCTCGCGAACGGTCGAGTTGCCTTCGATCTTCCTCGCCTCGGCGACCATCTGTCTGGCCTTTTCGAGCATGTCCTCTGTGTTGTCTGGGATCTTCAAGTCGGGGTGATTTGATGGAAGTTCCATCTTCAGCTTCACATCTTCGACATCGCCTTCCGCACCTTCCCTCGTGGTGGTTTCAACCTCGACTCTGACGGTATCCTTGGGCGCCGTGCCATTGACGTGTTCTACTGGCGCTGCAGCTTCCTCCGGCTCGGCGGTGGTACCTCGAGTTCGTCGCGGCCTTCGTGGGGTGGCGATCTTGCGCGGCGTCGCCTTTGCCTTTGATGGCGATTCTGATCGCAAGCTGCGCGAACCGCGCGTGGTGCCGCGCTTGCCAGCTTTCTCGGCCGGCGAGCGGCTGACGCCATTCGATGCCTCGCTCATGTGGAACGGCGGCGGAGACTTGATGCTCTTCTTGGGGTCGCTGGTTCCGTGTGTGATCGGTTCGGGGTCGAGAAGCGCGGCGATCCAGAGTTTGATGCCGTACTCTTCGGACAGGTCGAGGGCTGTTGGAATGTGAATTAGCTGCGGTGCCCCGCAACCGGCAGAGTCATGGTTACACACCTTTCTTGGGGTCAATCCACACGTTGCCGGCAACTTCCTCGCTCGAAGCCTCTTCGAGCTGCTTAATGTATTCCTTTTCAGCTGCCTCTTCAGCTGCTTCTGCCCACGGGAATGCAGCCTTGAACATGCCCGTTGCGCTAATGAAGCCGTCACTTGATCGTCGCTATTTTTTCACTCAGCATTTTGTCTACGCGCCGTCTCATCCCATCCACGTACCATCAAGAAATATGCTTCAGGGAACTTTCGGTTTGGTCCGCGCGAAAAGATGCCACTGCCGGTCAAGTCCTTAGGCAGGGGAACGCGCAAATGCGCGTAGTCCAGCACGCCCAAGTTTTCGAGCTTGGTCGCGTTGGACGTGCCGACCTGGCCGGGCTTGACCTTCAGCTCAGTCTGTCCCAAGCATCTGCGCTCCACCAAATTCTCATCTGTGATGCACTCCCGTCAGCCCGTGTTGTATCCAGCAATTCCAATGGAATGCGACGTACGCAATGGAGCGCGCGACTCTTCGAGCATCGTGTTGCGCCTCGCAGGCAGCTCATGCTGACGCTCGTTCGAGGGTGCCATCGTTCTATCACGCGACGGTCGTTGCGACGGTAGCAATGCGATTGATGGATGCGTGCGATCGACGTGTTCGGTCCGGCAATTGGGGTTCGCGCGCAATGGGAGCACGTCAGGACACGTGGTGGTGGCAGGCGCGACGGCGAACACCAGATCTAAGCGTGATGCCGAGAGGATATCGCTCCTCAGTATCGTACAATAGTGAGATTAAAAAGGAGTAGTAGTAAAACGGTCGACGATGACGGTCGCGGCGAGCAGAAAGTAGCAAGGATGAACCTGCGTGCGGGAGGAGGACGAGACCTGGGGAATTGGCGCGCCTTTGGCGTCCAGCAGCCAGACAGCGCACCACTCTGCCGCCAAAAACGTGGTGGCTGGGCGAAATTGCGTCCGCGAACAAGTTCGGCTTTCTGCTGCTCTACCGCGTCCATCTAGCCTGTTCCGTTGCGGCCGCCGTAGGGCTGCCGTGTAGTAGGTGAAGTGCCGCCGTCTGGTATAGAGATGCGATGGACCACTTCGTCGCGCCGTGCCTCTCGCTACGATCCCTGCAGACACGATTGCTGCTGCTGTTGCACGAGTAATGCGCTGCCGATTGTGACGACATGCAGAGATGCGCTCACGGCGATGACATGCACAGAAGACAGTGCTGTGGGTGCTCGTGCCGGTGGGACATGCACAGTGAGCGCCAGCAACAGTAGCAGTGCTGCGACACGCGTTTCACCTTTGCTGCTCTGCAAGAACGAGGCCTGCAGCGGGCGCTGTTTCGTGCACTGAGCGAGCTCCGACCGAGAGGCCAGCCCCACCATCATTTGGCCTCTGTTGTTCACCGCACCAACATCACTTCCCTCTCTTCTCCCCTCCACCACAACCCACAATCCTTGCATCGCAGCAGCAGGACCCACGCGACACCACTTTGACACCTCTACCTGACCTTCCAAAGGAAATCGCCCAGCATGTCGGCCACCAAGGATGATCTCGAGCCAGAGGCCACCGAGGGGTTCAAGGTGGGAGAGAAGAAGACTATGGATGAGTACCAACAGATGGGTCAGTCTTCCTTTTCCCACATACTGCATATGCGCGCATATACAGTGTGGATATTCCCACCTCAGAATCAGCGACCTCATAATCCTCTCCATTCCAAAGCCCTTCACAGACAAACACGCGCAAACCACCCACGTCCCACCAATACCACCAACTAACGCTCCTCCCCGACCAGACCAAAACGACGAATCCCTCCGCAAATACAAAGAATCTCTCGGTCTCGGAGGCGGCGAACGCATCGGCGACCCCAACGACCCCCGCCAAGTCATCATCAAATCCCTAGGACTAGAAGTCGAAGGCCGATCCGATATCATCATCGACCTGACCAAACCTGGTGCCCTCGAGGATCTGAAGAACCACCCCTTCACCATCAAAGAAGGCGCTCAATTCCGCATGAAAGCTCGCTTCACCGTGCACCATGAAATTCTCAGCGGATTGAAGTATGTGCAAGTTGTTTCGAGGGGTCCCTTGAAGCAGAAGATGCAGGAGATGATTGTGAGTCCTTTCTCTTTTATTTCTCTGCTCTCGCCTCGTCTGATCCACTGGAATTATACATTCGGATAGGTGTCTTTTCGCGAACTTGTTTACTGATCATTGAGTGTTAGGGCTCGTACTCTCCCAACACAACCGACAAGCCCGAATACGAGAAGAAATTCGAAACCGATACCGCTCCCACTGGAATGCTCGGCCGAGGTAAATACAACGCAGTTTCGAAATTCGTCGACGACGACAAGAAGACCCACTTGCATTTCGAGTGGTCCTTTGAGGTGAAGAAGGAATGGTAGGCGGCGCATGTCTTTCTTCCTACTTTCGGTTACTTGGAGGGAATCGGAGGCTTTCGCTGTGATGAATCACCACGAGTAGAGGATGTCTGGAATAGAGAGTTGAGGTCTTTATCGCGTCCCTGGTCGAGCGCGACGAGCTGCGCAGAGTGAAAGTGGCATGGAAAGCTTCGCGTGAGCAGCAGATCTCACCATCCTGCCTGAATTGTTGAAATCTCTGCACGGCCGCTTCCTGCAACGGAATCGTCTGGTTTTCGCGCAGTAGGCAGGGCAAGAGTGCTGTCTATCACTCGCGGAGAACTTCTCTCCCTCGCTTGCAGACAAGGAACGTATCTGTCACGAACAACACGGAAACACATAAAAACCAAAATGGCAAAACAGCGGAATGATCTGACTTCATCAATTTCATGCTTCCTATCGCTCAAATATGTAGCCTCCCAAAAGTGAGAGTTCCATAACAATGCCGCCCAGAGTCGAGAGTTCACCGACTCACTTTTGCCTCCTTTCCGCCAATAACGCCACCCGCTTGAACGCTACAGTTCGCAAGAAATGTGCCTACCCACTGCCTATCCCTCTCTCCTCCCGAAATTCAATCGTCCCCAAGTCTTCCGTATAACGATAGTTCTGCTCCATGTTGGCTCCTGCCAAACCCATTCCTAATCATCGGGCTCCACGCCTCCCTTTTTGTATTTCATGCCGTGAATTTCACTGTGCTCGTAGTCAGTCGTCTTGTCCGCGCTCTATTGCGGGTCATCCGGTTTGTCGACATACTCGAATCTCTTGACCAGTGTACCCTCTCCGCCCTTCTCTAGATCTACCATGTACACATAAAAGTCTCCTTCGCTTGTTGCGACCATGACGTGTGGAACGTTATTCGCCATCGCCACGACGCATCGTACTGGTTGTCCATTACTCCCTCGCGGTACGCGCACCCATGCGAAATCTCGTTGTGGCTCCCATATTTCTGTCACTGACGAAGGAAGATAACCGGCAGCGCGCGAGACGAGAGAGGTGCCGACATTTTGGGAGGTGCGGCGAACAAGGGACATGAAACCCGGTTGGCGGGGTTGAGGCGCGTTGGAGAGAGCGCTGGGATCGCCGTCTATCGATTGCTGTCGTTCGGAATCGTATTCGGATTGTGAGGGCGATTCGCTTCGTTCGCGAGGAGACGAGAAGGAGCCGTGGCGAGGTGAGGCAGGTGGCGAGTTGGGTCGTGCGGAGCTGCCGCTGCCGTTCTGTGGGTTGGACCCAGGCGGGGCGAGTTTGAAGATGTGTACCGTTTCGGTCGCGGAGGAAACGCAGAGCAGTGTCGACGTTGCGTTGAAGGACATGCAATAGATTCTAGCAGGCATGCTTCCGCGACGGAACTGGTAAAGCTTCTTGCCGGATGGTATCGAGAACACGCGGATCACTGTTCCCTTTTCTGAAGAGGTCGCCATGAGCGTGCCATCATTGTTGATGGCAATGTACGAAAGCGGAGCTTGGTGGGCTTGGATCACCGTCACCTCCTCCATCCTGTTCAAGTCATACAGCAGCACATCGCCGCTTATGGTCTCCTTGACCACTGACTTCGGCAGCTGCGAAGGGGCGGCACTGGGGTGTTGTGCTGTCTTTTGGTAATGCGGAATGGCCAGGTAGTTGTTCTCCGAATTGGGTGATATGGCACAGATACCGCCCGGGTTGAGCGGCGTTGTCTGTTGGTGCAGCATTTTCATGTTGCTGATGTCGTAAAAGAAAGCCACCTCCTCCAGCAGCACCACCAAGCGTTTTCGATTCATCTTGACCGCCACCACCATGCCGTGAAAGGTAAGCTCGCATATTGTGGAGTGTTTCTGCTTTCGCTGCTCAGCCTTGTGAGATTGAGAGGTATGAATGTCCGAGCTGTTGACGACCACGCACCTTGGTATTTACAATTCGGAGCAGGCGCGGGGTGAGGATCATGGCAACGAGCGAGGTGGAGAAGAGCTGTTCGACGAGAGAGATGTCCTCTTCGTATGAATGATTGGTGAGTTCGAAGGGATCCGTGGTGTAGACTCGCAGTCCGCGGGTAGTTGCTGGCGTGATTTCAGCATACACCTCTATCGATTTCATCATACCACGATGGAGCTCCATTCGCGGGCGTACCGACTGCCAGCAGGCTGTGATCCTGGTTGAAGGTGACATAGTTGAGCCCGGCCATGGCGAGCGAGCGGGCGTTATTGAATGCGACGACGTCTCGAGCGCGAGTTTCCGGTCATCGAGAAGACGCGTGGTGGGTTGGAGTGGCTTGCTGGAGCAAACGATGTCATGTGCCGAGCAGCACAGCTTCTCCAAACACCACCACAGCACAGCTTCACCTGCCCGCTCTGGCGTGCTTGGCAGTGATCCCTGCGCTCTGATAATGTCCGATAAGCTAAGCGACAAAGTATCCGACTGCCGGCTTCCAATATCGAGCAATCCATCTGCACGACTCGTGCTGGATGCGTGCATCTCTGGTCACATCTTACATGGCCTTGGTGATCAGACCTGACGTCTGCGAGGGTGCAGACTCAAGCGATTGCCCAAGCCTGCACCAGGAGAGGTCTACCAGGTTAGCAGAGCCCGAGTCTGCCAGCGCCAACATGTCAGTCCTGGTTGGCGGCTGAATATGCAAAAGGTTATCGGCCGAGTATCCACCTGTCAGACTAAAAATATGGAGGTGGTCATCCTTGCAGACCGTCGACCAGATCAGGAAGCGGCTTTGGGAATTTAGGAAGGAAGGGAAATGGAGAGCCGAACCAGGCTGCGCCGTGGGCGATGACAGACACGCGCTGCCACGATCCGCCGTCGCGCTCCATGATATAGCCTGCCTCCGATCGCTGTACGAGGTCAGGTCAGTTTTCGTGCCGTCTGCACTTCGCACGCACGCGAGCATTCCCTGCCCACTCGTAACTTGCCGCGCGCACATAGGAGATTTATGGACTCCACCACCGTGGCAGAGAGCGGGAGCCCGCTACCCGAGCTGCTGCGCCCAGGCTTCACGAATGAAACGGCCTCGCTACAGTCTCAGCGGGACCCACGCGTTGCCCCGAATGTCGTCAACCTAGAGCGACACGATCTGGAAAAGCTCAACATCAGTCATGAAAACCGCTCCAACAGCAAAATGCTCGCCTCGGAAAAGTCGCTTGCCACGAAGAAGGGCAGCATGCCCAACATCCGGCGGAGTGTCAGCGTGCCCTTGACCGAAAAGACGAAGCAAGCGACTGCACCTGGACAGGATGCCGGGAAACAGCAGCGAGATGGACTTATCATGGACACGAACAAGTCCTCCATCGTCTCCAAGCGATCTGTCGAGAAGCTCTACTACGACGGCGAACCCGAGTTCTTTCGGCATTTTGTCACCAAGTTCAAGCGAAGATCACCTCTCATCAATCGCGGCTACTGGCTGCGCATGAAAGCAATTGAGCATGGTGTCTCGCGTTTCCTCGCAGAACGGACAGCTAAGCGGAAAGTTGTCGTTAATCTGGGGTGTGGCTAGTACGTGTTATATGATCTTCAGTAGCGGATAAGAGTTGACAGACGCCACAGTGACCCACTGCCCTGGCTGTTCCTAGGCAAGCAACCACTGCTCTGTCAGGGCACCACCTTTGTCGACGTTGATTACCCATTGCTGATGCAGAACAAAATCGGCATCATCCAGAAGACTAGCCAGCTCAAAACTCTATTACCTAAATTCACCACGACAGGCCAAGAAACAGGGCTAGTGGCATCGAGCGATCCATATGTGGCCATCGGCTGCGACCTGGCAGACCTAACACCTCTGCAGGATATCCTTCAAGACCATCTTCAAATGGGCAACTCGGACGTTGCGGTTCTCTTCACCTCCGAAGTATCGACGGCTTATATGCCACTGGAAGGCTCACAGGCTGTATTTCAATGGGCCGCGACTTTTAATGATGTACGATTTTGTCTACTGGAACAACATCTTCCCGATGGACCGGATCACCCCTTCGCAGCGACAATGTTGGCTCACTTCGAGAAATTGCGGACGCCACTTCGAGCCGTCGGGACCATGGAGCAAATGAAGCAGCGATTTGTGGATGCTGGCTTTCCTGAAATGGGCACAGAAATTCGATCTCTGTGGGAACTCTGGTCCGATCCCACCTTCTTGAGCGCTGAGGAGAGAAGACGACTAGATCGGATAGAGCCATTCGACGAATGGGAGGAGTTTGCGCTGTTCGGCTCACATTACTTCTTGTTATTCGCGGAGAAAGAACCCAACAAGGACTACTCCAACAGATCATACAGGGCATCTCGGGCATCGATCTTTGCTGGCTCTACACGAGGTGGCTCTTTCGCATCAAGCCCTGTCAGTGGTAGCGAGAGTCCTACTACGCCACAGTACCACTTCTCCCCTGGCGATATCCTTCAAACGCATGAGCTCAAAGAACCTCACGACTTCAGACGTTTTGGCGCCGTAGTACCGCCCTTCCAAGTTGATTCGAATGGCGACTCGCTCGGACTTCATGGCGGACTTGGCACTCAAGAACGAGTGAGTACGTGCAATACTTACACGCGATTTGACAAGACAGATGAGATATTCGGCCCACCTCTACGTACTGGTTTGATGTGCCACAGTGTCACGAGACTAGGAAATACGGCAAATTGCGTCCTGACCGGCGGCCGAACATCACCTGACAACGCAAGCGCTGAATCATGGCTCAGGTTAGATGGAAAGTGGAGGCGTGTGCATGATCTGCCTCGAGGACGATATCGTCACTGTGCGGTACCGCTTGTGCTCCCGACAGATCCTCGTCCCGCCCACACAGTATTGATGTTTGGTGGCAAGACGAGCGATGGACAAGTCCTGGACGAATGGCTCATCTGGACCGGAGAGACCGGATGGCAACAAATACCCGTCAAAGGCGATAAACCTCCAGCGCGTTTCGGGGCGGTCATGATCACCGACAGCAAAGGTGGTGTATCTGGAGTGCTGGTTGGCGGCATGACCAGCGCTGGGCGCGTACTCAATGACTTCTGGCAGTGGACACTGGAACCCGACATGACGTTGGTCTGCAAGAACGTAACCTCCAAAGCTACTGCATTTTTGAAGTCGGACGGGTGTATCCTGGGACGATTTGGAGCGCAACTCGTCAGATCAAATCGAGGGATACTCATGATTGGTGGTATTACTGGTGCCCGAATGCTGACTCGTCAGGATGAGATACTGAATATGAAGACTCTTCGACCGCAGCCGATACAAGGTCCCAGGCCGCTCTTGGTCGGACACAGCGTGCAAGACGTCGATGGAGGACTCATTGTACTTGGCGGCGGTGCGACCTGCTTCTCATTCGGCACAACGTGGAATCGCAGCTGCATCTTGAACGATGCAGAGCCAGGCAAATTCGACATGGAATGGCGGTTACAGGCTACTGTTCCAGCATTGAAGCCCGCCCAAGGTGCGGATGGCGATTCTGCCGTCACTACCACCGCTCAAGGCCAACCGAACGGCACATTATCGCCGCCCGGCACTTCCAATGGCAGCGCGTTCCCAAGAGCTGGCCCACCGAGCAAAGTCCCGGAAGCTGCACCTATCCACGAAGTGAATATAACCCGTGGAATCAACTTCCCCCAATATGTATCTGCTGGGCGGCCTGTTGTCCTACGAAAATGCCATCTCGGCCCTTGTCTGTCCACCTGGACAAACTCCCACCTCATAGACCAGATCGGCTCAGACCGCCAAGTCTCTGTCCACGTCTGCGACTCTTCCTCGAACGACAGTGTAGCGTCCATGGACTTCCAGTCTAAGAACTTCTCCTACCAAACACAAGGATTTGGCACTTTTCTTTCGGCGGTTGAACGCGGCGACAAAGTCTACCTTCGATCACTATCGAAAGAAAATCCTTCATCCGAGCCAACGAAACTATCCGACGACTTTCCTGCGATATCGAACGATTTTGTACTTCCGGATGAGCTGGAGTACGTTTCTCAACACGCTCACTCTTCTCCATTAAGGATATCGGGCCCAGTGCAAATGTGGCTGCATTACGATGTGATGGCCAACGTATACTGTCAAATCCGAGGGCAAAAGAGAATCAGGCTATTCCCACCTAGTGACGTGACCAATCTTGGTTTCGAGCCGGGGAGCACAACTTCTCGTGTTGATGTATTTCCAGACGCACCACATCCTGGACTCGGCCACACACATCCTCATGAGACCGTCCTCGAATCTGGCGACATTCTCTTCATCCCTCCGTTGTGGCTACATGCGACTGCACCAGTCCTCAGCGATCATGCCCCAGGAAATACTACAACGCACAGTTCAGTGCCCCAAATAAACGGCACATCTCACTACGAACCCAGCATAGCAGTCAACGTCTTCTTCCGCAACCTGTCCAACACCAATTCCTACGCTGCAGGTCGCGACGTCTACGGGAACCGCGACCTGGCAGCCTACGAGAAAGGCCGCAAAGACGTTGCAAAGATCCTCAAAACTTTCGAGAGTCTACCTGGTGATGTCGCGAGATTCTATCTTGACCGTCTAGGCGCAGAACTGCAATCTGAAGGGAGGCGATTGCAGAGTTTGGACAGCCAATCTGGGCAGCAAGACTTGACAAATGGCTTTCATTCATCTCCACGGCGAGAAAAGGGAAAGCAAAATGTTGCTCCTGACGCTCCGAGTACCACGACGTACGCCATGCCCACCCTCACGAGTCCCAGTACGATTGCATCGACGGCGGGAAGTCTTGTGAGTCCGATCCAAAGTCACGAAAGTCTCAGCACTCTTGTTTCTCCTACTTCGCCCTCGTCAGCGAGGACGGAAACAGCTGTTGCGATGCCATTTTCTATGCATCATCTCAATAGGAGATTGGAGGGGGCGAGAGAGGTGAATGCGGAGAGGCCGAAGACGGCGAGTAGTGCTGGAACTGCGGTTGCTTCTCCTCCCGTGGGCACTAGTGGTGCTAGTACGAGTGCAGGGAACAACTCTTCTGCTTGGCCATCGGCGAGATTGCATGACTTTTATGCGGAGTTGGGGCAATAGGTGCCAGTGAAGACTGGATGATGGGATGCATGACTGGGCAGCATAGGTGAAATGACGAATGGGAAGGGAAGCATGGATGGGAAAGGAATGATAGCATCTAGGGGATCGAAGTACCATGTGAAGTTATCGATGCTCCATTGTTTCTCGTAATGAAATTGATATTCTGACAACTATTCAAGCAAATTTGTATGGAGCATGAACAACCCATGCTGATCGACAGCATAGACGAGCCGCGAGGCATAAAGACGTGAGGAGGCAATACAGAAGGGGCAAATGCAGAAAATAGCTGGAAATGTGCAATGCAGGTGTTGTAGCTCCTAGCACGCTGGCACACATACGTACATTGTTCTGCAGTTCAATCTTCTTCACAGCTATAGCTGTTGTGCTTTGATGAAGAAGCTTGCTTGTCGTCGAATCGATGATCAGGTCTCTGAGGTCGACTTTACCTGGAGAAATAACAATATAAGTATCTCCATCTGAACCAAACAACTTTCCTCCTGCTCTCCCACCACTAGTACCGAATCGAACTTATCATAGCAACAACTTGTTCCTTACCTCGCAAGGCAGCATCACACATATACGAACATGGCCGACGACTCTCCAGCTGGTTCCGACTACAAAGGATCTCCTAGTGCCTCTGTCGAACCCTCCATCAAGCACTCCTCTCAACTTCGGCCAAAGGAAGAGCGCATGAGACTCTTCAAAGAGCGTCTCAATGGCTCATCTCGCAAGTCGACAGCATCAGCCGAGGACAGCGCAAGGAATGCTCCAGGCGAACTCCTCTGGGGCAAGCTCCTGGCGGCTACTGCCCGCAAAGAAGCAGGTTCCGAACTTTCCCCACTCGAAAATCGTCTCGTTGGCATGATGCAGCGTTTCGTGCCTGATGAAGAAGTTCTTGAATATGGAAGAATGTTCGCCGAGAGCGTGAAATCTAATTCAGCGTCTGGTGTACATCCACAGGCCGTGGAGCAGTTCGATCTGCAGAGAGAATATACTGATAACGATTTCCATCAAGATATCGGCGCCATAGCCGATGAATTCGCAGCCAGCGGTGGAGTTCAGATCATCGACGGAACCTCGCCAACCTTTGAAGCAGATTGCGAGGCACTCGGTGAGAGGGAAGGAGACATCAACCAAGGTACAGGACCATCTGTAATTGCATTCGTGGGACCGAACGACAGGATCAAAGAAAGCGATCCAGCTCCCGCTGCTCCCGCTGCAGATATCCAGAACTCCAATCGGATCTGGATCAGACTACATCTGACCAAATTCGTCTGCCAGAGACGATCGGGAGAAGTAGGCAAGGATGAGTTGTACTTCACCACAGCCGTCGGCACGGACCTCTCCGAGAAACAGAGTAAGACAACCAAAGAATACGGCTCCATCAAGCAAGGTACCGAGAGATGGTTCGATAACGAGAATATGTTTCAAGGATATGCAGACCAGTGGGTGGCCATTGAATGCCAAGCCTGGGAAGCCGACAATTCGAATGATCAATGGTACAACGACTTGATGAATACGATGAGGGACATCGGATACGAACTTATGCAGTCATCGGTGGGTGCCCGAAATGGTGGCTTCTCGAGCAATAAGTACGCCGCCATGGTCGGCGCGGTGACTGTCCTCGTCAGTTATCTGATGGAGGTGTTTCGGAATAAAGATGACTTCGTAGCCAAGAAGGAGCTTGTCATTAGTAGGGAATTCCTGAATGAGAGAATGGGCACGAATTATGCTGCTTTTATTCTCGAGGGAGGTGGTGGTGGCGTGCACAAAGTCCACTGGGGAATTGGCAGATGAGGGTCGGAGGGGCCTCTCTTGGGAAGTCGTGTGAGGTCGCACCGCACGTGGACAAGAGATGAGCCATAATGAGCACACATGTTTGTTAGTTGTTAGGGCCATAGGATTGAGCAGCATTACCGCGAGTGCCGCGTTGCCTTCGATGTCATGCCAGATCTGTAGAGTCCCATTTCTGCGCGTTTCCATGCGACGCGCTGCACCGAGTGTTGTATCAGTGTTGGATTCGTCGTAATACTGTTGATGACCTAACTTCTCAGCAGGCGCAGTGTAATGCTTCCACGGGCCATGAAATGCCGAGAAAGGATTTCCGACTGCATCATCAGCCAATCGATGGCACGATCCTGTACATCGGCTCTGTCCTGAGTACCACGTACATTACCTGTACAGCCGAGATGTGGTTCTTCACAGATGACATACTTCTTCACATCGAGTCAGTGGAATGCGCACGGCGGCCGGGAAAACGTGCTCTCGTGTGGAAGAGGGATCTCGATGACGGACGTCAAGCTGGTTGACCGCGCGCAGATCGTGCACAATGGTGTTTTCGTCTTCTGCTGGAGATTGCTGGTCGCACTGCGATGGAGAAGGAGCGAATGCAATGCATCGCGTGAGTGAATCTCGATTCGGGAGGACTTCTGTGGGCAGCAGAGCTCGATGCAGTGCGGATTGATTCTCGCGTGCGCAAGCGGAGACCAGATGTGAGCAGATCGTTGATGGGCCCCACAGAATGAACGGCAGGCGCGTGCGCTGAATGCACCTCCCCCGAACGTGAAGTCGGCTTCTTCCTGCCCATGTCTCGCGGATCGCCCGCCAGACTTCGACGATGCTTCAGATTGAACAGGTCCAGGTCAGCACTACGAGATTGCTCTGTTCCTCATTGAGCCATTCGATAGAGCTTCGCGCCAGCGGGCGGTGCGAGACCGCAGGGAAAAGCATCCATGTCGAAGTTGCTGGGTGTACTTGGTGTGCCATTGAGATTGATTTGCAAGTATCTCGCCCAAGTCACCCACCGTCGTAGCAGAGCAACGAAAAGGTGTGGACGTCCATCATCGATGCAGCGTGATTCGCCGTTGATTTGATGCCGCATTCTCGATACTGGACAGCTCCCGGGCAGCTCCCGTGCCACCAACGAGGCTCGCTTGTGCGAAGCTGCGTGGCCCTGCTGCCCCTCCACACACTCCAGTATTGCGAGAAGTGCAGTGCAGCAACAGCAGCAACAACAATCGCCCTTCACGGACAGCTATCAGAGTTCGCACGGCTTGGGCGGAAGCAGGCTGCATCTAGGCCGTTCATGGCTGGGGCAGACCCTGGAAGTGCGAGGCTTTGTTTTCTGGGAGCGCGGCGACATCATCCTGCCGCCGCGCTGCTGTTCACCTGTGGGCTGACTCCCGGCTGCACGCGCTGGGCTAGGCCCTGTACGTCGCGAGCTTCCTGGCGCGCAGTGCCACCGTGGCGCTGCTGTCGCTGGTGCTGCGGTGTTGCCGTTTGAGAGGCAGACACACACACGACGGCGACTGCATCATGTCCGACAGACACAAAGCGGGCAGCGACGAATGACGAGTCTGCAAAAACAATTGCAATCGCGCATCTCTGGCAGTGACGACGAGGCTCTCTTTCTCCAGGATGATCGGCAGCACCCAAGCGTTTCAGTCGTGGATGTGCCCCGCTTCGAACGCGCCGGCTGCGCTAAACACTGCAGCTGCTGGGACATGGATAGCGCGCTGCGTCGTCGTGAATGGTTGGCCGGAGGGCAGCGTACAGCACATGGCATGGATGCGCCCATCCACCGTTCTGTCCTTCCATGCCGTTGGGCGTGCCTCACAGTCTTCGTTATTCACGCCTCGCTCTCTCGCAGCACTCGCTCTCCCCAGATCAGCTGTGCGAACAGACACGACGTCGTCTTCCATTGACCACGCCATTTCCCTCCGTCCGCTTTGTATAGCATCGTCGCTTTCGGTTCTCTTCGCGTGCACATATTCCCGCATATCTGGGCCATCGCGACATTGGACGTGCTGCCCTATCGCATGTTTTGCGTCCCCTCGCACCTGCCACATTCCACACATCTCGGCCCATCCTCCGCCACGACACGATACGATCCGGCAGCAGCGCCGTGCACTAATACGCGCACCTGCCCTCCATACGAATTGATCGCACACCCTCATCCTCCCGCGCACGAGACACGCGAGCACTTCGGAGCCCATCAGCCCCCGTCCATGTGAAAGGATGTCCGCCACGCTACTGGCCAGGCCGATTGACAGCCTGAGGACGACAACACCACCGCCGCAGCTGTCCATCAACACCACCCAGCGAGGCACTCCCTCGCCCATTCCCAACAAGCACCTACCATTCTGCTCGCCCGGTCCGCGGCCAGCATCGCGCACCCTCGACACTCCGCCTGCCTCGCCGCCCTCGCCCACGCAATTGATCGAGACCTCATCCTTGACCTATCCTCCTCATGGCTTCGACAAAGTCTTCAATGACCCGCCCATCTACTCCATCACCGCCAACAAGCTGTCGCAGGCGATGAATCATCTTGCCTCGCAGCCGCTGCCTCCCACGAAACAAGTGTTTCCCTGGCTCCACGGACTCCACGCCGAGAACCAGCTCCAGCTTGCCTTCTTCATTGCGAGGAAGAAGTCGTTACGGCGGACCCCAAAATGTATCCGAGGCATCACGGTCGTGAAGGCGGGTGGTGATCTCAATCACAGCAGGATCAACGGTGCTATTGCGCCAGAAGAACTTCTCAAGCCGTTGTCCGTGGGTCAGAGAAGAGAGGAACCCGAGTTCCAGGAGGCAGATCCCAAGGAGGGTTTTAGCGTGCGCAACTTCCAGATTCAGGCTTGCAAGATGGCCACTGTCAGCGACATCATCGTATATGGTGACGCAAAGACGCCGAGAGAAGAGGTGGTGCGACTCGCGAAGCGGATAGCCAGAGCGCAGACCGCGTGGCAGAAGAAGACAGAAGGCACAAACTGTGCGAGCCGTCTGTTCAATACCTTCGTCCTGCAAGGTGAGTAGCGTTTTGTTCCGTGTGGTTCCGGCGTCTGCTGATGAACTCGACCCAGATGATTGGGAGATTGTCGAATGCGACTACCCCGACCTCGTCCAGCTCGACAGCGAAGGCTGCATGACTGGGAAGGTCTTGGACTTCTTTCATGGAGAAAGATTGGAGATGTCCTCCATGTCGGCCCCTAGCGAAATAGCGCCGAACGTCTGGCTCGGGCCTACACCGGACCCCAACTTGTGTCTTGGTAAAGACGGCCTTCGCCTGAGCGAAGAACAACAGAACTTTGACCTGCTTGTGGAATGCAGCGATGTGGCCCAGATTCCGGACCAGCGAGCGTTTCGCTACCTCGAGGAAATTCTGGATCGCCGTGACCGAAAGCCCTCATCTGCCGATAGTCTACCGAACCAGCTCGAGTTCCCCGGATCTGGGGCAATCATGCCACCCACCTGGTCTCAAGTCGAAGTAGACGGCTTATTGGCAATGTGCCAATGGATTCACAAGCAAGCAAACTCTGTTACCGAAGCTAAGAAGCGGAGAGATAGCAAGCTTTCGCTGACCCCAGAGCCGGACTCGGACGGTGATGGATTTGCAGCATCGCCAAAGCGACGGAAGCAGGGTGGTAGGAAAGTGCTCATTCACTGCGCCGATGGCTACACAGAGACGTCGCTATTGGCACTCGCATACTACATGTACGCGAATTGCGTGCCAGTACACGACGCCTGGCTGCAGTTGCACCGCGAGAAGGGCAGAAACTTCTTTGCGTACAACTCTGACGTCCACTTACTCCGCAGCATCCAGGCCCGGATTCTCGCTGCTTCTCCGGCATATTCTGGCGACCTTCGTGAGCTGACGGTACCTCACCCAGCATGGCTTGACAAAATGGACGGGTCGTTGCCTAGCCGGATCTTGCCGTACATGTACCTGGGAAATCTTGGTCATGCGAACAACCCGCAATTGCTGGAGGAGCTCGGCATCGGCCAGATCCTCAGCGTGGGAGAGCCGGTCAGCTGGCCTCGAGAAGCCATGGAATCGTGGCCGCAGGAGAATCTGAAGTTCATCGACAAAGTCCAGGATAACGGAGTGGATCCGTTGACGGAAGAGTTTGAGAACTGTCTCAAGTTTATTGGTAAGCCCTGGTCGGATATTCGTTCTGTGGACTTGATGCTAATGTGTTGCGACAGAGGAGGGTCGCAAGAAAGGCACTGCGACACTTGTGCACTGCCGCGTCGGCGTTTCTCGATCCGCCACGATTTGTATCGCCGAGGTGATGAACGAGCTGGGCTTGTCGTTTCCTCGAGCGTACTGTTTCGTGCGAGCGAGGAGGCTCAATGTGATTATCCAACCGCATTTGCGATTTGCGTGAGTATTGCCATCCGTCGAATTTCAAGTGTCTTGTGTTCTGATCAAGTCTACAGATATGAGCTTCTCAAGTGGGAAGAATCGCAATGCGTCAAACGTGGCAAGCCACTTCGACGCGAACTCGAATGGGCCACGATTGCCCGAGAGATTGCGGCCATGAACAAGCCCTACTCACGACAGGGATAATTGAACGACCTGCCATTGTTAGATGACTTTTACTTCATGGGCCGATACGCCTCGGGATCCGACTTCCTGGATCCATGGTTTGGAGAAGAGATGTGGAAGATGGCTTCGGACATCGAGCTTCTCCGTGGTATGACTTTGACGAACTTCACGGCTTTGAATGTATGACCTTTTTGTACTGGGGATTGCGTTTTGCATTTGTTGAGCAGAGGACGAGCGATGGGCCAGGCTCATTGGGAAGAGCCCGGATCGCCCGCCTTGTGGGACAGGCGATACATTTACTTTCTGTCTCTGAAGAAGATGACTTGGGATGTGGTTTATGACACAAATGCCCAGGGAGTGGCATATGTATTTCTCTTGCCTGGTATCTGGCATGAACTTCCCAAGCAGCGCTGGCCTGCTGTTGGAATGGGAATGGGATCGAGGTTCAGGATTTGGGAGTTCTTTCAATTCTTTCGTATGTACTATCTTTCAAGAGAGGGGCGGTTAGATGGTTGCTATCTATTATCGAACGTCTCTGGACAAGAAGACGAATACGGCATTTACTTTTCGTCTCATCGCGTTTTCTATACCATTTCCACTCGTTTTGCTTTACGAGTCTCCAAATCTTTTATCCGGCACTGATCGGCATTGACAAAGCCTGTGGAGCCGAACGCGGATCCAATTGCCCATTTTGTGTTTCTCTTATCGGCTTTTGATAAGCTCTCGTTTCTGTCGCCCCTTGCCGATGACGGACCATTCGGACAGGGATTCTTTGACTCTGTGTGTGTGACTGCTTCCAATGCATGGAGGGGTTACGCTATTTTGTTTAAGGCGTGCCATTGAAGAGAATATTCTTATCACTCAGAGTATTAGAGGTTTACGAGGTGGAGGGTCTTTGTATTCGTTTTCGAGTTCCAGGACTGGGTTTGAGAGATCTTCGCCACAACACGGATTGGGCGGACTTCTTTTACTGCAGCGAGTGGAAGGGTTGCGAGGAAGAGGTGTCTATTATTCGACTCTTCCGCGATATACCTACGATCTCTCCTCCTCCGCGAGACGCTGCTATTCGACGATCACAATGCGTCCTCCTCTCCGCATCGCCGTCCTCGAATGTGACGAACCTATTGGGCGAACGAAAGAGAAATATGGAGGGTATGGAAACTTGTTCCATGAACTGTTAGATCACAGTGCGAAACATTTGAAAGCGAAAGAGGGGAAAGAAGTGGAATTGGATGTTACGAAGTATGATGTTGTGAGGCATGAGGTTTATCCGGAGTTGGAGGGTGTGGATGCTGTGCTTTTGACGGGGAGTAGTGAGTATAATTTTTCTTCTTTGCTGTTTTGGTGGGCGGGTTGGGATGAAATACTAGGGGAGGTTTGGAGAGGGATGAGAGGATGGTCAGGAGGAGGAAGAGTGAAGAGACATTGAGGTTGTGGCTGATGAACGAAAAGAGAATGCTGACTCTTCGTCTCCGCAGAGTTCAACTCTTTTGACAATGATCCTTGGATATTGAAGTTGGTAGAATTTACACGAAAGGTTTTGGCGCAAGAGCGGGTGAGGTTGATCGGAGTGTGCTTTGGACATCAAATTATTGGAAGAGCAATGGATGTTAAGGTCGATCGAAGTGATCGGGGGTGGGAGATTAGTGTGAGTAAGGTGCAGTTGACGGAGATCGGGAAGAGGTTGTTTGGATTGGAGGAGATGGTGAGTGATTACTTTTCCTTTTTGCTGGTTCATGAGAGAGGAGGGAGAAGACGAGCAGAAGAAAGCGATGTTGGAAACAAGGGAGAGGATTCGAGAGTGGACTTGTGCTAACGGATACGAACAGGCGATTCACCAGATGCATCGCGATATCGTATATGAATACCCGGAAGGAACTCAGCCATTGGGACACTCTCCGAGATGTGATGTGCAGGGAATGTATACCAAGAACCGAGTCATCACGGTCCAAGGACATCCAGAGTTCAACGGCGATATTGTGTCCGAGCTGCTGGATAGCCGACATGAGAAGGGAATATTTGATGATGCCATGTATAAGGACGGTATGGATAGGGTGCGGCTGCATCATGATGGAGTTACCATTGGAGCCGCGTTCTTGAGGTTCTTGCTGGAAGATTGATGGGATGTAGCTCATTGCATCTATGCACGCATTCAGCGCATTGGTCGTGGCGAGGTGGTGGCGTGTTTTTGGTGGAAGCGTGGTCGGTTGCTATGTGACATTGCTGGCACTCGCTGGCACTCTTATCAGAAGGGGGGGAAACTCGGCTGGTGGCTCGCGCATTGAAACAATGCAATGGCTGCAGCCGCAGCTAATTCTGCATTGGAGAGACAGCTTCCAGATAAACATAGACCGTGGTCAGTGGTAGAGCATGCAGCGCAGTTTCCCCACGCACCTCTGGCTCGAGCTATGGCGTGACGGAGTGGCTCGTTGGCGATACGATGTGCATGTGAGGTTGGCAGCTGGATGCGACTGGCCATGGCGTACCTCCACCAAGCGTAAGTTAGCAGATCAGAGCACGACGGGGCATACCGCCGCAAACCTCGGTGGTCGTGTTGGAGGGTGGCAGTTCGCAGGGGAAGCTGCACGCGGTGATTGGGTGCGTCGGCTGAATTGCTTGTGTACCTGACGACGGCCGCGCGTTCCATAGAAGCTCATCGCTACACTTGGCCAGATTGCGCCGCAGAAAGTTTCGCGCATCCCTGCCGCGCCTGCTCGATCGCCCCCAATCTCCGAGGAGCAGCTAGCCGAATACTCCATAGCACGAGAGCCCTCCTTCCCTCAACATTCACCCTACTACGCCATTCTTCCATCCTACACAGTCGCTACTCCCATCCACAACCTCACCAAACCCTTCTGCGCGACTGGAACGCGCAGAATGTATTATATTTATCACCTTTGCTAATATTAGACCCTGCGACTGCGAACACACGAATCCACAAAGGAACCGATAACAACGAGATAAGGACGACGTCGGTTTGCGCGACATAGCGACCTCCCACCATGGGCAAACACAAATACGGTCTAGTCTTCGACGCCGGCTCGTCGGGCACGAGAGTCTACGTCTACAAATGGGACTCAGCCGCGCATGCACGCAAAAAGGGAGAGGACTTGCACAAATTACCGGAGATTGAGACCAAGAAGAAATGGATCAAGAAAGTCCATCCTGGAATCTCGACTTTCGGAGATAAACCTGAACTCGTGGGTCCTGATCACCTGAAGGAACTGGTTCATTTCGCGTTGGATATTGTGCCGAAGCATGCTGTAGAGGATACTCCGGTGTTTTTGCTCGCAACTGCGGGTATGCGATTGTTGCCAGACGATCAACGCGCCGCGCTGCTTGAACACACGTGTTCCTACTTCCAGCGTAACACGAAATTTCAGCTGCCAGATTGTGGTGTGCATGTGCAGGTCATACCGGGAGAGACGGAAGGGTTGTATGGCTGGATCGCGGCAAATTACCTGCTGGGAGGCTTCGATGCGCCCACGGATCATGATCATGGGAAACAACACAATACGTATGGGTTCTTGGATATGGGAGGAGCTTCGGCGCAGATTGCGTTCGCGCCGAATGCCACTGAGGCGGAGAAACATGCGGACGATCTGAAATTACTACGATTGAGGAGGGTGGATGGAGAGTCGTTGGAGTACAAGGTCTTCGTAACAACGTGGCTAGGATTCGGAGCGAACGAGGCACGGAGACGATACGTGACAAGATTGCTCGAAGCATCACCGGATGCTGATGAGATACCAGATCCTTGTCTCCCCGTGGGCATCAAGGTCAAGAAGACGGGGGAGGAGATTGAACCTGGCTCAAAGGATCTTGCTGCACACGAACCGCATCTGCTCGGAACTGGCGATTTCACACAATGTTTGAAGAGCACGTATCCACTGTTGGAGAAGGAGAAAGAATGCAAAGACGCGCCTTGTCTACTGAATGGACAACATACTCCTGCGATTGATTTCGATGTCAACCACTTTGTTGGCGTTTCAGAATACTGGCATACCACACATGAGATCTTCGCAATGGCGCACAAGGACAAGGCTTACGACTTCGCGAGCTACCAAAAACAGGTTACAGAATTCTGTTCGCGAGATTGGGCGGAAATTGAGGAGGATGTCGAGAAGGAGAAGTGGGGACACAAGGTGGACGAGAAGACAGTCGAAGAGGTGTGTTTCAAGGCCAGCTGGCTGATTAACATGCTGCACGATGGCATTGGCGTTCCGCGAGTGGGCATCGAGGCAGGCAAGAGCAGCGTGCACAATAAGACCGATGCTATTGTTGAGAGCGCGAAAGATCGAGGTTTCTTGGATCCGTTCCAGGCTGTCGATAAGATCGACGGCAAGGAGGTGAGCTGGACACTTGGCAAAATTGTACTCTATGCATCTTCCCAGATGCCGGCCGCGGAGGAGGCCAAAGCTGTGGGATTCGGGAGCAACGTCGAAACTACGACTCTGCCGTACGATTGGCAATACCCCGCCGGACACCTACCGACGATTTCCGCAAACGAAACAGCAACAGCCGAGAGCGACGACTGGCACGATCGCATTCTGTCCAGCGACTACAGCCGCCGAGCCCCTGGTATTCTCATCTTCCTCCTCATTTTCGCCCTTGCAGTCTACCTGCTCTGCGGTCGTGAACGACGACAATCGTGGTATCACAAGATGACTGGCGGCAAGAGCCACCACAGCAAACCACGCAAAGGAGCTGCGTCTTCTCGCTTCCTCGGGGGCAAACTCTTCGGCTCTTCGCCCACCTACGAACGTGTCCTCGAAGAAGGCGCCGACCCCTCAGACTTCGAACTCGGCGATTTCTCCGATAATGAACGCCTCTCCGATTCCAGCGTCGACCTCGATTCCGCCGGTCGTGTTGGACGAACTTCTGGACTGGCGACTCCTGGTCTTCGTGGCCTTTCACCAGATATTTCACGCGGATCACCAAAGATGACGAAGAGCTACTTTGACGCACCGCATGGTAGCAGTGTTGTCGTAGAACGACCTGGGAGCTCGCATGGATTGGGAATCGCGACTGCGGCTTCTGCTCCTGCTGTTACGCCATTCGACCGTGGCGGGTTGATTATTCGATCGGAGAGCAAAGAGAGTTTGAGAGCTCCTAGTCGGAGTCGGAGGAATAGTCCGACGAGACGGAGTCCGTTGATGATGCCGTTGAAGGAGAGTTTGGATTGATATGTCCGCTCTGCATGGTCAACGAGCATGGAGTTTCGTGTTTCTTTTTGGGCATTTCATAGCGAAGGTGTTGGATGGAACTTGACGGCGTTAATCTTGGGCTGCTTCTGATCTTCTCACGATGAGAAGGGAGAGCATTTCATATATGAGATCCATGACTTGCTTCTTTTGGTACGTATAATGATGGTTGGAAAGAAGGGAAGGTAAGAGAGGAGGCATGAGACGAAATCACTTCGTTCTCCTTGTATATATATTTAGATTCCTATAGTCTCTCCACGAGAAGCCCTGGAAACCTCACTTGGGTCATCTCGTTATTTACCCACTTCAACGTGGGCCTCTTATGTCCACTTAGAGACGAACTACATCTTGAGAATAGTCAAGAGACTGAGCCAATGGTTCAAGCCACGAGAAGTCAGCGCAGCCATGCTTTATACAATGCATACGGGTATCTGGAACGCTGCAGTACCATAAAAACGCCATCTCCTGCACAGCTGGTCATCAAAGGAAGTAGTCCGCGACTGGCTTCTTCGCTGGCATCCCTCTGCTGTCCTGCGGAGCGGCATCGAACACACGATATCTTCTGCCAGGTGCAGGCTTGTTGGGTGGTTGTTCCCGTTCTGACAGGATGCTGTTTGATCTCCCTGCATCACCATTGCTTCTTTGCGCATAGCCTGCGTTCGCGCCGTCTTCGCTGAGCTCTAGAATTGCAGCCACATTGCCGCATCTGTAGCAGTAGTTGGGAGCTGACCACACCGTTACTATCGTACTGTCGAACATCTCCTTGAAACCTTCCATGACCAGTTGATGGGCGCGACAGATGAGACTGAGATCATTCTTGTGATTGAAGCATTTCACAATGTCAGAGCCGAAGAGGAAGCCAGCGCCGCGTGGCGACAGACCCCATCCGTCAATCTCGTCCGGATCCGACCAGAGGAGATCGCACATAGCACCTTCGTGAGGTACTTCTTGCTTCCGATCCAGGAGACGGATTTTGTCGATACTGTCTATGAGTGGACTTAGACCACCATGCACGCACAGAACTGCACCACCAGTGTTGCTCGCGCTGCCTCGACTTGCCCCTGATGCACCTGTCCCTGGTGGACCAGTCCGAGATGATGGTGTCTGTTCCTGTGTCTGCGAAGGTGAAGCAGGTTCATTGGATAGTGTCGAGTTGTCGTGGCTCAGGAAAGCCGACCGAGAGCGCGCGTATCGGTTCATGATCTGGCCTTGCGAGTTCAGAATCTCTATTTCAACATCCTCGTGAGGGGGATGGGAGCCAGAAGGATCTGCGAACGGCGCGTCTGTGGGATCGATGTCTCCTGCCGCACCCATCACCAAGGCGCCCAGTGCTAGATAGTCAAAGACCTCGCAGCAGTATCGCCAGACATTGGCGCTGCCGTATTTGCGTAAGCATTCGTCGTAGAAGCCGTAGACGGTCGTGATTTGTCGCGATTCATGATTGCCGCGAATAAGCGTGATGCGATCCGGATAGCGCACTTTCAAGCAAAGCAAAAGAAGAAATGATTCAAGCGAATAGAAGCCTCTGTCGACGAAGTCGCCCATGAAGAGGTAGTTCGTGTCTGGCACATCGCCACCCACGCGAAAGAGTTCCATCAAGTCGTGGAATTGTCCATGAATGTCACCGCATATCTAGCACGTCCGGTCAGCGCTTCACCCGCCACTACACGCTGTTGGAACGACCTACCGTTACCGGCGCATCCACGCTGACCACATTGCCTTCTTCTATAAGCAGCTCACGCGCTTTGTAGCAGAGTTCTCGCACTTGTGTTTCTGGTATGGGTCGACAGGCGCGCAACTGCGCTATGGCTTTGTCGAGATCACTCATTTCGAGCGATGCGCCAACCGGCGCGTGGCCAACGAACTGGAGTTCCGGTGTACACTCAAGTAGTCAAATAGCCCCTGATGCTCCTTCTAGCGTTGCGCCGAGTCCGTGGATCGGTGAATGGCGGTGTTCGTGATGCGCACGGCGAGCTGTTGTGGCGATTGCTGGAGGGTGATGGTGACACGGTTCAGGGCGAGATAGCGAGGCGAAATGGACCGTTAGCGACGAGGTGGTAGATCGCGAAGTGAGGATTGCTTGCGGTGCGATATGTGCAGCTGCGAGGAATAGTCGTTTGTCCTGCTCGCGCGTTGAAGTCGTGTTGCAGTTGTTTCAGAGTTCGACCAGACTGCCAGTCGCGCTCGGGATCGGCTGCTCTTTTCGCCGCCACCTCCGTGAGCCTCACCACCTCTGCTCTCCTGCTGCGCATGCTCTCTCACCACGTCGATGCTGGCCACCAGTGAATTGAGTCCATGGGCTAGTCAAGCAATACACATCGGTGCAAAGCGTCTGCCATACGCCTGACAGCAAGAACGAGCCCAGAGAAGACCCAGGATGACTGGCGGTCCAACTATGTCCCGGAGCCTACAGCACGACAACGACAATGGAGCCATTGTTGGCGGGTATGGATGACACGAGGCGCTCAAAATCAATCTGACCACGATCATTTCTTATTTCCGCAATTAAGATCGCTTTTCTTACCATGTTGTCGGAAAAGTGGAAGCCCTGGCAGTGACCCCGCAGCAATTGATTCGTTGCGATCGAGCAACGTGAAGCGCCCAGAGCGATGCGTATGCATATCCCCGAGACGATGTACCAGGTTGAGGGTACAAGCAAGGTCCAGATTCGGTGCGAGCCTGCAGGAACAGCAGTCCGACCTCTCAAACAACACCTCCTCATGCTGCGAACCCCGCTTGAGTGAGGTACTGTATTGCGGGCAGCTTGTAGAGCTTCATGAGCTGTGCTGACTCCTCAGCGTGGAGTATAAGTATGCACATGCTCTGAGCGCTTGGAAGATACGAGACCGGTAGGAAACTTGCGATTCAGTTGGTGATATCACTTCATCGCAATTATATATTGATAAAATGGCCAGCTTCAAGGGATACGACCTGATCGTTGTAGGCTCAGGCTTCGCTGGTTCGTTTGCAACTTTGAGCTTTCTTGAAACTTGCAAGAGAGAAGGCAAACAAGGGCGAGTCGCCCTCGTAGAAGTTGGCAAAGATGGCGAACGTTGTGGTGCATCGCGATGGGTTAGTATCGGAACAGTAAGGGGTGACAATCTGCACAAGTGGTTGACCATATCTTTAGACTATGGCATATTTGAGACTGGACAAGAACCTTGACTTTGGTATGAAGTTTTTCTACTCGACATGACGTGGTCCTGCTAACGATCGCGCAGACAAGGACTGGGTCAAGGAAATGCGCCGAGTCAGTAATGGCGTCGCTGACGAAGATTACTGTGAGAAGCTCCGCAACGAGGCTCCAATCACCGCAAAGTTCTGCGAAGAGCGCGGCGTCAAGTTTGTCCATCATGATGAGCCCAACGTCCTACTCGAATTCGATACCGACCAGCACTTTGTCTTTCCTGATGGAGGTGGCGTTGCCATCATCACAAAGATGATGGAACACATTAAGGGTTACCCCAATGCAGAAATCCACTGGGAGACTGAAGCCATTAAGCTGTTGCAGGATGAACAGGGCAAAATTCGCGGCCTGAAGGTCAGAAAGAACGACGGCCTGCTTCACGATCTCCTTGCACCAGATGTTGTCTTGGCATGCGGTGGGTTCGAGGGCAACCAAGAAATGCTAGCACGCTACATCGGCCGAGACACCCACAAGCTACCACTCATTGCCCCTGGCATCAAGCACAACAAAGGAGCAGGCTTAAGAATGGCTCTCGAGGTAGGGGCAGGAACTGCAGGCTCTTTCGATGGAATGCATTGCGAGCTCGTTGATACGCGTGCTAAAAAGCCAGATGCAGTTATCTGGGGTACGTGACTCACTTCTGAAGCGTAAGCACAACTAACAAGCTGTAGGTCACAACTACGGCATTGTCGTCAACAAAGAATGCGAGCGCTTCTACGACGAGGGCCAGCGTCACCTCTTCGCAACCTTCGAGATGATTGCCTTGTACTGCTGGAAAGACCACAATCAATCTTGCTTCTTCGTTACAGATGACCCAATCATGCAACGTTTCAAGGGCAGCTGGGTCTATGAGACCACCGATATCCCACCAGAGAAGGCCGATACGATTGAAGAGCTAGCAGAAAAGCTTGGTATTGACCCTGCCGCTCTCAAGAAGACTGTCGATGAATACAACGCTGCCGTGAACGACAAGCCATTCGACCTCATGAAGCTCGATGGCAAGCGCACGAATGGCTTGAAAGTCGACAAGACTAATTGGGCTGCTAAGATCGAGAAGGGTCCTTTCTACGGATATCCAATGACGGCCAACCTGACTTTCACCTATGGAGGTGTCAAGACTGATCTTGATGGTCGCGTTCTGTCAACTGCTGATGTGCCTATTCCTGGACTGTGGGGAGCTGGTGAGATGACTGGATTGTTCTACAACGAATATCCGCCGGCAACATCTTGCCTGCGGAGCATGACCTGGGGTCGCTTGGAGGGCGAGGCGATTGCGAAGAATCTTGGACAGGAGAGGAAGACCGGTGTTGCTGTGAGGGCTAAGTAGTTCATCGATCTGTACATACTGGTATGACTTACAAGCAACAAGTGAAAGGTCACGTGTCACTGTGTACAACGGAAAGTGAATGGTCAGAACACCCGTCGGCGACATGAGTGAAGAGTATATGTTGACAACCTCGCCAACGATGTTTTACTCACAAAACCTCCCTCTACCGATACTCGATTCCAGCACTCGAGAACCGAAACCTCATCTTACTTTCTCGCCAAAGATACTCGAGTATCATCCCCCACAACACAATCAACAACACAATCAACAGCATCAACATGGACACCCTCTACTCGTAAGTATAGCACATCTTGCTATCCTCGGAATACCCTCTGACTTCTATCATAGCTCTCTCCGCGGCGACCGCCTCATCACCATCTACGTCGGCCGTGATCCCCAGCCGATCTCCATCCAAGAGGCCTTGCTCTGCAACACCGCGGAGTACTTCAAGAACCTCCTGACGAATGGCCATTTTAAGGAATCTCAGACCGGTGTCGTTAGCTTCCCGGAAGACGATGTCGAGTCGTGGAAGCTGCTTGCCTACTGGGCAATGCACCGCACGCTCCCAGACTCAGTCGACGTGGTTTCGTGCTGTAAGGCCTGGTATTTGGGTGACAAGGTCAGTACTATCGAAACATCGAATTGACTTTATGCTAATGTGAAATGTAACAGTACATGATGCCGGCCTTCCAAGACGAAGCCATGTACGCCATCTTGAACGAAGTCCTCGACACCGTCATGACCGACGACGCTTTCGTTGATCTGTTCACTGCCACTCTGCCAGAAACGAAGCCGCGTCAGCTCCTTGCCGAGTTGCTCGTCGATCTCGTTTTGCATGATGGTCTCCTCGAGTGGAGCGATTTGCCAAAAGTTCAGAGCCAGCAGAACCACATGGCGAGCATTCTGGCCGCGATGGATGATCTGAAGAATGCTGGCCATTCGCGCTCTCGCGGCGACCTGCGTGATGCTGAAGGCCGCGACGGCAAGCCATTGTGGATGCGGTACATGGTCGCCAATGGTCCGAAGGTAGCTGGGGGCTGGTACTGGCACCACGATAGGGAGGAATGGCGACTGGCTTCGTTCTGATGTGTTGAGACCTGATGGGAGCTTGAATGGGCGAGATTGACGACTGATGACGAATGCATAACAGGCGAGATTGACTATCGATTGTGGACGAGCGAAATGGAGTTGGAATGAGGCGCCAATGACTGCTGACGAATGCATAATGGGTGAGAATTACGATGGATCATTTGGATGAAGGAAACCCCGCTGCGTCCGGTATGCACCTTCGACCGCTCTTTACTGCTAGCGAACAGATAGAATTCGCAAAGCTAGACACTGCTTCTCATGGCCTTCCCCTCCTCCCTCGTGTTCACAGTCTGTCCTTGCACATTCTCCCCATCATCAATGGGTTGATGCTCCTCCCAGAACTTATTCATCACCATTCCCTTGCCAGACAGAATTCCATAGAAATTGAAAGGATCAATAACCGTGATCAAAAATGGCCTCTTATCTGCTTTTGAAAAACCAGGTCCCAGTCTCTCCGTCTTCCCATCCACAGGATCCAAGAAGATCTTACTGCTTCGAGGCAAATACTTGCCAGGGTGAAAGATGGCAAGCAATATGACGAAAAGCGTAATGTTCGCGATTTCGAAAACCCACAAGAACCATTCGTTCCTCGATACAGGCCCGCAGTAAGGATCTTCCCTGTCTGCATCACAAGAGCCAGCCTCAAAGCCTTCGATAGTTCGCACGATACAGCGGACCAGGATCATGGAGCTTGTAATGTATAGCAGATAGCAGATATTGCGGACATTCTTGGGGAAATTCCCGCCTTTGCGTGCCTTGTACTCGAGCGTTGCGACGATTGAGATGAAGAATGCTTCGACAAAGATTTGTAGGATCAATGCTGACTTGAGTAATTTAAGACCAATGTTGCGCTGGGATTCGGTTCGACCTGATCCGGCGCTGTTGGCTGCTCCTGAGCCTGTGAGAGATTCGACTGCGGCAGAGAGGAAGATGAAAGTGCTGAAGACGCGGCCGGGATGGATGGGAGTATAGTACGGGAGGTAAGCGAGCAGGCGGCCGAGGATGAAGTACTCAGCTGCAGAGTAGAGCGGCGGGCCCATCAGAACCAGGACGTATCTGGATGGGGGAGTTGTTAGTGTGACCGATTGCGAATCGTTGCAGAGATTTGCTCACTGGGCAATGAAGAGTCCAATATTCCGCACTTGGTGGACGGAGATGCTGCGACAAACGAAGCCGGCTATCCACACGCTCGTGGCCCATAACATCACAGCGCCAAACTTCTTCCATCTGTACCGGAAGAAGGACTGGTAGATCTGATAGGCACCAAGTGCGGTCAGAAGGACTGCAAAGACAATCGGAGCTGGCTTGTTCGGGTTGTAGGGGTACAGTGACCAGTCATCTGAGGTGTTTGACATTGTTGTTCTCGTTGGTGTCGTCTGTTCGATGGATGGTGCCCTGTTCTGTTAAGAAGTGAAAGTAAGAGTGGTAGGTAGTTATGGCTCCCGTGAGTGCTTTTGCAATCCGGTCTCAGCCATATACATATATCAACTCCTCGCGACGCATGCTAAAGCTCTAACCTTAAGCGATGTCTGCTCGTGACAACAGCAAGGCTGTGTCTGTGTCTCGTAGAAGTGCCTGCCGATCATTGCGCAACGGTACGCGATTGGTTGATACAAGCTTTCATGGTAGGAGCGTGGCAGAAGATTGGTGCGCGTCTGTGAATCCTTCAGCATACGTCGTTCCGCGAGTAGTTCCGCTCTCGTTGCGCGCTGTTGCACTGCCATGTACAATCTCAGCTCGCATTCGCATTGAACGTGGAAGTGCCTCAGGGCGTGGAACACGGCATATTGGGTTCTGACATTCGCTAATGTTGCATGAAGGCCACGAGGTACACACTGCAGGAATTAAGCATGCGCCATGCACCTTTCCGGTTGCGGTATGTGTGCGGCTTCAAGCTATGTCATGGCTGCTGAGATGGAGATTGAGGCTCAGCGATAGACTGGTGCCTACGATGACTGGAAGAATCTGAGCTCTCCCACGAGATCATTGATGTTGAATGTGCATTCGACACAAGTTTACTCCATCCATCTTGTTGACGAGGTCAAAATCCTCTCTGGTTCAATGGTCTTATGCATTGTCATGACGCTTCTGGAGGTTTCCATGTATTCATCTCTAGCGGAGATCCTGAGTATTGCTGAGCATCAATATGCCATTGCCGAGTGTTCTTTGTAGCAGCGATTTGTGTACTGCGAAGGTGAACATGATGAGGCGGAAATGGTCTAAGTTTGGTGAAACCCGAACCCGACGGAAGCATTGACGCTCACCTTTGACCACCCACCACGCCCTTATCCACGTATGACCATTGTCAACACTTTTGCGACAGCATGGTCATCAGGAGATCTATGGGTAAGGCTGAGACGCTGGTCTCAAGCTTCATCTGCTTTTCGTGCTTGAGCAGAGCTGGTAGAGCAGGCCAAGTATCCCGCAATGCTGCTTTCATATCTGCCTCTCGCAACTTGTCTACGTATGTAGGGCGACGACGAGCCGATGGTGCATGCTTCAGCGCGCAGAGATTCAGAAGAGCGATAACGTCCCCAACCCGACCACAGCGGCGATATCTCTTGACAGAAGGCGGCACCGCGCCCACGACCCTCGAAGAGCACCAGAGACAAGTCGAGCAAATATCGGAGCGAGTACGAGGCTTTTATGAGCGCAAAGAGAAGTTCAGAATATATCATGGGTCAACGAATAGCACGCGCAAGTCGGCAATGGGTAGGGACCCAAGCACGGTTGTGGACACAAGCAGATTAAACCATGTGGTTTCGGTCGATACGGACCGCAGAACCGCACTGGTAGAGCCCAACGTGCCGATGGACAGGCTCGTGGAAGAGACTCTCAAATATGGGCTCGTACCTCCTGTAGTCATGGAGTTTCCTGTAAGTTGAGAACATATCAGGAGCGTGACCAACAACTGAGATCGCAGTAGGGCATCACCGTAGGAGGTGGCTACTCAGGCACCGCAGGCGAGAGTTCATCCTTCAAGCACGGATTTTTCGACCGAACTCTGAACAAAGTCGAAATAGTTCTGGCCACAGGTGAAGTCATCACCGCATCAGAAACAGAGAATTCAGACCTTTTCCGTGGCGCAGCTGGAGCTGTTGGCACATTTGGCGTCACGACCATGGTTGAGCTGCAATTGATCAAAGCGACCAAGTATGTAGAGGCCACATATCACCCGGTCACCAGTATGGAAGAGGCCACTGCAAAGCTACTTGACTTCACATCCAAGCCCGGTGAATACGATTACATCGATGGCATAATGTACTCGCAACAAAGCGGAGCCATCGTCACTGGGCGCATGACCGACACACCATCCGAAGACGTTCCAGTCCAACGCTTCAGCGCTCCCAAGGATCCCTGGTTCTATCTTCACGTCAAAGACCGCATCGCGAAGAACTCCCAACCAACCTCCGACGCAATCCCCCTTCCAGAATACCTCTTCCGCTACGACCGAGGCGGCTTCTGGGTCGGCGAAGGCGCTTTCGACTACTTCAAATTTCCCTTCGCAAACTGGTCCCGCCGCTGGCTCGACGACTTCCTCCACACCCGTATGCTCTACACAGCCCTCCACTCCAGCGGCCGCTCAGAACAGATGATTATCCAAGACCTCGCACTTCCGTACCCCAACGCCACCGAATTCGTGAAACGCATGGACGAAAAATTGAACATTTGGCCTCTATGGCTCTGTCCCTTGAAACAGAGCCCTGGGTCCACAATGCATCCTCATTACAGTGAATATGAACCTGATGGCACAACTCTCCAACCTATGCTCAATATCGGTCTATGGGGCAAAGCACCTCCAACACATGAAGGTTTCGTACAAGCGAATCGAGAGATCGAAGCTACGCTTCAAGAACTACGCGGGATGAAATGGCTTTATGCTCAGACATATTTCAACGAAAACGACTTCTGGAAAGATTTCGATAGGCAATGGTACGAGGACCTGAGGAGAAAGTACTCCGCTACGACTTTGCCCACTGCGTGGGAGAAAGTGCATGTTGATGTCGAAGCGGAGCGGAAGGCGAGACGACAGAAGAAACCTTGGACGCAGAGGCTCCTCGAAACGTGGCCGATGCCGGGCTTCGTAGGCATCAGGAGGTCGATACAGAGCAAGGACTATATCCAGGCGAGGGAAGCAGCTTGGAAGGACTGGGTGCCGCGGAAGGACTGAGGATCGCTGAAAACACTTTGTCAGGCCGTGCCCCTCCGTACCATGCTGCATCCGCAGCTTTGTGTGTATAGATGTACAGTAGTACATATCGCTCACCAAGCGTTGTTCAATTTTGACAACAGTCAGCAGCGACAGCCACAAGCGTACTGCTGAACAAAAAAACTGCAGATTATCAAAGCTTACTCCAAGCAATGCCTTTCCCTTGCCGCCATGGTGTATCATCATCCCTCATAAGCACAACAGCGCGCCAAAAGCAAACCCAAAGAAGACCTGGGGAATCGTTCGCTCAAACGCAGAACCCATACATGGAGAAGAGGGGAAAGCTACGCCGTTCATTCCTTCAGCTGCGACCTCAAACCCACGTTCTCCCTCTTCAACCGACTCGTCTCTCGTCTCAACTTCACCGCCTCATCACTAACCTCTTTTAGCTTCCTCTTCAGCTCTTCGACGCCCTCTCCCCCTCGTACAGCCTTCAGCACTCTGGCAAGCTCGTCGTTGAAACGTGAGTACAGCGCTTCGTTCTCGCCATTCGCCTCGCGATACAGCTCATCGAGTTTCTTGCACTTCGTCTCCGAAACGCTCAACGAAGACGTGAGGTCGTGCTGGATGGTGCTGATACGATGGTTCAACTCATCAAACTGCTTCGGTACGGCACCTTCGAGTTTGAGAACACGTTGCACGAGATCCATGTTTGAGGTACCCTGCGAGAAGGAGCCTCGACCCGCGGCCACGGTACGGCTGCGGTTGGCTGGTGTACGGCTTGATGGAGTGCTGGTGAGCTCATCGCCAATCTTACTTAGCTCGTCTTGTAGAGAGGTCTGAGCTGCTGCGATAGCTGACTGTTCGTTCTGGAGACGTTCTCTGAGCTTTTGAGGCGATTGCATGCGAAGCTTGCGAGGAGAGGTAGTGGCTGCTGGCACGTCGATGGTTGTACTGCGTGCGCGACCAGTCTTCTCAGCTTTGGGTGATGGTTTCTTCACGATATTGCCAGCTCCAGGTCGCTCGGAAAGACCGGCGCGACCTGGTGTCTGAGGTCGCGTCTTTGCTGGCGACGAAGCTCTTGGCACAAGACTGGGAATATTCGAAGTCGGGCGAGCAGTGATGATCAACTCCTCGGGGCGATCACCACTTGTCTTTGGTCGCTCAAGGTCTGTGCCGTCGGTTTTGGACCGACCAAGTTGTGGACGCGGCAGCTGTGGCGGTTCGCCAGACAGTATCTTGCTTGGGCCGGGCGAAAGGTCTCGTCGAAATGAGGCGGGCAGGCGCGAACGTGGCGACTTCAGCGATGGGCTACCAAATCTTTGAGTGCCATCGCGTGAAGATGGAGCAGATGGCGTAGAGGGCACGGGGGAAGTCGGCAGCTGCTTCTCGTCCAACGTCTTCTGCGTGATCGGTGTTCTTCGTGGAGTAATAGGCGACAAAGGCTCCCGGTCCCGCTTTGGCGAAAGCTCCTTGAGATCAGAGAGCGAACTACGCCGCTTCTTCCGAGGAGGACCAGTCGGGATGAAGCTTGGATGCTCGCCTATCGTGGACAGGCCGATGTTGTGGCTACTAGGCGTTCGCTGCAGGTTCGGTAATTCGTTGATTGATGCATTGGAGACCTTGGCGCTGTCTTGTGAAGGCGGTCTGTAGCCGAGACTAGCAGCATCGGTGTCGATTGAGCGCGAGCGACCGAAAGAGCCTTTCGAGATACTATTTGCTGGGCTCTGATCGACTCGTGTGCTCTTGCTGAGGGTGCGCCACACCGACGAAACTTTGGACTCCTGCTCAGACTTGCTGTTTTCCCGGCTCAGCGTGCCAAAACCGAACTTGCGGCGGAGTGAAGAGGTGTTGCTTGTCATGGACGCAGAGTTGTGCGAGCGCGTCCTCTTGTGTGAGTTGAAAGATCCGGAGTCCTTGTAGCTTTGCAAAAAGCTGGTATCGACTGATTCGCCAAAGTAGGTGTCTGTGTCGTCCACAAATCGATCAATGAGAGCAATATAGTCGTGGGGATTGCCGTCAGTAACCAGAAGCTCGGCGAAGCAGGCAGTCAAAGCGCCCCTGTCGCCGTCATTGCCAGTCCCGTCAAGCAGATCGGCCAAAAGCTTGAGTATTGATTTGAAAGCACGCTGATTTTGAGGTGCGAGCCTGGCCATACATGACTTGAAGTAGTCATCGAACTCGCTTGGGAACGCAGTCTCGGCTTTGGCTTGGATGTCCTGGAAGACAGAGAACGGCATGACCTGGCCGATACGCTCTCTCCAGGCCTGATTGAGGAACCTCTCGAACGCAGCAAACAGTACATCGAGTGGCGCTTGGGCAGCAAGCACCATCATGTTCGGATCATCGAGAAGTCCGCCATAGAGCTCGCCGACCGAGGCCTCGTCTGCCACGTGTCGAAGCTTGAGATTTTTGCCAACGATGTTGCCCTTGCGAGCTTGTATCGCCAGCACGTAAGCCGATAGTGTATCTTCAATCTTCTTCAGTTGAGAGGCGGCCATATCGCTAGGAGGTGAGAATGGCGAGAAAAGCGGCTGGCCTTCCTTTGACGATGGTCTCCCTTCGCGGCTGCCTGGCTTGTGCGATGAAGCATTGCTGGGCAGCCGTGGAATGCTCGTCATTGATCCCATACCAGGCATTGGTTTCTGCAGAAGTGTGGGCGGCTCGCCTCCAGGGCCAACATTTGACAGGAAGCTCGACAGTAGTTTCCTGGGCGATTTGGGCCGATGTGCTCGTTCCCGAGGCGCAAGTTGCACTTGCCTCAGCTCGCCGTCCTGCGCAGAGGTCTGGAGTAGAAGTGACTGCAATATGTCCAGGTTGCGTAAAAGCAGACAAGCCGCCATTGATGGCTGTTCCACTGCAAAGCGGACACTGGAAGCCGCGGCGATCTTCCGACGCAGAGCTGGAACAAGGTCAGGCGTATCGACATGTTCGCGACCAATGCTACCTCCTGCTGAATCCACAGTGAGTCGCCAGTCTTCATCTCGATGCGGAGCTAGATGGACGACAACCTGGATGCCATCTTGGCCGGGTTGCGCTTGCGCAGAATGTCTCTCGGGATCAACTACAACACGTACCGCCGCCTTTGTATTCCGCGTGCTGACATACTCGGTCTTCGAATCCTCAAAAATAGCACCCAGAAGCCCAAGAGTGTCCGTTGCGGGCTCTGTTGCGCGAATCTCCCATAGACTGGATTCCCGTTCTGCTTCTGAGAAACGATGTTCGATCCTCGCTTTTGCAACTTCCTCAATCAATCTTGCAGCTCTGCCGTCGTATGAGTTCTCTAGTCGAAGAACCTGGCACGAGTCCAAAATAGGCTCCTGGGGCGCCAGTGCACCCATACCGAGCTGGAAAAACGTCATCAGTTGCAACGCATGACCGTCATGACTCTCAGTCAGCTGTAAAGCATCGAGTTGCAACCTTCGCACAAAGTGAAGGTCTCCCACGCCATCTGTCAGACTTTCCACGGATTTGCTGGGCATCGGCCCGCTCTCAATTTCTGTGAGCAGTGATCGAGCAGAAGCCTTTGAGCCGGGAGACTTTTCGACTATGATGATGCCGTCCGTGAACAGGAACATGATGCCGGCCGCACCATCACAGTTGACGAAGCCGTAAGGCGGCATTAGCTCAATGAAGTCAACAGCCGTGACTAGACGGCCAGTAACGTTGATGTCTAGCGGCCAGCCTAAACTCCGCGAGCGAAGACGGTCAACCATCGCAGTAGCCTCTGTGCCCTCATTCTCGGCGCAAATGTCCGTTATCATGTCGCGGGCGCGAAGCAATGTTTTCAAGGCCGGGTGCTTGATCGGCAGACTCTTGGCTATACTGTCAATGTAAAGATTGTAGCGTGGCAAACGTTGGACGGGCTCAATGAGCAGAGAAGTCAGCTTCTGCTCGCCAATTTCCTGCAATGCAAGCGCGAGGGAGTCGCCAGTACGTAGAATAGTCCGCAATGTGAACGAAGCCTGTGCATGACTCCCAAGATACTCCTTGTACGAGTCGGAAAACTTTGGGAACCACTCGCAAAGACATTGCGCAAACTGTTCCAGACCTTGAGAGTCGCCCTCGACATGGTCCGTGGCAGATGCTTCGTCGAGAGAATTGTCGATATCCTCGTTGGCTGCCGAATCTGTTCCGTCCACGACACTCCGCAGCGCCTCGAGAAAAGCCGAATTCAGCTCATGTATTGTTGGAAGTGCGGGTGAGAACACATCAGCCAATGTCTGCTGATGGCGAGCTTTGAGATCCGCACCAATGTTGCTCGTCAGGTCCTGGAGCTGCTCCAAACGATTCACATAACTCTCTTCAGTAGTGACCAGCTCGGCCAACTGCTTGCGGGCGTTCTCTTTGGCCGACTTCAAGAATGAATTACTCCTGCCAATCGCATTCGCTCTCGAAGGTGCTCGCTTGACTCTCGACGTCGGCAGGAAGGCGACCTCGCCAAAAGTCGCGATTAGGTCTGCGTATCGCCCATATTGTCGTTGCAGCAATTCGTGATCGGTGAGATCTTCAGAGCCAGCTGAATCAGGTCTCTCCTTGATCGTTCCTGGTGGTAGTACAACATCCACATCCAGCCATGAGAGTCTCTGCTCGCAAAACGCGTCGAGCAGCTCTCCAATTACTGCATTCACATTCTCGATTCTCGTCATTCGCGTTGCAAGAATGGCAATATGATCATCCCCGAACAATGCGCCAGGCGAAGGTGCCTTGACCTGTGCTGTCCATGTCTTCTTCACAATCTCGCCCAATTCGGAAAAGTACTTCTTCAGACCAAAAGCTAGACCGCGACAAACTTCGTCCCCTTGCTCTTCCCGCGGCAGATTGATGACAGCCGAATAGAATGGCGAGTTCGGCGAAACTGATAGCCGCGCATATGAGCCCAGACCGGCCGGAGTGAAGATGTGTACCTGAATGCGCGAACTCGTTGCGCCAATGGTGGCAGCGGGCCCATGGAAGACCAACACGGGCGAGTTGCCGAGCAATGGATCTGTGGTGTGGAAGAGCGAAAGCTCCCCTGACAGGGCAGGCGGTGCCGCAATGACTGTGGCCATGATCAGACGGCCCTCATGCGCGGAATTATGCTCGGAGTGGGCACTGCTGGCGGAGAAGTGCTGGGGAAGTACTGTCGATATCGGGGTGGGCTAAGTCGTCATGTCGTCGCGTCGTGAGGTGGTCGTGATGTAGTCGGAGACTGGAGGTCGCGTTGGGCGGACCGGGCGAGGGAGATGTCGCGCGTCGAAAGTAAACAGTGGCTCTCAAGGCAAGGATGGGCCTTGTGCTGCAGCTAGCGATAGACCGACTCCCGTCCCAAACAACTCTCAGCTGCAGCAGGCGCATTGGGGAGTGCCACTTTCTGGTGGAAGGAAGGATGCCTTGGAGTGTACTGCGCATCCGAAGAACCATGATCCCTGTCTCGCGTAACAACGCGTCTCCACACGCAGCAAACACCTCGATTCGACGCGATTTGTTGTTCGTTTCTGTACCTGCATCCCACTTCCACCACGAGACGCACGACATCCAACCCCCATGGCGACGCAAAATCCAAATTCGGGTGTGCCTATCACCATCCAGCCCGAGAGCGACATGCAGCGTGTCCGTCTTCTCGAGCTGCCCGTCGAACTTCTAGCCCAGGTCACTTCCGAGAACCCGCCTAAGTTCGCCTCACCCGCATCCACCTGATGATGCTATATGATCCTGCTATACATAGCAAAACATGTCAACAAACCCCTCACCATAACAATTGCTGACGCACATGTCTCAGATTCTACATCAAATCCAAGCAAGTTCTGCCCGGCAGCAATGCGAAAGAAGCACACTCTGTCCTCTGCACACCGGACGCGACATATCAAATCCGCCAAGTCAGCACGTCCAACAGTGTCTATCTAATCCAGCCCCACGATCTATCAGATCCTGACCCCGGTCCCGTTGGAGGGGTACCCAGAGTTGGAGTCGAAGCTGTGGCCAAGTGCGATACGAGTATCGAGCTACTGCCAACTTCTGCCACCTCGGCGGCTCCATATATCCAAGCTGCGCTACCAATCTATGCGTCTACGGGTAACTATGGCACTGTCGACGGCGGAGGTTACGCCACCAAGCGCGAGTTGTTTTCGCATATCCCGCTGAGCGATGCTGAATGCGAGGCTGGATGGCGACAACTGGCGTGCTTTGAGTCAACAGATCCACCAGGCTGCTTCGTTCCCAGCGCAAAGGTCAAGGCTGAAGTGTGGCAGTCGGCGATGACCGCAGCTGTGGCAGATGGATTCGATGTCTGTTCTCCATTTCCCGAGAACGACATTCCTGCGTATGCTATCGACCTGCCTGGCGACTGGCCACGGGACATCGTGATCGGTGTGTTCGCGAGTGTCTCCAGTTCAACACCTGGAGGACATCTTGCTGTCGATGGAGAGAAGGCCGTTCGTTTCGCGGGCGTCACTTTGTTGCAGGCCAAGTCAGAAGGCAGAGCGATCGAAGCTACAGGTATCTTGAAAGCCTGGCGAGATGCGGTGCCCGAGGCATGGCGCAGCAAATGCGAATTTGCAGTCCTGCAAGGCTATTACAGCATCGAAGACAACGCCAAATCGATAAGATACGTCGACACCACGGCCAATGTCAAAATTGCAGCCGAAGCCTCAGCGAAAGAAGCCAAGTCGCTAGGAGCCAAAAGGAAATGGCACGAGAAGTTCAAAGCTTCGAAAAAGACAGCCTAATTCTGTCATCGTCACAATGCGACTTCGCGACCATGCTCCAGATTTGAATCTGTGTCCCGGCTCCAGTCCGGTTCTGTACTCCCATGCCGAGTCGCATCCTCCAATGTCGCCACCCTCCTACATTGGCATTCTTCTCATCTCCTGCACACTCCAATACTTCCTCATATTCTCCGCTCCCAGTTCCCTCACCTCATCCTCCAGGTGCGCCCACAGAACCTGCCCAAACCCATCCATCACTACCTTTAGCTCCTTCAGCTGAAACTCTCTCGACCCTTCCTTAACCTGTTGCACCCATTCCTCCAACGCCTCGACTCCATCATGTATTCCCCGATGTTGCTTCAGCGCATGTTCCTTCGGATTGAAGAACTTCATCTTCTTCGCGAGCACAGGGAAAATATGCTGCTCCTCTATCGTGTGGTGAATAGTGAGGTGGTGGCAGAATTGGCCGATGAGAGCGAGGAACTGGCGGATCGAGAAGCCCGAGGGTCGTGTGTTAGAGACGCAGGCGGCGTAAATTGTATTCCAGGTTTGTCGGAAGTTGTTGTGCTGGAAGTCAACAATGTCAGTTTGGGTCGCGCAACAAGAGTATGGAATGGAGCTGAACTCACAAACATATCCATGTGCTCGGCCATGGAGTTGTATATTCTGTATTCTTGCGCACTCAACTTTGGTAGCTGCTGCTCTTTGCTTTCTGCTTTCTGTTCTGCAGAAGGCTCCGCTGCTTCGCTGGGCTGGGACGCCTTCGGTACGCCTGCTTCCTCCATTTTCTCGAAAGCCTGTTCTGGACAAGACGATGCTGGTATCGCAGAAGACTCCATGTTCGCCAACACGCCGCGACTGAACTGGAAGGTCCTTTGCTGCTGTTTCCCAAGTAGCCGACAACCAAGAGTTCTCAAGGTACGAATCGAAGAAGAAGCAGTGACGATAGGAAACACTTTCCGGAGCATACCTCTTTTCTACCCCGCCTACAATTAACAGAAGACATTTCGTCTATGTAGCTGCTTCGGCGAAAAAAAGATGCAGCTGCAGACAAATGACAAAGCTTGGAATTTAGCCTGCTTTTGCTGACCAAAACAATGCACCTCGGCAGTTCGGTCTCGCAGTTTCGGATTTTCGGCGAACATGGGTTCGGAGCAGAAGCCGGTCGGCAGCAGCTGCCAAAGAGGGATGGCAACTTTGGCTTCACTTTCATGATGAAGTAGGCATGTACCACCATCCGGTATATGGCGACGACAGGGATGCTGATACTGATAACTTAGCCACTGACCGCAGTAGCCGCTACCTGACAGTATCGCAGAAGTTGTCCGGCAAGAATTGACCAGTGTCAAGAAGAAGCGAAGTAACCGGTTCCACTTTCCTAGATCTCTAGCATCTCTCTTCCTCTCTTCTTCCTAACTGCACTCTATCCATTTACAGATACTCCAATCCCAATCTCAAGCCTGTCCGGCCAATGGGGCTCAAGAAGGATGTCTACAGAGACAACACCTGTCAGCTCAGCTCACTCACATATACAAGTGAACATCGACCGACCTTAGCGTCGGCGACGCTCGAATCTTGCCAAACGCCAACCATGCTGGGGGACTTGCTCAGCTGTTTCCCAGAGATTGGAAGCCGTCAAGGGCCTTTTCTACGACATCGATTGTAGATCTGGCATGTGTTGGGTCCCGGTAGGTCATTGGGTTGTGCGTTGGCGTCTGCTCCACGACGTTGAGTGTCAACGTGGACATTGTTGGCTTCTGGACTTCTAACAGAAACTGCTTGTAGTGATGAGCTGCTTTGTACGTTAGAGTCTGCGCCCTTTCTCAAAGAGCTGTCTTGCATCAGCGGTCTTACAGCACAATGGGAGCACTTTGCGATAGTGCTGAGAAGAGGAGTATCGTGGCTAGTGAGGAGGACTTCATGGTGATGTAAAACGCTGCTTGGGTTGGGAGACTGAGAACACATTGAACTCGTCAGGAGACTGGATCCAGGTGAGACATATCTGGACTTTGTTTCCATGATTCTGCATCACGACACTGGGTGCGCGGACCGACTACGGAAAAACGATGGTGCTCGACCTAAAGGAAATTGTGAGTTTGAGTCTCGAAGACTTACCATCTCTGCTGAGTTAGCGGTCAGCCAGAGCCCTGTTACCCGTACGATGACTATGGAATTCATAACTATTACCGGCTTCGGTATATCCTCGATTCCGAACGGACGGCTAGACTCTGGAATCTGAGAAGAATTCTATACTCTGCATCAGCAGAGCGCAGCAACCACGACTTGATCGACTGCTTCGATAATCTTCAGCTGTCTGTTATTAAATCCTCCATCCTGGCCATTCAGTCAACAGCACGTTTGGAGTAACAGTATAATCGTCCTAGTGGCACGGTCAGCCATCTTTCTGGGACGGGACTGCATCGCAAGACCCATCTGAAGCAGTTGCATCCAAACCTACATCAAAAGAATTCTCCTTCAACTTCATCCGCAGAAAAGCCTTACTGTTTACCAAAGGCGAGAAGAGAAACTGCTCGAGACGTTCAATTTCCTCCGTCCTTGGTCGTTTCGTAAGAGTGTTCCGAATCTGCGTTCGAATGAGAGACCACGCTTGCCCGAGAGGATAGATTCGCAACCTCCGAATAAGATGTTGGAAATGGCCGTGGATGAGAGAGTGCTGCAAGACTTTCCATCCTTCTTGCTCATTCTCATTCAGAACCCAGCTTCCGGGGAGAGCACTCGTGATCTGGTAACCTCGTTGGCGAAGCTTTGGCGCGTTGACTTGTATTGCATCCAGATCGCGGACCACGAAGCCAGCGATTGTCGGCTGAGCAGCGGACGTGTCCACTCTAACGAGAATGTTTTGAGCATGGGCTTCGAGACAAATTCCACTGTCTATCACAGGCAGAAGGATTGAATCACAAAGTTTCGAAGCGTAGTCTGACAACCATTGCAGTTTCTCCTCAATTGTATGAAGATCGAAAAGCAGAGCTGCATGGCACTCTGTTGCATCGTATGGTTTCTCAGCGAGTGCGGCGGCAATGATTAGTTTCTGACCCAGAGCTTTCGCACGGACTTCGTGATTTTCGCGGAGGACACACGATATGTATTTCGCTTCGTGTTCGAAGTCGCTCTGAGCACCGGTCACGGTTGCGACTTCTTTGCATAACCATAAGTCTTCTGATAGCAGATCCTCGAGGACATTTGAGAGCTCTGGGTTGAGGCAAGCAGACCAAGGTGTAATTGTTCGCAAGACTGAGGTGATTGTGAAAGCCAACGACATCTTCATGTCGTATGGGAAGTCTGTCTCTCGCCCAAGCGAAACGGTACGGATTGAAGCTTGAGCGTCTCCGACGACAGCATGTTCGATGAGCACTCTTGTGGACTTGTGGTACTCCTTGATGACCGGCAGCTGTCTTGTCAAGCATGGAATAGCGATTTCATGGGCGAGTATTGGCGGCAGCTGGAAACATCGCAATAGCGGAGCCATGAGATTACGGAACGGGCCTGTCACTCTGACAGATAAGCTATCCACTGCGATGATCGACAGCTGTGGCTTGAGTAGCGACGGCAGATCGCGGCTACTCAACTCTGCAAGCGGAGGCTGCGCAATGCAGGCACGATGCATCTAGAGGTAAGCACGTCAGAATGCCATCCAGTTCCTTCCACAACACTTCGTACGTGCTTACAGGATGAGAGGGATGTCCAGTTATCAAAGACTGTTCCCATTGCATCGAGGTGCTGTTGAGATCCGGTCGATCGTGTCTGGCATAGAACTCGAACCATACAGCTGCGACAGTCAGCATCGAGTGAGATGACTGGTTCAATCGAAGAGCATTGAAGACGCCGACTGACCTTGATTAAGTGCCGCATTTCTCAGCTGATTAGCTGTAGACTTTACCCCTGACTCCCACTCGCCTGCCAAAGGTACTAACAAGACCTCAATAACATCATCAAGCGAAGCAGGGTCCTCTCGAATCCCGTCAATGCGCAAGACTGGTGCACGAAAATCAGCAGAATGCCAAAGGTGTTTACCCTCGACGAGTGCCTGCAGCTCTCGGGATGCAGAAGCAATCCATATTTGTGGGTTCTCTGTGTTGTTCCTTTTCTTGCTTCCGATCAAGACTCCAATGCTACCACTATCGATGCTTGGGCGAGCGGCAACAGTTGCACATGCCAGACTTTCGTTAAGCAAACATGCTACAAATCGCGAGATCGTCTCGAATTCGGCAAGTTGCGATAGAGAGGCATGCATCCTCTCCGGCGTAGACGATCGAAGAAGGACAAAGTTCGTATGTCAATCAGCTGTGAGTGTTCGGACGTGAAGCTCTTACGTGGATAACGGATTTTAAATGTTTCGCCCATTTCTTCCACGTCTAGGAGTCGCCGTGAAGGATGGTCGTACAATACTACGACATTATGCATATCGGAACCAAGAGTGCATTACTTTGGTTCGGGGATGGCATAGATGCAACTGACTTGCAGCGGGTGTAACACGATTTATAATAAGTCTACCGATATAACCATATTAGGCAAGTGCAGACTGTGGAGCTTGGAAAAGCTCTTAAGCTCTCAAGCTGCGAAGCCGAAGATATTGGACGAGAGAATTCAGGCTAAGGCACACCTTCTGTCCTGTTGAGACCGAAGTGATAGACCACAGAAAGCAAACTGGTCCACGTGCTTTGGAACCAACACTGACATATTGGCAGAAAAAGATTGTGCTTATGTTCCCGAAGGGATACACGAGTGTATGCCTCAGATAAGATGCTCGGCGTCTTTTTCTCTCAACAATCTACATCTTTCTGTCTCCTCACCCTTGTCACAACCGGCTCCAAAATTCCATCTCATATATTGGCTTGCCTCGAAAACCGTGGAAATAACAGTCGAGCCAAGCTCAGAAAAATGACAGATCTACTAATCGAAATCCCGTCTGCACTTGATACCTTAAGGGGAAGCATGTTCGTTCTTGTTGTTCTTGTCGCCGCGACATCCGGTATAGGGTTTGCACGGGTCAGGTTTATTATTGTTGGGATCCTGGCAATTGCTGCCTGTGCAAATAGGCTGGCGGCCGGCATCTGGCTGGCGTGCTCCCAGAACTTTGACAGAGGCATCCTCTTGTATTGAGCTAGTTGAGACTTTTTAGTATTCTCTGTACAGCTTTGCACAGCATGTTTCGGAGACTCGACGTTTCGAGATCAAGTTGACGTACCTGACAGGGGCACACTGGGAAATGGCGGCGAACACGAGCATGATCATGTGGTGGAGCTTCATGATGCTGGGTGAAAAGAATCTTTGGATAGCGGATCGAAGGACTTGAGGTATTGTGTGTTATCCCGAAGCGGAGTGTGCCTCGACAGGTGCGTATGCCGAACATGTTGATATATCTTGCTGCGACCTCGCTTTAGCCAGGCGGGCAATACAAGCGCTAGCTCTTGCGACTAGTTAGTACGACCGCATAGCGTACATCAAATTTCGGTGAAGTCTGTTGCGTATATTCATCGGGCCTACTGGAGTCGGGGTCGATAGGCCAATACTGTCATCTTGGATCGAGAAGAGATGAGTGGGAAGAAGTTGGCAAAGTCCGAGGTACTGCCTTGAGTTCTCTCATACTATTATTCTCTTTGGCGATCCGGAAGCTCTGCCCTGCTAATGATATCTCTCTCGCAACGAATGACTAAGCCATAGGCGATAAGAATGTTGTTTCTTTTGAAGTTCCAACGACGAAAATTATTAGAGAATCCCAAGCGCTTGAGGCGCCAACATCATCGATGACTTGAACTTGCGTTTCCGCGTCGGTCTTGAAAACGGGCGAGCTTTGCCATCGTCAAGCCCCGACAAGGCAAAGCTTAGTGAGGTGGCTTCTTGATCAGGCATGGATTAGGTGCGCCTGGCACTTCCGAGCAAAATCCCTGTCCTCCGAAGATAGGATAGTGGAGGTACTTGGTGTCTTTCTGCGGGACTGCCTGATTGGCTGCGGCGGCGTCTGGCGAGCTGAACGCGGCTCGGTGTCAGTATCGTGACTCTTTCACAAGATCGTAAAGGTCTAGTGCTGATCTGTCCTGGTCTTACCTGATAGGGGTAGCTTGGGAGAGTGCTATGAAGAGTAAGATGATAACTTCTTTGAAGTTCATGATGGTGGCTGCAATCCTGACAGGGGCAGTCGAGGGGTTCCGGAATGGTCTTCTTTGAGGCGATATATGCCTCAAGCATGAGTTCCGAGCACGCAAACATATATACTCTGGTCGTACCACACGATCGAAGAGGTGAGTGGATGGCATGCCAAACTCAACGCTGCCCAACAATAGTAATTGCAGTGCCGTATTATCAATTTGATGTGCGAGCAATCGATTCGTGCCCTGTTTTGTCTGTACGAAATCCTTGATTTGAAGGCGGGTGACTAAAGAAGAGCTTACGAGATGGAAAGCATCGTATTTCAACAAGCCAAGATTGCCGTCACAAGTGTAGCGAAGTGGGAAACCGCAATCAAAGGCGAAGAACCCGCATGGCTGTTTCCATGCATGACGGACGAAGACGATTCACCATCACACACAGCTCGTGGATTTATCGGCCGCATTGTCGGCGACTCTGCACAAGTTGTGGATGTGGCTAAGTGTCTCGCCTGAGGACAAAGCTATCGATATCGCCAGCTGCATCCGCAGGTTGCATGTCGTCGACTGGGAAGCAAATCAGCTTTACAGTCAAGAACGTGGCCCCGGTTATGTCGTCCTCGACGGTGACCGTTCCCGAGAAGGCGAGATAACTTGGCCCGGCGTTACACGTGCGAACACAGCGAAAGGATCCCAGCGCGTCACTGTCGAGCCAATGTTGAGGTGAAATTCGCATTCCGCGTTGTTGAGCTGGATCGCGGCAGCCTGCGGTGAAATGGGCTATGTTCCTGCTAGGAGGCCGCCTGGAATCCGTCGTCTCGGCCCAGTGGAGTATTTCGGATTGTTGTGAAGAGGGATGCCCTGCCTGCCAGATTCTGAAGCGTAATAGATGGCTCTGGAGACCGTGATTAGAGTTTGAGCGAAAGGCATGCTCACTTGGGTCGCGCATCAAACCTCGATGAAGGCCGTGGTGTATCTCCAGGGCTGCCACAAAAGGGGTCGATCGACCAATTCTGCCCGGTATTCAGTCGAGTGGTGAGCGTGCCTGCTATACTAGTTCGAGACCAAACTTTGCCCGTGTGACCTCGTGACCAAGAACTGAGGAGCAGTGACTAAGGTGAAGCTGACGAGTAAGAATTTTCCGCGGTACAACCTAGTCAATCTCTCCGTCCTACAGATCCCTTCAATCATGCACATCACGGAATATAAGGCGCCAGTTCGATTTTGATATCGTCCAGGTTCAAGATTGCATCAAACGAAGATGTCGTGTCTGTAGGCGTGCAGATCATGCGGATCACCAAAGGCGTTATTGCTGTCGTTGTATCGTAGAGGTAGAATTCTCCATACAGCGGCGCGTAGTCTGTGCCCTCGGTCACTTGATCGAAGTACGCAAAACCACCAATGTCAGCATTGCGCGTGCCAAAGTCCACGAAGAGTTCGCAACCAGCGTTGGTGATCTGAACCACCGCTGCTTTGCCCGAAACGGAATAAAACTGCCCTCCTGGAGTGCCGGCCGGAATCGCTTGATTGAGGGACGCAACGGCAGTCTGCGGATCATATGAGGAGGGGAAATTTGGTCTGCCTGCTTCCGAAGCGCAATAGAGTGACCTGAATCTGTCATTAGAATTGATTCGGTCATGAAGATTGCCACAACGTACACAAAATAATTTCCAGAAGGCGCTCTGTTGGCCCTTTCTGCTCCAGTACTGGCCCTTCGCAACGCGGTCTGCAGAATCCAGTGTGCAGCCGTGTCTGGACTACCCCCGGGCGTCTCGAAACCGCCATTTCTTGGAACCGCCGACGACTGACATTGCCCACTTGACGAGCAAGTGGCATCGCGGTCAGCGCACGCTCCTGTTGGGTTCGTGGCGGAGCATGGTAGCTGGCACTGTTCGTTGATGCATTGTTTCGTGGAATCCAGGCAGACTCCAGTTGGGAATCCTGTACGGCATATTTCCTTGCACTCGCCCTGCACACATGTCTGCTGCTGAGAAGAGCAAGAGCCTCTCTTGTTTAGTACCGAACATTCAGTCGGCTGTTGCTGGCATAAAGTACCATCGCAGACTTGGCCGCTGTCGAAGCCACATTGTTCTATGGCGCCAAGTGTTGTGCATTTTTGTCGACACTCGCCGACCACTGGATCACAGCCTTGTCCATTGGGGCATTTGCCCATCTTATTGGTGGGCGAGCATTGTTTCGCTAAATCCTCGATGCACTGGCCTTCGGTGCTGCAGACTTGGTCTTCACCGTCACAGGTGCCCTCCTTGTTCTGCGGCGAACAGACCTTGGGAACGCACTTATTGTTTTTGCAGGTGTATGCTAGGTCAAAGCAAGGTTCGTTATTTGAGCATTCAAACTTGCAGACGCCAGCCGAGCTGCAAATTTTGCCATCCTCGCAGGTACCCTCGGGATTCTGTAGCGAGCATACCTTAGGCACGCATATGTTGCTCTTGCATGTCTTTGTTGAATCAGTGCAGGCCTTGGTGTCGGAGCATCCGAATTCGCAGGCACCAGCCGAGCTGCAAACTTTGCCGTCCTCGAAGGTACCCTCGAGGTTCAATGGCGAACAGACCTTTGGCACAGACTTGTTATTCTTGCACGTCTTTGTCGAATCACTACAGGTTTTAGTGCCGGAACATTCGTACTCGCAGACGCCAGCGGAGCTGCAAAGTTTGCCGTCTTCGCAGGTACCCGCGAGGTTTAGTGGTGAACAGACCTTAGGCACGCACTTATTGTTCTTGCATGTCGTTGTCGAATCGGTACAAGCCTTCGTGTCGGTGCATTCGAATTCGCATACGCCTGAGAAAAGTCCGCAGACCTTCGGAGCTGTACAAGGCTTGGTCGCCGAGCTTTCAGGTTCGCAGACGCCGTTGCTGTTGCAAGTCTTGCCGTTTGGGCAAACCTTGGTGAGAGAGCATTCAAATTCGCATGCGCCAGTAGCGCCGCAGACCTTGCCGCCAGAACAATCGGCGGTCTTGGTGCACTCCGGAACACACTTGTTGCTTGAACACTTTTTGCCACTTCCACATTGGCCGTTCTTCGTGCATTCAACGCACTGTGAGTTCGTGCAGTACGGCTTTGGTGATGTGCACTGAAGTAGGTAAGCTTTCGCCTCTGGTAGTGGCCAACTGCAGTGAAAAGGAACGGACCTTGTTCTTGCACGCTCCACAGTTTTCGTTGTCAGTCGTGTATGAGCTCTTGACCTTACACGCTCCGTTGCATAACTCCGATCCAGCAGTACATGCTGTCTTGCATTCTCCAGACACACACTAACGACTGCGGTCAGCTTTGAACACCGGTGCCCAGATTCTTCCTCACCTTCAGGCCAGAGGAACACTTATTCCCACACGAGCCACAGTTGTTGTCATCGGAAGCCTTGAGTTCCGCACAGTATCCGCCGCAGTCTTGCTTGCAGACCGTCTTCGGCGACAGGCACTTGGGAAGCTTGCATTTGTCGTTGACACAGGCGCAGATCGTTGTCACATCCGCTGGAAAAGACATTTCGCGATCAGCTGGTCGTCAATGTACTGTCGTCTTCGTGACCCACTGTAGATACAATTCCTGAGAACATCTGGAGCCTTGTCCTTGTTGTAGCTGCGGCTCGGAGGGAGAGATGAGCAAAATTCGCGGGCGTAACGGTTATTAGATGCCCATTCGACTGCGAATTTGTATTTGTCTTGAGGTCATTAGCATCAGATCTCCAGGCGAAACGGTCTGCAACTTACATGATGAGCATGAGTTGGCGAAAGCGCCGGTGGTGAGAAGCCAGACTAAGCCTAGGAGTAAGGTCATCGCTCGCGCCATGATCGGCACTGACGTTACAGAACGCGAGAAGTTCAGGCAGGGATGGGTGAGAGAGGGAACTCGTCGTGCTTTGTATGCTTGGACAGAATGCTTGGAGCTCTTGCCTTGTAATGGGCATGGACGAGATGCGCCACTGGCTGTCCACTCACGCCTCTACGCCTTGAAATCGTCCGTTTGCCAATTGAGGACGACCTTGAGGATCGCAATAGGCTGGGGCGAAGCCCTCGCTCGTCACTACACAAACATGCCCATGCCGTGGCACAGTCGAGGTCCTGATAGAATCGTGGCGCGCTCTAGACAACGGGGTCGATCAGGCCACCACGTGGCAAAGCCACTCGAGGCTGTGGGCTGCAGAAGGCTTTGCTTGGGAAAGTGAAGTTGTCTAGTACATATAGACTGTCCAACTTCCATTTCCTGTCAAGGCGCAAAGAAGACCGCGTCTCGACCCCGCTTCTGCATAAGATCCTGTCTTGAATCAACAAATCAAAAGCTGTGTTGCCATAGTGCAGCCTTGCGGGCAAAAGCGCTGATTGTTAGACCACCTCGATGTCCTCCACTTCAGGCGAAGCGTGGCATCCCGTGCCTGCAAAGGTAACAGCTGAGTTGGGCCATTTGCGTCGAGATCACCGCAACGAAAGACTTTCAGGCTTTTCGAAACCTTGATACGGTGGCTCACGCCTCCAGGCTGTCCAAAAGAGTCTTTGCTAAATCGTTACGAGACGTCTTCCCTGCGCATTCGTAGACTTGGCATGTTCGGAGTTCTCTCTGCAGGACTCGATGCAAGCAAAAAGAGAGCCGATTTTGGGAGCAAGACCGCCATCATTGCCGTGTTTCCATGAGTATCTTCGTGGAAAATGCGCAGGGGCAAACAATCAGGCACTGCTGAGTGCAGACTCATGCAATCAGTGATAACTTCCGATCGTTGTATAGATGAGGACTAAGACCTCGCAGTCGGCTGTTTTGTCTTGTTGTTTGTGCCCAGTCGGGGCGAGCGAGAGGCGCTCGTCTGGAGCCGCCACCACTGCAAGATCAGATCCAGTTGATTCAACCGGGGAACATAAGCCCAGCAGATTGCATAGCAGTACCGTGATTGGATGCCATCGCGCCTACTTAAGCGCGACATGGACCGCCTGCATACGACTTGCTCTGTTAGGATATCGCCATGGACCACAGGATGTGGTGTAGCCATGTGGCTGCCACGCAGATCGAATCTGCTGCACGCTTGTTCCCTTCATGCGAGCCATGTCGCGCAATGCTGGCCTTTTCACTTCCCGCAGGGCCTGACACGCGAGGCGGCACCTGGCTTGCAGTAAACTTATTATGACATCGCAAAGGTGTGCGATCCGTCGGCATTGCACCCGAGTGACTCGCCAAATGGAAGACTGTGGTTTGGAAGAGTCCCCCATAACCACTCGATGTTGGGGGCCGCCCGCTCTTTACTGAACAAGTATCAACAAACAATCCGGCGCGCAGGGTGAGCTGCTGAGAAGCAAGCTCACAACATATTGTCTGGTCTCGGACAGGTGGATATGAATTTGAATATCGTTTGACCAGTGATTGTTTTGCAGAAGTCAGCTTCGAGAAGAGAAGTGTCCACAGTGCAACGGCAAGACCATACACCCTCTTGGCAGACACCTGAGGCACCATTACCATCCTCACTATCACTCTCACTCTTTGACACAACCTACCTCCTACATGCTACCTTACCATCACTTCATTCATTAATCGACTCTCAGCGCCATGGCCTTCTCCAACACGACTCATCCAACTTGTAACACGCTATTCCACAAATCTGCAACACTGGCCTCGTTCCAGAAATGATCCTTCCTTCCCCCTCGGCGCGAATCCCTCATCATGCGAGTCATTCGCTCCTCCGCCATGTGGCAAAACTCACACAAAGCGCAGCAACACGAGCAGATCTTTTGGTCCCTGGCTGTGTGCTTTGCATATACCTATGCCTGGGCATCAACCGGGCGTTCGCCATTGGGCAGCATGTGATTGCTACCACTGCCCTGCATCAACTCTTTGTCACTTCTCAAACATCTGATTGGAGCAGACACTACTTAGTCATGATATGTAGCATTGGATTTGAAAGTTCTTTCACATTTTGCCATTTGTCTGTTTCTACTATGTACAAGTTTTGACCTTTCGCGCTTCTGCTCTGCATCTGCCTGCCTGACCATTGAAGGGGTATCGCAAAGGTGTATCCCACGCAGCCTTCATTCGGGCCGGTTGTGAATGGTCCATGAACGGGAGACGGACAACGAGCGTGCGGTGTGACGGCCATGCATTCTCTTTTCGAGTCATCAACGTCGAAAGGCTGCCAGTTGTCCCTGCCGTGCGAGTAGCCAAGATCTGCAGACCCTCTTCGCCTGTGTTGTCGTCTCGTGACTCTGCCTGATATGCCGATCCTACCCTTCACGTCCGCAGCCCTCTGACCACCCTCCCTCCAGCCTCCTCTTTCCATCCAGGAAAATCCAGCGCGAAAAAATTGCTGAGCTCGCGAAGACGTGGTGCCTCCGCCATAGACTCGGGGTATAAAGCAACATAAGGATTGCGCAATCTTCGGCGCATCTTGTATGATGTTGTTGAGAAGTTGAAAAGCGGGAACAAAAAGCAGTAGATCGTAAGTAGGAAAGAGACGCTGCACGGAAGTGCCTGTCCGATTGCGGAAAGAGTGTAAGACGCCTCGCGCTATGCCGTAACATCGTAACCATATGCCATTTCTGATTGATTTGATTTGATCACTGATCATCCTCGTTCGGGAAAGACAGCTGGGCCGGATCCTTCTGTCGAGTCGCCCTCGATCGTCTTCTTCCAGTGTGCCGGTAAGCAGACGCAAACAAGCGGGAAAGCCTTGACTTCGCCCTCTTCGCCCGGGGTTTGATCTCGGCTTCCAGGAGCTGTGCTCAGCCCGCTGTCACGTTGTATATTTCCGCTTGTTCGCCAGTCTTCTGCGCGTTGCCTGACGCGAACACCGGTGGCCCAGCCATCATCCCAGATTCCGATGACTTTGATCATGTCTCCTCGCTCCAGCTGGAACTCGTCGCCAGCGCGAGGTTCGTAGGCCCATAGCGTCGATACCAGGTCACCTGGGTGGATCTCATCTTGTGAGTAGTAGTCCTTGAAGAAGGCGAGCTGCTCGCTTCGTCCGTTGGATTCAGGTGAGGTGAACTCTCCGCCTGAACTGGGTGAAGTGTCTTGAGCACCAGCGCCGACAATGCCAAGTTGTGATCCACTTGAGAGAGAGCCACTTCGCTTCCTCGGAGGTGGAGCAAGTCTCGAATCTGGGGTTGCCTCTTCTTCGGAGATGTCTTTTGAGTAACGTCCCATGGCGTAATGATGGTTGTGGCCTGCACTCTCCAGTGCGGACATGCGAGCAACACGTCCTCCACCCAAGACTGCCATTCCATTCCCATGATAGTCTCCTGTACCATCGTTGTAGTCCATCTCTTGCTGCCGCCGGGCGGGCGAAGGCTGGTTGAAGACGCTTGAAACAGGGCTATTGTCTCTTCGCCTCTTGAACAACAGGCATCCACCAATGATCAGACCGAGCAGGAGGATGGCGCCGAGGACACTACCAACAACGATACCTGCTATCTGACCACCAGTGAGTCCGTTGTGGTGCCCGCTCCCTGCTCCAGAGCTGCTCGTTGCAACCACTCCCGGAGTCAAGGTGACTGTGACTGGAGCGAGAGAGGCTGATGCTATCACAGGCAGCTGGACGCCTTCGCATCGTTCCGTCGTTTTTGAGAAGACACAGCATGAATCCGTTGCGTTTGGTGAGCTCGCGGAGCAGTATGAGCAGAGTCCGGAAAGGTTCTCGGTGAATCCACAGTCATTGGGCTGATTGTCGACTGCCTGAATGCAAGCTCCTGTTATGGAGTTAGCAGGCAAGGCGCAATTCGTGAAGTCGGCACGGATTTGAGTGAGCGCATTGGGGCCTGCAGTGCCGCAGATGTTGCTAGCGGCGATGCGTTGCTCGCTCTGGGCATAGTCGGCGCAAGAGTCGGCGCACAGTGGTCGCGTCGCGGTTCCGGAGAGGCCGCAGGCGTCGATGGAGTTTTGTATTATTGCATTACAGAGGACGCTGGTGGTGTATCGCGCGTAAAAGTCCGATGTATTCCCTCGGTCAACATTGGTGCACCCGATTAGTTGTTGGTATCTGTGGAATGTCAATTTGAGGAGCTACACGGCTGGATACAGGTCCAGAACGCACCGTAATTGTGTAAAATCCCCATCAATGTATGCCGCGATACCGGAGTCGAAGGACGAGACGTTTTGAACATTACTGAGAAACGGAAACAGTCCGACAATGCTGCTGTCGGTCGAGATGGATGCGCTGCTGAATGCCGGACAGGCCGTTGAGCCGGCCAGCGATATGCAGCCATTCTGAGCCATGGCGGAGGGGATGCTGGCGGCGAGCAATGCGCATAGCGCGGTGGCAGGAGCGATGCGGATTAATTGCTGCGAGAAGGACTGGGAGTGGCAATGTGTGCGGTCTGGATCTGCATAATGCGCGTGCTGCGTGGAGTGTTGATGCCCGGTGCGTGACTCGTCGGTGGTGGCCAGCTCGCCGTGATCGTCGCTGGAGGTGCCGTGCTCTCGTTGGCGCATGGTGCGCCGCTCGCGGGCGGGGCGAGGCCAGGAGGTGGGATGATGTTCGGCGCAGATGGCGATGCTGTGCGGCCGACGGGCTGGAGTGGTACGGCTGGGTGCGGTCCTGTTCCTGAACAACGCACGAGTGGTACCTGATCGCTTCACCGCCTGTGGTTGGACGCGTCGAGCGGGAGCTGCATCTGCGTGATTGCCGCGTCGGTTTGCTTGCTGTCGCGCTGCTGCTCCCGGAACGAATGACTGGGGTGAGTGGGTTTGGCAGTGGCAGTCCGCTCCTCCGTCCGCAACGACGACGACACGGAGGAAGGTGAGGTCGACGGCCTCCGTGGGTGAGAAACACACAGGCGGCGAGCTCAGACCGTCGTGTTGCTCATTTACAGCATCATCCTAGTCGCCGCAGCGCGCCTCGTGATTGGCTCAATGGCTGAAGCGAAATGAGAAGATCGACGTGAAGAGCAGCTTCGCCCGTTTCGGCGTCGAGGAACAGCACTTCGAAACACGCCCATGCCAGCACAAATACGACCAGTCTCACCCCGACGACCACCAACATCTTCAGACTCCCGTCGTCGCGGTGGACTCAGTCATGTATGGCGATGCTGATTCCACCTCCGCCCAATCGCCGCACGGTATGAGGCCTCATCTCACGAAGCTCCCTGCTGGCATCCTTGCCAAACGCCTCTCGGGAGGCGCATTGCTCTTTGCTCGGTATCAGTATCCGGCTCGCCTTGTTTGTTGTCGTTCTCGAGGATATACTGCATCGACACGATGCATCGACGTTCGATGGGCGCATAACAACGCAAGGTGAGGTGAGGTGAGGTGCAGTCATGGCAAGCAAGGAGCTCCTCCCCTCCGCATGGCATACATGTGCTCCTGGTTGGCCAAGCAAGGAGAGCACACCAATTCAAAGGCCAAGGTCACGAATTCAGGGAAGCAGCTCTCTTCCGAAACGGAAGTCTGGAAGCCCGCGGTAGCTGTGACGACCGACTCCACAGTGGCATCCTTGCCTACTATTGATCAATGCCGTCTCACTTCCGAACCATTTGGCTAACGTTCGCAGCATGGAAAACGATAGCAAGAAGCAGCTGCAAACGGAGGACAGTGTAAACGAAGTCGTCATACTTGCAGCTCACAACGGTCGCTATTCTCATCCACGCAGGTCTTGACTCGACCAACCATGCGGTTACTCTAGTTCCGCTCAAGCCTTCTCACGCGCCTCAATAGGCTTTGGCCGCGGAACCACATCGATGTGTGCGGCCATCTTGGTCAGCACGACATCTCCACCAGTGGTACTCTTCGGAGTATCGCTGCCGAACAACATGTTCATCGGGAAGCCAATGGAGAACGGATACGCCGATTCGATCTCGTCGATATCTTCTTGCGACAATTTGAGACCTGTGGCACCTTATTAGCTCTTTGCTCAACCGATCACTGTGCAACACTTACCCAAGGCCTCGATGTTGCCTTTTAGATGTTCGATCTTTCGACCGCCGACGATGGGGAACACGTTGGGTGTCTTTTGCATGACATAGGCCAGCCTGCAGAGAGAGAAGTCAGCGTCGTCATACCACAGCTCCTGGGAACACATACGCAACACTGGTGATAAGCGTGCCCTTCTTGTTGGCAACCTTCTCAAGCACCTTGGCAACTTCAGCATTCCTCGGGTTCGGCGGACGACCAATCGCGCCCATGTTTCGACCTTCTTGCAGCTTCTTCTGCTCTTCAGTCTTGAAGTCACCACCTCCCAACGCGCCCCACGGAGCAAGACCCATGCCCTCAGCCTCACACATGGGAATAATCTCTCGCTCGAAGTCGCGATCCGCAGCAGACCAGCGGCCTTGATAGACGACGAATTGTCGCAATCCGTGATCTCTCGCCCACTGGTTCGCTTTTGCCACGATCCATGCAGGCGTGTCGCTGACTCCCAAGTACAGGACCTTGCCTTGATCACAAATCGTGTTGAGCGACTTCATCACTTCCTCGACCGAAGCGGTGAAGTCCCACCAGTGGACGTAGAGGACGTCGATGTAGGTGGTTTTCATCTTTTTCAAACTCGCTTCGACACTGACGTGAAGGGATTTGGTGTTGTTGCCGGTATAGTTGCTCTGGATGCCTCCTGCGTGGCGACGATAGCCGGAGGTGTACTGTTCACATTTCATTTAGCATGGCTTTTCCTTTCCGATGTCTCATTTCTTTCGTTCGTCGCAGCTCACCTTCGTAGCAATGATCATCTCATCTCTGACTCCCCTCGACTCCATCCACTCTCCCAGCCACAACTCACTCTCTTCATTCTGGTACGTGTTCGCGGTATCGATGAAGTTTCCGCCTTGCCTAGCGAGGGAAATGTCAGCTTCTACAAAAAAGTGCTTCGCAGAGCGGAATGTGGAAAGAGACGACCTACTCATAAAAGTAATCCAACATCTCAAATGTTGTCTCTTTACTACATTCTCCCATGAAACCTTTCCAGGCTTCGCCGAAGTTCATGGCACCGAGACATAGTGGGCTGACGCGCACTCCGGCCGAGGGAGAGAGAATGCGATGGTAGCCCAAGAGGCTTTTGGGGGCTTCGGCGGCTTGCATTGTTGAAGCGTGTTTTGTGGGATACGAGAAAGTTGATTCGAAATGCAAGTTCGATTTTGTGAAAGTCCAAGCTGACCACTTATATCTATACCACTTCCTCGCGCGCTATGTCATGATGATCGCTCTCAATTGGCCCTCGCTTGATGCAGGTCAGCGCGGTAGATGGAGCTATCGCCGTTCTGCAGGATGCTTTCTCCACTTTTTGGGAGAGCTCGAGGGAGCTCTGCATTGAAACGCGGAGTTAAGTGTGGAGATAACATCGACATGCAGGAGACCTGAGACATTGCTCATATTCATGTTCTGTGAGTGCTTGTGCATTCTCTTGAGAGCTTGTTTGTGCATCGTGTCGTATCTGTAGTATATGGATGCTCCGGCTATTGTGTACTCGTTATGTTGCTGACTGAGCCAACTGCCCAGGAGTGAGTGACGTTTGTTGGGTTTGAGGGACAAAGTGGCATGCCGTTCTGTGGTATCCGCGACGAAGATCAAAAAAAAACTTGTATTTATGCTCTCAAGAGAGCTGGACTGCACGAATCCTCCGGTGGTATAGAGTACTGTGCTGCGCGACAAGTAAGCTAGATCAAATGCTCAACCCGAGGCAATATTGCGGCTATAGTACAAGAGATCTATTGCGTGTCTATAGGCCAGTTTATCTTGGTTTCGTGAGGAGATTCTAGGTGGCAAACACTTAAACAGAAAGTTTACTGGGGATGAAATTTGTAGAAAAGGATGAAAGCCCAGTGCGTGGGTGCGGTGCTTAGCTGGCGGCCTCATTTGTAGATGCTCGACTCGCCGTTCCGTGCGGAATTCCAGTTGAAAATTTTTTTCGGCTACAGTATCTTCGCCGCTCGTGGAACGCAGTACTTAAACCAATTGCACTCTCGGAGCGCGTTCTTGTTGTAGGCTTCCTGGCTGTAGCTCGAAGTGTAATCGAACATACCGACGCGGTAGAAGACGTTCTCGTCGGGCTCATTCCTTTGCTGATATAGCCTGTTCGCTTCCATTTCTCTCTGCTGCTTCACCTGCTGAAGTCTTCTTTGATAGCGTAGATAGTCCGTGCTCGATGCCGGAGGAGTTGATTCTGGAATGAGTGGGCCGCTCACGAAGCTGCCTGTGTCGTTTTGTGCTTCCACCACTGGGCGCTGTTCCACCTCGCTATTCTGGAATCTAGACAGTGTCCCACTGCGCAGAACCAGACCTTTAATAGTCCATTGACTGCTCATGAATGTGCTGAATAACTCGAGAAGCACGATCTCGGTCCAGCTCGGAGCTGTTTCTGCCGCGCGGTTTGCGAAGTCAGAAGCATCGATCTCGACCCGAAATTGTTGCATCTTGCCATCGTCGTTCATTTTCATTACGATGGCTTGGTGCTCTTCACTCGACCTGAGACCACTTGGAGGACTCGAGGGGAGCAGCATAGCAGGTAAAAGTCTTGCTTCGAGCACCAGACTGCTTTGATTTTCTTTGACAGCTCCGAATGGTGCGCTGCCTTCAACAAGGGTCGGATTACAGTCTACAACTTTGGCCCACGCTTGTTCTTCCGAACGGCCATGAAATGATCCATATTGACCTTTGAAGTTGATCGTACCATTTACAGATGTCCAAGACCATGACGGACCCTGAAATGAAGTCGGTGCAGGATACGTAGTTCCCTCCACGGTCCATAGCAGCTCGGTGAGCAGTGACTTGCGCCACATACCAGCAAGGTATGCATCGTCGACCGCAACACTGTATTCTTTCGCAAGACCAGATAATGCCAATATTCGATCTGTTGGTCTCTTGAGTGCACGATGGGTATAGGCTCGGACGAGAGCATACCAGTCTTTTTTACTTGCTTTCGGATCCGTTAGATTATTGGTTTGGGGTACCAGCTGAGCAGTATTGAAAGCTCGGCCGAAAACCTCTTTCGGCAGGATGTTGTGCTGGCGGGAATCAACTTCGGGTTTCATGAGCCATCCGTCGGTCCAACCTGGTTGATCGAGGCAACCACGACATAGCCAGCGCACTTGGTGATTCGAGAATTCCAGTGTGCGTGGTGAGAGCAGCCGCTCCTGCATAGTCCATGCTCTCGTATCGAGGGGAGATGATCTTTCGTCAAGACGGTACAAAGTTATATGGCTCTTCTCAGCATCGGGACACACGTAAGGCAAAGTGAAAGCGGTGGTCTCTGAGTTCGGCAACTGTCGTCTGTGGAGAAATCCCTCTCTCGCATCTGCAGCTGAAGCTGCCGCAATTGTGAGTTGTCCATTTCTGTATATTTGTGGCATCAGTGCAATTTGTTGGGATCGGTCCTGGTCGTCATCTTGTACAATGCACAGCGCGTCCACCCACAAGAAGCGGACTTGCAGGTTGCGACAGGCGGTGATCGCATCTTTCAGAGTTTGTGGCAGGTGGTCATACGGTATAGATTTCATCCAGGTAGAAACTGTCGTTCTCGTCGAGATAATCGCTTGGTCGTCTCCCCAGCAGTAACTCAATGGGATGTAAGGTGGATGGCCCACGTGCTCTGTTTCGCGCAAGCGTAAACAATCAAAGCCGTCAGCATCTTGCACCTCGACCAGTCGTTTGGGCACGAATGTAGAGTTCGGAGTTGGACAGCTGTCGTGGTGTTCTTGAAGACAGGTGGCGCGCCATAGAGATATCTTCGCGAACGTTTCCGACGATCCGGCTTCATCATCTATTGGCCTGGTGGTTACATATGCGGCAGCGGGACTGTCTACAAACCCGTTAGCAGTAGCGAAATAAAAGAGCAGTGCACTCAAGCAGATATGTACCTTCAGGAACTTGGACTCGGAATCCATGTCGGGTGCGACATACGATTTGGTTGCCGTCTGGGTCCCAAAGCCCGAAAAACTCCACCCGCAAAATATCCGCATCGATTTTTGCGCCGAGAAATAGGCACATTTTTTCAAAATCTTTCGGCTTCTCGTTCGCCAGTGCACGCGTCGTTTGCTCTGGAGTGGATGGAATCAAGGAGGTTACCCACATGGAGGCTTGTTCCATTGACTTTCGCAGCATGTCATCCGCAATCCATGAACAAAGTCCCGCTATTGTCTCTAGAGTTATACATTCGTCATTCAAAATCCATGAACACAATTCGCAGCCATCTTCGCTGCCCTCAAGGAGATGTGCGAGGGTAAAGTCAGGAAGAGTCCTGGCCCGCAAGTCAGCATCGTTGGAATCGTGGAGATCGTCCCATGTCCTTGGAGAGTTTGAAGGAGGGGGCGGCCGAATTGTTCGGTCGAACACGATCTTCTCGCAATGTTCACATGAATGAGGGCGAAGTATGATGGGGGCCATGACAGAATGGAACTGTGCTGCTTCACTCAGTCGAAGAGATCTTGCAATGAAAGGTAGTCCAGATCAGCAAGGAGAGCGTCGAGCAACAGCAGTATTTGTGCAATCGAAAGTACTGCGCCTCGTGCTGCCATTCGTAAGGGGAGACAACCAGAGATGAAGGCTGGTACTTGCTTCAGCCGCGGCGCCTTGTTCTGACTTCAGCGGCCCAGCCAAAGGATCACGCCGAAGCCATAGCTGCGACCACAGCTCTCTCGGGTGCTCTGAGGGGTCGCATAAGCAGGCAGGAGGGCGTCGGTGTTTCATCGATGGACCTGACGGAAGTGGAGGATTATGAGCATTTTCGGCTGAGGGATTGCATCGGGGAAGAAGTTGCGGGATGCCGCCAGCGGACGGCTTTGCTCGGCAGGAGATGTGAAGTTTCATTCGGAGAGATTTCCATGAAGGCGACAGGCTGAGAGAGTCCAGAACACATGCTGGCGGCTTGAATGTCTCATCCTGCCTTCCTCTGCAGACCGGAAGCTGACCAGCACATTTGGCAAGTCGTATGGAGCGGAGGCGCCGCGGCTACTGCGGTCAATGTCAGTCTTGCTGGTTGTGCAGTTCTGAAATGCTGATGCCAAAAATCTTTGAGCAGCAAAGTACTGGACTGGACTGGACTGAATTCGACAACCACATTCTGCTGTACACGCAGGGGAGAGAGCCGCTGTTGTCCCAGAGGTTTTTGCTCATGCAACCCTGGTCCACCTGGTTGGGCCGAGGCTTGGCGGTTGACTTCGCTTGCTCCAATGTCAACTTCATACCATCAATCAACAAGCAAATATTATCGAAGTCAACCATCTACGCCTGCCAGAGATCCTCAAAAGCGTCATGGAGCCACTATGGACCAAAATTCCTGAACCAGGCGACAAACTCATATCTGTGGTGATCGTTTTCAGCCAAGATTACTACGATTCGCGCGGTTCACCAAGATTGGTCGAAGCATCGCTCAATGGCGTGACCAAAGAGGCCGCTCCCTAATGGGTGAGATCTGGATGCCTCTCGCTTATATTCTATTCAGAGACTCATTGTCCAGCCGGCCGGGCCCGCACGATGCTCTTTGTTGTCCTTGTGCTGAACGTATGCTTGTTTGCTCAGGGCTCTTGCTCACCACTGTTTTGCAAGCAGTAGCAATTCGTCATCTCCATATGACACTCACAAGCTACCCTCAGTCGCAAGTCGACATCATGCTGAGACTATGGCAGAGCTGCAAGGTGCTGCTCGTACCCATCCACGCCTGGCCTGCGCGCGGCTTCGGCGAGACACCCCCAGCGCAGTTCGACGTCTTCAAACTTCCTTGATAGGCCACTGCTGTTGCTGACAAGACTGTCATGACCGCCGCTTCAAAGCACAGGTTTTATATGTCACCACAGACACCGAGATATATGCATCAGACAGAGGGATCAGCGCGAGGACCACTGATAACAGATCAGCTCAGCGCCTGGTCTCTTTCTCGATTTACTACACACAAAACAAGCTCCCCGTCATGCTCAGCCCTCGCTCAGGTTGCCAGCACTGCAGCAAGAGAGATAGCTCCAATTCTGGCAATTGCGCCCATAAGAAAGCCATGCACTTGGGCATCAGCCAAAGTGCAAATGGACATGTGGAGCTCAGGGATGTCCTCTCCTTGGCTTCAAGAGGTCCGACGGCCGGTAGGATGTCAAGAATCTCACAACGAACAGTACCGGCAGCATATAAGGCGACTTCGTTGTTGCCGTCGCCCTACAGTCAACCAAGACTCGCAGTAAATAAACAGCCGCTTGAGGGGAACAGTATAAGTCCAGCTGTGGGAAACATGCTTGGCCACGCACAGCGTGCACACTGGCTCCTGTTGGTGAGTACCAGAGTCAAGATGATTACAAGGCGGGTTGGCCTGCCAATAACGCGCGACTCGATTGCAGAAATTCACCTTTGATTCACCTCGATCCCGAAGGAGACATGCGGGCCGCCAGACGGGTCTTGTCACTTACCCAGCCCTCTTCATCCGGCAACAGCAAATCTCTCCACGTTCATTTGCACCAAGTCGACATCTTGCACAGCATCTGTCCCGATCCGCATCGACTGCACTTGCATCACCCACCTCGGCATCCCTCGCCAGCGTAAACCCCAGACAAACGCAGTCCGACACAGCAATCAGCAGCTCGACCGAGTTCCACCATTGCGCCTTGGAGTGCCTGACCCTCCAGAGCAAGCGCTCCTCCAGCTGATGGCCGTGTCGCACGTCAAGTCCACTATTGGCGGTTTCCACCAGGAAATCTGCCAGGGCAACCAACCATAGGCGAAGCCGTACCGACATACGACCTTTCTATCACTGTCCCCGTGATCATGACCGGCAAGGAGGTTATCAAACTCACCACCAAGGATGATGCAGAGGCTGCACTCGTGGCCGCGCATTGCGACTTCGAGTTTGTCGACGACTCTGGTCAACGACTCAGTTTGAAAGATGCGTACCACTCCGACAAGGGCGAAGACAGGTCGAGCGTGGTTGAGCAGGCCCTACAACAAGGTCTTGCTGCACAGCTACGAGATATACCTGCTACAATGCAGATGCTGAAAGAACTGTATGCCTTGGCGAAACAGCAGCGTGGCAGTACTCAAGGATTGACGACCAAAGACATTCTTGACGTTCTGGAGGTGCTATTCTTCGCGAGCGCTGGACGAGCTGCTTACCGCCACCTGTTGCTCCATCAGAGTACGAACCTATCAGCCAAACTAAACCGTGCCTTCAGAGTCTCATCTCATCAGGCGGTCACTGGAAAGCTCAGAAAGGTTACGCTGTCGGCAGTTGTTAGCCTCATGCGCGTGGAACCGGCCGCTATGTCTGGCGTTACGACATCTTGTCTTCGCGACCAAGCTATCGATAGTCCCTCATATGCGAATGACCTCTTGGTCAAGCTATGGGAAGCGCTTTTCAGTGAACAAGAAATGCCTCGAGCTCAGATGCGTGCTTTGCTGGAGACGGTGGATCGAGTTCTCGCATCAGGTATTGCCCCCAATCTGCGCATCATGATGTTCACCGTTGCGTCACTTCTCAGCCCACGTCGATACTACGCCGTCGGAGAATCTTCCGTTCTGCAAAGCCTGAAAGAGGCGCAGACGGCACAGTGGCTCGCAGATGGAGTCGTGGGAGCAGAGTTGCAGACGGCAGATATTGAAGATGTAGCGCTGCAAGATTTCCCCAAGCTCGACATACGGGACGACTCTGGTGATTTCCTTCCCCAATTTGACGGAGAGATGCACGAATTCGACGCCGAAGAAGCTAGGGCTTACTCTGAGCGCACATCACGACATCCGAATCGTAAGATCACCGATGTCGATGAGATTGTCGAAAACAAACTTCACGCTCAAAAGCAAGTCTTTGAGGCGATCGTCACCATGCCTGTGACCACCGGCGGCACTTCGGATGACACGCTGAAGGTCAAAATGGCTGCTGATTTCGGTGCTTTTCTGATAAAGCATTTTGACACAAGCGAAAGACGCCATCTTGCAATATCAGCTCTCGCTATCAACATCGTTGAGGTGCTATGCGAGTACTATCTGCACGGCCTGGATTTGCTCGAGACCATCAACACCCAATATCCGGCAGAGTTGACCTTCAGCGCGAAAGAGTCCTTGCAAGAGATCCTGGACGGCCTGTTAACAAACAAGAAAGCTTGTATGAACTTGCTCAAAGGCGGCCGCGAGGCGATCAAGGAACTTGTAGTGATTCCAGCCACCACAGGTTGCAAGAACTTCAAGTACAAGAAGAGCAATGGCGCGAAGCAGGCCACTCACGAAGCGCTCAAGCAGGCGGTAGCAGAGTCCACCAAGGCTAGCGGCGCAACCAAAGGCAGCATGAAAACCTCAACCAATGCAAAGACGCCTCGCGGTGGCAGCGAGAGTGAGCAAGTCCACTCCACAGCAGCTCAAGCATCTTCATCTGATGGCTGGATCGCCTATACGCCAAAGGACCCTCAACATGCGACGATACATCAAACTGCTACACCAGACACTGGATTGCAAAACGCTGGCACCAACGGTACGGAGAACCACGAACAGCAGGCTTCCCGGAAGGGTAAGCGATCTCTTTACACGTATGAGCGAGGCTCCGTCTTTGAGCAGATCGTACCTCCACATAAGAGACAGCAGGCTTCTGGCAAGCTTGCATCGCCAGCCGTCGCTACCAACGTAGAGACCGTGTTGCTCACCCCACTGCAGTCTGACGAGGGTCCGACTGAAGGCGATAATACTCGCCACGAGTCGACTGGTCATCCAGCTCCCCACACCTCGCACGCCCCAGCAGGACGTACTCCAAGCGATTTCGATCTTGGGGCTGAAGAGACGGCCCCACACCAAGGTATCATTCACGGTAACCCCCCGTCCATCTATCCTACTGAGCCTCTCCTACCGGACTCGAACCTATTGAATTCATCTGGCGTTACGCACGAGAGGTTTTCCGCCTTCACCAACCTAGCTAACGAGCCGGACGGTATGGACGACTATTTCAGTCCAATCGGTGCATTCAAGGACGAGAATGGCATCTGGTGGGTCCAAGGCCCTGATGGTGTCCCGCGCGACCCATTTGGGATGTTTTGAGGTCGGGAAAGACAGAGTTGGGTGCGCACGCATAATGTCGTACCACGGTAGAGGCATCTGAAACATCGGAGTTCACATGTGTTGAACAGACTGCAGACTTCAAGGAACGAGGATCAGATATCGCGACTTGCACATTCGCTTGAGGAGTGGCGCTAGACAGGGACCTGAAAAAAGAGCAGTTGATCGCATGACGTGTGGTTTACGATTAGCAAGAATGCGAGAAGGTGCAAGTTTCTGGCGCCCAGGCTGCCCACCGCGGCGGTTCGGCTAGGTAGCATTGCAAATAACAACGCACAAATTCATGACGACAGCAGCACGTCTCTAGATTGCCACAGAGTATACCGTGTGCAAAATTGTCCTGCGTTTCACTCTACTGTGCTTACCGAGAATTTGCTAGCTCACCTTGCAGAGATCATAACATAGCCAGTCAGCAGAGTCCCGAGATCGATGCTGTGCACGAGCAATGACTAGACTGCGCTATATGTAGCCCTTTGATTCAGACTATCTGGCTCTTGGATCACTCTAGCTTGCTCCAGTCTCTAATGTGGTTTCGAATATTATAGGCATGTTTCAAATTTTCTTGAATGGCTCATCACTCCTTTTCCGTGTTACAATGCGCGGTAATCGAGGAATATCATGCCAGCAAGTCTGGCTAGGAGTCATTTGGAGATGCTGGAAGGAAAAGAAGAATCGGTTTCGATAATCGCTCCAAGGTGCAAAGCTAACATGCTTCTAGTCTGGGTCAATCACGCACTCTGACTTTCTTCAAGGTCAGCATTGTAAAAGGCAAGCAGGCTATTTGTCTTCTGCGGCGTAGACGTTGCAGATGCTTGGAAAAATGTCCGGTCGACCCAATACTTGTAGCTCGCACAGTCGGTGAGCTTTGTTTGGCCTCTTCTTTGTCAAACTCCACTGTGGTATAGTAGTATAGATATCCCCAATGCTGCTGCGTCACTTATAGTTAGGGTTGTATCGCATGGCAGTCGGACACGAGATCTCGAGCACACATCGCCGGAGTCTACTTTGCAACGGATTGGTGTTGAATTCTGCTTGACTCAATATCATAGCGTTTATAGCCATGCAAGTCAGCCCTTGGTGCCATTGCTATACTCGTGGTTCGGCATCCGCCCAGCTGTTGGCCATAATATCGCATGCCTTCATATTCTCTGTATTGATTAATCATATCTCATATCCTCATATCTCCATCATCAGAGTCCCACAAATCAGCGACCCACAAATCAGCGACCCCTACTTCCTATCTCTCTGTGTCCTCCTCAATGTCGCATACATAACCCTCATCCTCAAACTCTGCAACCTCGTAAACTCATACATGCAAATATCAGTCGAGTAATCCATATAGTTATGGATTGGATCCACGCCCCGTCGCTGGGGGCAAGTATCAGGATTCACAGCAGGACATCCTCGAGTAGCGTTCAATTGGTGAGGAGTATCAAGGACATAATCTCCTGGACCGCTGCAGCCGAGTCCATCTTCACTGAAAGTGTGAAAGAGTCCGAGCCAGTGGCCGGTTTCGTGAACGGCGGTTGCACCGAGGTTGTAGGAAGGAGTTTCGCCGCCCGGCATGCTACCCGCGAGGTTTACGCAGCCGTCGAGGATGCGTTGCTCTGGGGAGGCGAAGGGTTCGGGGAAGTAGCAGAAGCCGAGAAGGCCGTCTGGTTTGTTGGTTAGTATTATGTGCTTCTTGTGAGAGGTAGGATTGAGAAGACTCACTCCCGAGATCACTCAAAAAATACAGATTGAGGTCATCGTAGCCTCCCTTCCTCAACTTGGTCTTGTACTCCACTTCCAGAGGCCCATCGAGAGCAGAAGCCCATGCGTCATTGACAGTATAGTCGATGCTGATCGTCTTGAAAGCAAAGCGCGCAGAAGCATATGCCTCGTTCATCACTCGCATCTGTAGTAACGATCAGCTGGAGTTCCACGCCCGGTAAAACTGAGACATTCCATACCTGCTGCTCAACCATCTCACGAGGGTACAGACTACTCTTGTTCTGAGTCGTGATGACATGAACATAAGTGTCGACAGTATATCTTGCTCTCGAAGCTTGACGAGCCGCAAGACTGTCAGCAGGCTCTGCGGTGGCCTCGTATCTGAGATTTTGTGGGGCATTATTGTTGGTAGTTCCACACTTGCGCTGTGCAGAAGCACATGATACGGCCAAAGCCAAAACTGATAAGAGCTTCATAATGGTATCTCAATCTAAAGGTACATGCGACGAAGATGGAATAACCTTGATGGCAGCTATAACATACTTATAGGAAGGCCATGGCCATGGTCCACTCCACATGCTAACACGCATGTAAGTTGCAACCGTTGCAGAGCACAGAGCAGATCTGCACGCCACTGACTGTCCACGATCTATGCCAAGACATTCAGCTGAAGTAGTGGAGAGGTAAAATGCTTGATCCGTCGAAAGTGTTGGATACACTTGTCTCAATACGGAAGGTTGCTAAGTCGCTCGTCAATCAAGTGGTCTGGCTCGGGCTTGGCAAAGAATCCTTTGCGGAGCAAAATGCAGCTTGTGTGGTAGTTCGTCCATGAATGAGAGAGAGCTCGTGTGCCCGCCTTCTTCGCGAAGACCTCTTGTGGAGATGCTTGTTAGGTTCAGCGCTTTTTGGGTTGCCTTTCCTGCCGTGTCTCGGGTGCCAAGTGATAACGGTCTTCAACAGTGTCCTCGCGTGGCTGCACGCGAGCGAGACACGACGAACATGTCCACTCTGCTTCGATGTTCTGATGTTAGACATCCACTTCCAGATCATGTTGTCGTCCGGAAGTCCCGAGAGGGTTGCTGAAATGAATGGTCGTCAAAGAACGGCTTCGAATTTGGAGTACTGGAAGAGCGCTAGCGATGCTCTATTTCTGTGGTTCCTCATGCTTGCTTGAAGTCTCACTTCCAGCTTCCCTAGTTTCCAAAGGCACCGGCAATTTGTCATGTTCAATGGGCTCATGATCGCGGACGACCAGCCATGTAGGCACGATAGCAGCTCCTGCAATCTCAGTCAGAAACAAAGTACTCACACAATCGTGGAATGAAGTACTCACCCAACAAAATAGTGTTGATAGCAAGCGGCACACGACCACCCTTCCATTCCTGAGAGTTGATACCGTAGGACACAGCTTGCGCGAAACTCTCTTGTCCTCGCAAGATACCGGAGAAGCGAGCCATCTCGGAGATGTTGTCAGTCTTGGTGGACAGCAAGTAGTACATCCAATTCTGGAGAGCTTGCTGGGAGAATTGCCAGAGGATGATGACGAAGAAGCCTTTCAGAAAGCCTGCATCGACCCAATCATAGACTGGTGCCTCATCCATGCTGGTGTAGTGCTCTTGAACGACCCAGCCGTATACCCATGCGACGATGTGAAGCCCGAGGACGTAGAAGAAGCCGTAGACGATTCGCTTCTTCACGGGGAGTCCTTTGTAATCAAGGAGTGCGCTGATGATTTGAGATGAGATCAGGCCGCCGATGTACTGACACAAGCCCATGAGTGCTCTTGCTCGCACGCCGAAGTAGTACGTCTGTACATGATCGTCAGAACAAGTCCTCGAAACGCATTCAGTGTTCTTGGTTTCTTACCTGGAAATTGCCAGCGTATTGGTTGAAGTAGGCTGACCAGAACACCGGCAGCAGTAGCAACAGATCCTTCCTCTTGCTGAGCTGCCAGAGCGCCTGGAACTCCTTCTTGAAGCTGCTCTCTGCCTTCACGATGACCTTGCTGCCATCTGCTCTTTGCACCTTCTCCGGCGGGCTGAGAGCAAGTGCAAGCGGCACAGACAAGCATTGCAGAGCGACAAACACCAGATATGTCTGATAGCCAACTTTGCCCTTCTTCGCAGCATGAGCATCGTGATTGAGTCCGAGCACGATAGCTCCGCCCATGAGCGGCCCACCAGTTCTGAACCAGAGCCAGATGTTCATATATCGGCCTCGTTTTCCAGGTTCGGGATAGCCTAACGCAACTGCACCTTCACTTGCCCAGAACAGTCCTGCTGACATTCCGCAAGTTGCAGCGCCGACAAGTACGAGCCAGACAGTGCCGTATCTGTCGTTGCAGTACAGGCCTGACGCACAATCAGCATGTAGATCAAAGTAGAGGGAGTCCGAGTTTCTCACCCGCGCTGTAAACAGGATAACCGATACTTCCCAACAGTAGAGTGTAGTTGAGTCCGATTCGGTTCGCGATAGGTCCTCCAAACAAACAAAGAATTCCCATAAGTCCGAAGACGAGCGCATTTGCCGCATTGACAAGATACGGCTCCTGGGCACCGCCAGCTCCGAGCGAGTTCATGGCGTTCCACAGTCCAGGTGACATGAACCCAACGCCTCCAATAACGCAGGCATTAAAAAGAGTCGTATGGTACCATGTCCGGTGCTTCTTGATTTGCGGCTCCTGTGTGGGAAGAGTCTCTGCGATACTCGCAGTCGGCACCTTGGGCGCCACAGGTTCAGCCATGATGATTTCGAAGACGTTCGCTCAAGAAGGGACAAGAGCGATAAGCATAGCCTGGGAGCATGCTCGAAATAAGTACAAGCTTGTGCAAGCACGTAAACAGCATTTTGGTGCTTGGCATGGGCATGGTAGCATTCAACGCGGCGAAGATTTTGCAGTTTCTCCATAGCCTAGAGGTGCTGTTGGCGAGTGTTGAAGTCGCGAATTTGGACGCGCGATCACGACATCTGCAACTATCCTGGCTCAGACCCACTAAATCGGGTTGTGTGCTTCGAGAATGTCTGTACAAGTCGGCAGAGAGACTGCATCTGCGTATTTGTCCGCGTCTCGAGGTACGGTTCGCCGGCCGACTCAATGCTGTGGCGAAAACGTGGCACCCTAGTTGCGAACGTGTTGACCAGAGCACTTGGAGTGATGGCGGGCAAACTTCGGCATGCCTCGAAGTCATTGTGTAGCATCGGTTCGCTTGCATGCACGGCATGGTGCAGTTCCCAATTGATGACCCGTGAAGAGGGCTGAGATGGTAAAATTCATTGATTCTAGATCTATATGATGTACAAGTAAGTCTTCGTCGCTGCCATCTATAACTTTGGAAATCGCACGCGCAAGAATTGTGTCGGCCAGGCGATATCTAGACCGAGTCGCCATGCGACCTTGAGCACCCACTCGGGCTCTCGCATGAACTGTCGTGCAACCAAGATCAGGTCAGCCATAGGTTCCTTGTTGCCAGTCGCGTCAGTCATGGCCTTTGCAACCTCTGCCTCTTTCTTGATGCTATCACTGTCTTCCACGATGTCTCTGGCTTGCTCAGCTTCTGTGATGAGACCTACGGCTCCTATCAAGATTTTCTTGTTGGCGGCCTTGGCCTCTTTTCGAATTTGAGCTGCAATCTTGATTTGGTAATCTTTCGCGTTGAACGTAGTGATTCTCTGTTGAGGATGGTTGCCCGCACTGGAGACGTCGATGAGGTCGACGCCAAGGTCTGCAACGATGTTTGTGAGCTTGATGGTACTCTCCACGTCCCAGGTGCCGTATCGTTTCCCAATCTCTGTCTCCTCCATCCACTCGGTTGAGCTCAATCGGAGGAATAATGGCACGCTTGCAGGGATGACTTTGCGAATAGCTTGGATGATCTCAATCACGAGTCGTGTTCGATTCTCAAATGAGCCGCCGTATTTGTCCGTGCGTCTGTTTGTTATCGGGCTCAAGAATTGGTGAATCAGGTACCCATGTGCACCATGAATTTCGAGGACATCACACCCAGCTCGAACGCTACGCTGTGCTGCAGAAGCCCAGTCCTGAACAAGCTGCTCAATTTCCGGGATGCTCAGCTCTCGTGGTGCGTAATACCCGCCTCTAGGATCGTCACTTCTGATGCCATCCCACGTGAACTCTTCGCCTCCGGAAGCCGAAACCACATTGTCAGGCCAGCCGCCGGCTTCTTTCGTTGCTCGTATGCTCGCAGCCTTTTTACCAGCAGCGATGAAAGGAGGCATGGTGCTAGCCTTTCGGCCTGCATGCGCTAGCTGCATACCGCAGAGAGCACCTTGGCTGTGTATGAAGTCGGCCACCATTTTGATCCCGTCAATCTGGCTGTCCGACCAGACGCCAGGGCAATTGGGTGAGATGCGACCATTTGGCTGGACCCCGGAAGCTTCGATGAAGACCAGGGAGGCGCCCTTTAAGGCGTAGTGACCAAGCGTGGCAACGTGGTATGGAGTCAAAGCACCAATTTGCGGCCCTGTTTCTGCGGTGGAGTACTGGCACATTGGCGCCACCACGATGCGGTTTCGAAGTGTCACGCCACGAATCGTGAGAGGCTTGAATAGCGTTGGCATTGGAGCATTCTTGTCGAAAGGTGTTCCCGGCGAATTGGTGTGTTGAGGCGTGAAGTACGGTATGCCTGGGTAAGGCGTATTGTAAGAGATCGGCGCCATCTTGAGTGTGGAATCAGCGAAGAATATTGGCAATTCTGCCTACAGAATTATCAATACGAAAATATGAAGAAGATGTTGATATGTCGTCGCTGGGAAATGCCCCTGCTCGAACACTTTCGTTGATTGATCAGCAGAAACGCGACGCGACTTCAAGACCTCGGCAATTGTTTCAGCGCTCGCTACTGCTGCTGAACTGAGCATACAGTAGCAGCAGCGCATTAGATGAGTTGGCAGCCCAGTGTAATGATGCTTAACCTCCTGCGAGTGTCGATCTGACAGGTGAGCACATTTGTTTTTGATGCTTCTGAGGTTCGAGGGACGCTTCCAAGGCAAGATCGTCGGGACAGTCTAGACCGAGTCTCGCACGAGCCAACGCCAAGAAGAGCTGCTCCCCCACTTTCCGAGGGGCCATACAAACAGCAACCCATTCTACAGATGGACGCATCAACATCTCATATCTCCTCTCGCAGTGCTCAAGAATGACAACAGTCCTGGTGACCGGCGGCTCTCGTGGTATTGGCCGTGCAACCGCAATCCTGGCCGGGAAACGAGGCTGGAACGTAGGCGTCAACTACAAGGAGAATGCTCAAGCAGCAGAGATGACTGCTCACGTAGTAGAGTCCGCCGGCGGGAAAGCTATCATCGTGAAAGGCGGTGTCGAGAATGAGCAGGATGTCATTCGCATGTTCGACGAGGTGGAGACGCACTTTGGTGCGATCAATGCCGTTGTCGTCAATGCAGGCATCACACTGCCTGCCATGACTCTTGCCGAGATGGACATCAACCGACTCAGGCAGATGTTTGATGTGAATGTCTTGGGAGCATATCTGTGCGCACGCGAGGCTGCGAGACGGATGCCGACGAGCAGAGGAGGCTCAGGCGGCAACATCGTATTTGTCTCTTCTGCGGCGGCGAAGCTGGGTGAGGAGTACATGACTCTGGCGAGTGTAGTTGCTGACATTTACAGGCGGCCCAAATGAATATGTCGATTATGCTGGTTCCAAAGGAGCCATTGATACTCTCACTGTCGGACTTGCGAAAGAGCTTGGCACTCAAGGCGTCCGTGTCAATGGAGTTCGGCCTGGCCTTATCAATACGGAGATACATGCGACGACTGGTGATCCGGATCGAGCTGACCGACTTGGCAAGACTACGCCCCTTGGACGTGCTGGTGAAGCTGAGGAAGTGGCTGAAGCGATCATCTGGCTGCTCTCCTCGGCTTCGTCGTACGTCACTGGCACAGTTCTCGACGTGACTGGAGGTCGGTGAGGTCGACAAGCGTTCAGGTCTTCAGCTTGCGATTGATGCGCACGATGCGAAGATCATGTCCCTACGCAAGTTCAGGCGTTGCAGATTGAAGCAATGTCGGGAAGGATTTCAGCTCCGAGATATTGCCAAGCCTGCTCACACCTGAGCTGATATGACATCGGCACCGGAGTGCATCTGGTTGTGCTGACATGCGCCTACATATGCGTCGTGACGCAGGTTCAATATCGGCTGTCATGGAGGAAGCTTCTATTCTGGTGGTCAGCAGCACTTCCGGCTGGTGGTCCCCCGACGCAGGTCTTCCGAACCATGTACATAAGAACGACGCTACACGCACGAGTGTCAACTTGTCAGCCTATCGACATTGCAGATCGTGATAGAAGTCGTTCACGATGTCAATATCAAAACGCCTCTCGCCATCATGCCAGCAGGTCGTTCGGGAAGAACTGGACGGCTTACCATCAACGGCCAAAGTGACAGTCAGATCATGCCTCGCAGACCCTGACTTGAGCCCAGTTGTGCTTGCCCACAAGTGTAACGACTGTGTTCTGACACCCTCCGGCCTCTACTCTGACATGGTCCTCACCGTCGCCAGCCACATCCACCGCGCCTACGAACCCAACACCGAGGTCCCAGGCATAAACGTTAGCGACCTTCAAGTCCACAAACCCCTCATCGTCAAAGAACCAACCAACCTCGCGTCCCTCTTCATCGAGATGGAAGTCAAGGCCTCGTCCAAGGACCCCAAAATAAGTTCCACAACCCTTCACTGCACCTTCCACTCCACCACCCCAACCGGCACCCGACTCCAAGAAATGGGCCACTGCACCGCAACTTACGAATCCTCTTCAAAGTGGCTCCAAACCTGGTTCCCCTACACTCCAATAATCCTTAACCGCATATCCTCCCTCCAGACAGCCGCAATCAAAGAGAACAACCTCTCAGTTCAACTCGTCCAGCGCACAAAAGCCTACAAACTCTTCTCCTCTTTCGTGCAATACGGCCCCAAGTACCAAAACATGTCCGAAGTCATTTTCGATACTCGAATATTGGAAGCTACAGCCACGATCGACTTGGTCCATCTCGACTTTCAAAAAGACTTTCTCGGACCTTACCTTCTCGATGCAACAGGCCACTTGAGCGGATTCGTGTGTAATGCCGTGGAGAAAGATGGGGATAAATTCGCGTACATCAATGGTGGCGTAGGAGCGATGAAATTGAGCAGCAAATTCCAGCCGGAGAAGGTGAAAGTGGGGCAAAGTACTCTGCAGAACTATGTCCAGATGAGGATTCTGCCAAGTGACAAGACGGTTTTGCAAGGTGACGTTTTTGTTCTGCAGGACGAGGAGATTGTAGGTGTTTGGGAACAAGTGAGATTTAAGAGGATTCCAAGGAGGGTTTTGGATGTTTTCTTGCCGAAGCCGAAGGCGGCGGGGAAGAAGTGAGAAAGGATCTTCCAATTGCATACAAGGGATCGCAGTCCTTCCTCATGCGCCCATCTCTACAGGATTGCGATCATACCTCACTTCTCCGCGCCAAAAGAGTCGCGCCCGCACGCCAAGTCTGCGTCTAACCAGGATGACCAATGCGAATCCCGGCCTTCCCGATCTTTCACGTGCATCTTGTGCATGACTAACCCTCCCGAACTATCCGTACCTCGTCCCTGGCAAAGTCTCTGGAAATTAAACACAATTGCTACCAATCACCTGGAGACACATGCTGCTGGCACCCATACAATGTACAAGCTGAGTTCCTGAATCCAGGTGGTTTGTTCGATGCAGCAATCCGTATGAGTACGACCGAGGATTCTGTGAGGAGCTGCAGTGACATCGTGTGAGCATCAAACCTCATGCGATTGTCCAAGTAGCTTCCGGATCTGCCGCGTTTGAGAGGGATGTTTGGATCTCTCCCACACGACATGACAGGTTCAACCACGTACAGGGCCAGGATCAATAGCTTCCGAAACACCCAGATCATCTCATGCACAGCCATCACAATGTAGGCACTTAATCTCACTTTGACTTATGCTTTCACTTCACCTGTCGCTATCCCGTTTCTTACCTCCTACCTTTGCGCCACTTTGACAACATGGCTCACTCGCTCGCCACTGTTGTTCTGGCTGCTCAGCTGGCGTCAGCAGCTCTTGTCACTGAACCTTTACAATACGTGGATCAGCTGGTGGGGACCCAAAATGGAGGTATGCGCGTGGCGAGTCGATACTCGAATGCAGCAACTGACTTGCGTAGGTAATGTCTTCGCTGGAGCATCACTCCCATATGGCATGGCGAAAGCTGTCGCCGACACCGACAGCGATTCCAGGCAGGGCGGCTTCACCACTGATGGCGCCAATATTACTGGCTTCTCTGGCATGCACGACTCTGGAACTGGTGGCAATCCTTCGTTGGGCCTCTTCCCGCTCTTCCCTTTTTCCAGTTGTGAGGGAGATGAGATCAATGGGTGCGAGTTTCCCAAGAAAGATCGCAGCGAACCGTACGTCAACACCTCGCTCAAGGCCTCGCCAGGCTACTTCAGCATCGATCTTCAGAGCGGCGTCCGTGGTGAGATGACTGCCGCGTTCCATACTGCACTTTTCCAATTCACGTTTCCTGAGAGCGGAAGTGGCAGTCCGGTCGTCTACTTGGACTTGTCAGATCTCTCCGATTCGCGTCAGGATAATGCCACGATCTCCGTCGAAGACTCGGGAAGAATGACGGGTTATGGTCGCTTCGAGCCATCGTTTGGACAGGAGAAGTACATTGCATACTTTTGCGCCGATTTTAAGGGTGGGGTTGTCCGAGATACAGGTGTGGTTGTCAACAGCCGCGGAAGTGCGGATGTGAAGGACTTGAAGATCTCCCGCGGCATCAATAGATACCCACTTCCAGGGGGCGGCTTTGTGCGATTCTCAGACAGGTCGCCTGTTATTGCAAGAGTCGGATACAGTTTCATCAGCAGCGAACAGGCGTGTCAACTGGCAGAGAGCGAGATTCCCGAGTTTGACTTTCAAGCCACGCAGAAGGCGGCTGTGGATGCGTGGACTGAGAAGATCAGTGTCATTTCGGTGGAGACGAATAATGTGGATGAGGATACTCTGAAGAACTTTTACTCAGGTGAGGTCGAATTTGATGTTGGGTATGAAGTGAGCTGACGAGTGTAGGGGTGTACCGCACTTTCATCAATCCTCAGAACTACACTGGTGTGCAGCCAGTCGTGGATGCCAACACGATATACTTTGACAGCTTCTACTGGTGAGATAAGCGTGTGGGATGTGAGCGGAGTCTGGACTGACGGCTTGCAGTATCTGGGACCACTTCCGATCTCAATTTCCATTCTTGGTCCTTGTCGATCCACTTGCGATGGAGCAGATTATCCAAGGCTTGCTGACGCTGTACGATATTCAAGGCTGGCTACCAGATTGTCACATGTCACTCAGCAAAGGATACACTCAAGGCGGTAGCAACGCAGACGTGGTCATGGCCGATGCTTACTCGAAGCTCAACTCCACCAATATTGACTGGAATAAGGTGTACGAGGCGGTTGTGCGAGATGCCGAGGAGGAGCCATATGGTAAGCAGTCCAGAGATTGCATTGAGGCTATGCTAACATGTATCAGACTGGTGCTGCCAAGGACGTGGTGGTCTCGACAGCTGGAAATCCCTCCATTACATTCCCGTCGAGGACTTTGACTACAAAGGCTTTGGCACTCACACTCGCTCCATCTCCCGCACACTGGAGTACAGCTACAACGACTTCTGCATCTCTACCATTGCTCAAGGACTCGGCAAGCAGGGCGATGTTGAGAAGTATCAGCAGACCAGCGGCAACTGGCGCAATCTCTTCCGCGCAGATCAAGAGTCGAACCTATTCAATTCTTCGACCAGCACCGGGTTCACTGGCTTCTTCCAGCCCAAGTATCTCAATCAGACCTGGGGTCGACAGGATCCGCTCTACTGCTCCAACATTGATAACTCTCCTACAAAGTCATGCAGTCTGCAGAATACAGCTTCGGAGACGTACGAGTCTTCTGTCTGGGAGTACTCGTTCTACGTGCCTCACGATATGGCACAGCTCATCGCCACGCTCGGCGGCCCGGAGACGTTTGTGCGCAGACTGGAGTATCTGCACGATCAGAACATCACCTACATTGGGAATGAGCCTTCATTCTTAACGGTCTACCAATATCACTACGCCGGACGACCTGCTCTCTCTGCCACACGTGCGCACTTTTACGTGCCCAGGTTCTTCTCCCCAACGCTTAGTGGTCTTCCTGGGAACGATGACTCTGGAACCATGGGCGCTTTCCTGGCATTTACCATGATGGGTCTGATACCGAACCCGGGACAGAATGTGTACTTCATCATCCCGCCCTTCTTTAAAGAAGTGAGGATTAAGCATCCTATAACGGGCAATACGGCGGTTATCAGGAATGTGAACTTTGATGGGGGCAACTATGAGAATGTGTACATTCAGAGTGCGACGCTGAATGGGGAGGATTACACGAGGAATTGGATCGGGCATGAGTTCTTTACCGAGGGCAAAGAGTTGGTGTTGACCTTGGGACGAAATGAGAGTCAGTGGGGAACGAGAGTGGAAGATTTACCGCCGAGTTTGAGCGAGTATCAATTTTAGGGAGTGGCAATGGGGTTGTTGGAGGGTAGCATAGTGAATTGATAAGATCATGATTGGCAGCGCTAGCTAGTAGTTCGTCTGTAAACATATCCTGCGTGTTTCTAATCGAGTCTTGCTTCTGTATATCAAGTTCTGCTAGTTTCATAGTCGCTAGAGCTACTAGAGTCGAGAAGATATACGTGCCGTCCGACCTTAGGTAACTACTAGAGTTAGATAGTTTTAATATAGAGGCGTTACTCCCGTCTAATTAATAGCGGCACTTTAGCTCGCAGGCATAACTATCTACACTAGTAATAATAGCCTAGCTAAGCGTAGCGTAGTTACCTTTAGCCTAACGGAAGGATAAAACGCAGAACTATTAAGCAATATAAACTCCTAAGACGCCGCCGCTAGATACTACTACGGCAATAAGAGCGGCGGACGATAGGCATGTCTCGCTAATATAAGTAGTAAGTAGTCTAGGCATATATAATCTTAAAGGGGAATTGCTAATATACTAACTAGCACTTACTAGGCGCTCGACTCTATAGTATTAATTACGCCGACCGATAGACCTAATTGCGGCACGAAATAGAGTAGCTAGTACGGTAAGAAGGCTGCCTTTTATCGTAGGCGACTAACGTGCGGCAAGTTAGAGTAGCGTTACTATATCCTTCTGCCTACGCGTCGGCGAATCGTACGACTAGTAGCAGAAAGCTCTAGCTTTCGGGTTTCTATATATTTCGGCTTACTACTAAATAGCGTATAGAAGTTCCTCGTACGTCTCCTCTCTATATTATATTATAGCCGAGCTTTAAAGAGACATATTAGGCTAGCGGCTATTCTTCTTCGCGTATTCTCCTCTAGTAGAAATAGTATAAAGCTAACAAGTCTAGTCGTTAGGTTCTCTAAGCTAGAGCAATTCCTACTAGCTTCGTAGATACCTTATAGGCTAAAGTAGCTGCTCGTAAGTTATTATTAGCTAGCTAGTATATAACGACTTAACTCGGTATATAGTAGAGATTGCTTTAATATATATATAGAGTATAGGACAGGACGATAATAAGTAGCCGTCGCTCTAGATATATATATAAGATAAGCGACTAGATAGTAGGACACCTAGCGACGCTATATAGTATAAGTAACTTTAGTTTTTTAGGATAGTAGTCTAATCGAGGAGGACTATAGCTAATATACGGGTAGCTAGAGGGAGCTCGGACGTATAGAGGAAGCTTAGACGATATCTATTCCGGATGCTATTATAGGCAACTATACTAAGCCGAGCGTATCGATTAAAATACTTATAAGTCTAAGTCTAAAGAGTCGCTACTCTAGTAGCTTATATATAGATATTACTTACGTACTCTAGAGAAGAAACTAATAGTAGTACTCGAGCCTATAGAGAGGAAGACTACGCCTCGCTAGCTAGATCGATGTTCGATTTATAGACCTAATACGCTCCTCTATCTAGAGAGTATTCTGCCTAGACGCCTTAGACCTAGTCGCTACTAACTGCTATACTATATCGCCTTCGTTCCTCCTAGTAATAGATAGTTATAATATTGCGATATACGTTCGTAGAGTACTCTACTATATTAGAAGCGGTATCGCCTATACGTAGGTCGCGTTATATTACGTTGTCTCGAACGGTTTCGACGTCGTATAGTACGCGGCTAAGCCTAGTATAAAATAGCTATATTAAGCGTAACGAGACAGACAACGTCGATAGCGACAGCTTCGCGCAAGACGACAAGCTAGCCCTCTAAATATAGAGTATAATACGACGTATAGCTTACGCTCTCGCGATTATCTCGTTCTTCGCCGTTGCCTAAGTATAGTATAACTAACTATAAGATCGGTGCCTTAGTACGTCGATATTAGCAAGCTTATAGTTACTCTATAACTCCTAATTATCCTAGTAAGCCTAATAAGTTAGATTCGGGAATCTCTATTCTCGTACGCTATCTAAATAGTTTCTTTCTAGTCTCGCTATATTACGTCTTATTCGTCGTATAGAGTATAGTATAAAGTTGCTTCGTCTCGCTCCTTAGAAAACGTCGGTAGAGATACTACTACCGAATCTATACCTAAGATACTAACTATAAAGCCGACTTAATGTTTCTCTATACTCTACCGCCTTCTACCTAAGTCCTAGCCTAGGTTGCTAGGCCTCGAGGATTATATACTAGGCGTTTCTCTGCTTATAGGCTAGCTTAGCGTACGACGGCGACGGAACTTATTAACTCGGTATAGAATAAGGTAGGAAATATAATATCTAGTCTTACTATACTCTATCCTATATATCTCGGCGTCTTCTAACCTTTCCCGGTAAGCGTCGTAAAGTTCTATTCTATATCTATACTTATACTTTATACTTTATACTAATAGAAGTCGCGTATACGAAGTAGGAGAAGGCAGGAGATATAATTACTTTCTCTACTCTTAGAAGAGTAAGCTTAGCTTATTCTAGACCCTATTTCCTAATTAGGTAGGCGGACAAGAGAGTACTATACAAACTACCCTTTTAGGGTATTAGGTTACGATTACGTAACTATTACCTAACAGTTACGTAACCTAACCTAATACCTTCCTAATTCGGAAGGTAACTAGAGGGACTCCTATCTAACTACCCTTTAAGGCTAGAAGGTTCTAGAAACCTCTAGGGGGACTGCGTAAGCAGTAGACTAGAAGTTTCTACCGGTCTCCTTCTAGAGTAGCTTCTAGAAACCGAGGGAACCTCGTAGAACATCGATTACAAATCGATATTCTATAGTATTCTAAGCA